GCAGCAATCGTCATACAAACCCAACACTAACCTTCGCTCCAAACATTGAATATTCTCACGACATGGCCATCTAAATGTTGTGGGTCACACTAATGCAAACTCGGCGGGTTTTGTTATTGACATGCGATCTCCATCTAGATTATTTTCCTTTGTGGGAGGCAATCTAGTCGCTTGGAGAAATGAAAAATAGAAAGTAGTGTTAATATCAAGTGTTGATGCAAAATATCGAAGTATGGCACATGGAGTATGTGAGCTACCTTGGATAAGGAATTTGGGTTCAAACCCAAACATGACATACAACTGAATTGTGACAACAAAGCTGTAATAGACATCGCACATAATCTCTTGCAACATGATAGAATCAAGCATGTTGAAGTTGACATACATTTCATCAAGGAGAAACTCGAGGCAAAGATTATTGAGGTACCATTTGTTAAATTTGAATATCAACTTGCAGATGTCCTCACTAAAGCAGTCACATGCTTGAGGGCGAGTGTCAAATGAGATGTACATTCCTAATTAGTCTAAGATAACTATTTGATTCTACAAGATTATAGGCTCATAATTACATTCCTCGAATAATTTCCTAGGCTATGTATATATATTATTTCTATTGTTGGACAGTGGAATATCAATGAAATATTATTTCACCCAATTTGAGAAATATAACGTAGTACAAAGCTACAAAAGTGTTGAAATGGGTACAACATCTCCACAAAATGAATTGATCTAGAGAGAATTACGCCAAAATTTGCCATATTATTTCTTGGCACTAATGGTTTATAACTAAAATACATTTGTATGTGATACTGCTAGTATGTCATGCCCTGATTTGAGAATAAAGAATATTTCTGAATTAGGGTGTGAATCATATCATAATTATAAAAATAAAATTCAACAACCATGATATAAAGAGAAATAGAGCCACAAATAATACAAATTTACTTAATAAAACATAATCAGAGCCGCAATACCTCATAGTTAAATACACACTTAACATTAAGAAGATGAAGAAATTATTTTTGAAGAACGTTCCAAAATGTACCATGCATATGAACTTGAGAAGGTAGGGCCAAGGATGTCTATATATGTTTGGAACAAGAAAAAGGGGGATGTCTATATTTGTAATGTATCGTACGGTTTAGTGCTGTGGAAAGCTGTGCACGCACCAACAACAACATGGAAGACGTCAAGGATCTATTTTGTTGTTTCAAAAGTGCCAAACTTTTCTTCTTCTGCTTTTTTGGTTTTAAAAAGAAGTGCCAAACTTGGTTTGGCATACAACCCTCTCACTTACCAGACATGCACGAGGGAGCATAAGGACACAAATATGACAAGAGACCAAATTGTGTTAGTTTGGCCTCATACAAACTATTTGTTGAATGGCACAAGTCACATGCTTACCTTATTTTGATAGGGCTAATTTTTGTAATTTGCTAAGTGAATTTTGTGCAAATCAATGAGAATGACATAATATGAATATGATGCATCATATTAACTAATTAATTATGAGTTTAGCGATACTTTTCTTTCTAAAATTGAACATGTCAATTTTATATATTCTTGTGACTTGTTTTGTCCTCCTTACAAAACTGTCATCCTGACTTAGATGCAATTGCATAATAGGAAGCCAAGTAACCCCAACTTGTAGCTTTGCTGGGTTGCCCTTTCAACATCCTTCTTTTCCTAATCTTCATGTGCCTCCATATTCACCAAATAAAATTGGCAATGATTAGTCATCCCCTCAAGTACCATAAGAAATAAGGGAGTCTCACTATTATGCCAATATAGAGGCCCAAATTATATATATATATATATAAACCCATATATAAAATGGACTTTAGAAACACATACAAATCTAATTTATAACATAACAAATAGGCTTCAAACCTATTATTGATTTCTTAAAACAAGCCCAACTCTAAAACCTCGTTAAAAATCCCAAAAACACTTAAGTCGCGTCGGTATAGCGTATCGAGTGGAAAAGGCTGATAGGGTTAGGGCATCAAACTAATTTAATAATAAAAATTAAATTCAACAGGGGCAACTGCCCTTTTTTAAGTTTGTTTATAGAAATTAAATGGTATCGGATTTATTTATATCACTAGTGCTAAAAATGTGTATATAATCAAAAGAAATAAAGGAAATCTAAGAAGAAGAAAAAATAACTTAATAACATGTAATAATGACCTCCCCGCATTATATTTTGGAGCTTGTCTTTTTGATGTGACCAAACTTCGTTAAGAAATAAAAAAATTGCAGTCGACTTTAGGTCAAATTAATTTGCCTTGAATAGCATTGACTCACAATTTATATTTGTTTATATCAATTTTATATAGTTTTATTTTTCTTTGATAGTTCGCTTTGACATACTTTGGCCATTTTGTATGACTTTAATTATAGTGGTGGGTTTCTCGAGCTCTTAACTTACGGCAGAAAAGGTTGTTCACATAGACACTAAACGATTCCTCCACCGAGACATGGGATGGGAGAGATTGATTTCAATGTTTTTTTTTGCTTTTTTCTTTTTGTTGTTGATGTCAAAGATTGACTCAGTGTTTTGGCGTATGCAAATGTGAAAAAATAGCATATATTTCAATCCTCAAACCTTGACAAAGATGACCAATTTGTTTACTTATGTATTTAAAAAATTCATATACACAAGACCAATTTTTTTATAGTTTGATTTGATTTCGGGTCAAGCTTCAAAAGTAGAACATCCATGGTAATAGTTCGACTCTTCTTACCTTCAATCACAAGTTTTTTTTAAAAAAGAACTATTTCTACGTCAAATATTTGATATCACAAACCAAGTATCATGTCATACGTATGACACACGCATACAACATCCTTTAATTAGGATTTCCCCTTTTAAGAAATTATTGATAAGGCACTTGGAGGTATTTATGCATAATCTTATTACAAATTTGAGTTATGAAAATCTTAACCCTAGGTTTTTTTGGGGGAGGGGGTTGGTTGAAGAAATCTTTCCTAGCTCATACAACTTCTATTTGTCACTTTTCAACTTTTCCTTTCTTTCTATTTTCCAAAACATTGACTTGATTGCAAGAGAATCTTCGGACAACATCCATACAGAGTTTCCCTCACGCTAATAATTTTGATATTCTAGATGCATTTTCTTCACTTTTGAAATTCCAAGTTCCAAACCTATTCAAAGTGAGGCTGTTTTGAAGTCCAAATTTTTTAAAAACACATTGGCCTTCGTCAACTCTTTTCTTTTTTACTTTGTTGTGATGGTATTATTATCCATTTCGAATATAAAAAAGCTACCGGCACTAACCGGTTTTGTGAAACACAATTATCATCCACAATAGTAATTAACAATTTACATATATATATATATATATATATATTCGTTTCAATCAATAGTCGTACACGATCTATCTTTGTCCAAATAAAAAACTTTATAAAAATGTTCATAATATGAAAAGTTCAATTGAAGGCAAAGCCCATATACTCGTGGCTGGACAGCAGCTTAGATTCATCATTCTTCCCTTATCTACCAACATAAATTCCCCTAAATAATATGGGACCTGAAACTCAGATTTGCTACACTCATACATACCCTACCTACCAAACCCACTTGGCCATAATCAAATGATGCATGTTATGTGGTTTGGTCTCACTGTCACCAAATGCTCCATGTTATATTGACAAGATCATTTCCATCTGGCCATTAGATCACTTGTGGGTCCCCCCAGCTGGTCCATCTGATACCTTCAAATCCAACCCTATTGCCCATTATGCCTCCTCTCCCACTAAAGTATTCCAATTTCACAATCAAACTTATATAAAATAATTATTAAAAAAAGCACCAAATTATTCAGAGAAGCTTCCTCGCATTAAAATATAGGGCAAATGCATGTAGGGCAAATGCTGTCTCCACTAAAGTATAGGGCAAATGCGTGAGAGCTTATCAATTGGCACATGATAGTGTTTGCGCTGTGTAGGGACATATAGGTAATTATAATATGTCCTACAAGGGACCAAATTGGACACGTGTCAGCTACCTGTGGTGAAAGGTGTAAACTTATTTTGCTAATTATTGTGGGAGCTTGGCGTAGATGCGTCTGTTTGCTTTTCAAAAGGGGATTTTGCATACTATTCTACTTTACTGAAATCAAAACAGGTTTTTCCCGGTTTCCGGTTACACAGAAAAAGGTGAACTTTTGAAACAAGTGAGAAGCCGAGAAACTGGTTTGGACTTTGGAGGCTTTTGCTGTAACGGGCAGTTCTACAATGGCTCTTCAACCAGGTAACTCTCTCTCTCTCTCCCTCAGTTGCTGCAAAATGTGAGTTCTTTCATGTGTTTTCTTTCTCATTAGTGTTTCAGAAAAGCTTGAGCTTGAGCTTGCATGGTTGTTTTGGTGGGTTTGTTGTAGTTATGTAAAATTTTGAATCTTTGGGTTATGGGATTTATGCTTATACATGGGGTTTTGCTTTTCTTTCGTATCTTTTTTCTTGGGCTTTCAATTTTACTGGTCAATACATATTATGCTTCGTTTTGAATGGTTAAGGTATTTTGACTTTGGGTTAGAAAACATATAAGGTGGTGGATGAGCCTATGCCTGTTGGAACTGTAAATTCATTTCTGGATTTGTTTGTCAAATTTGAGAGGTGGACTTGTTTCAATAGCATTGATGCTTAACACCCAACAGAAAGAAACTCATGTGGGATTAATGCCCAGAACCAAATGGGATTTCTGAAATTTATCTGAAATTTGATCAGTTTATGTTATGCAGTAGGTGATTGATGCCGAACGTTGCGGTTTGTGCGAAGTAAAGAGCTTATGATCTGAAACCATATCGTGCATCATGAGTATATGACTATATGACGTGGGAAGCTTCTTTTGGATGTAGATTTTGAGCATGGGTTTTTTTCCAGAGGACCCTTTTGCAAATGGTCTTAACTTTGTTCTAAGAACCAGGCTAATTACTATGCTGAATTGTGATATTGAGAGTTAAGGATACTGTTGGGTTATGGACACAGCCAACAACAATGATACTAGCCAGCCTTCAAACCAATTCTGCAATTCTTACAGAGTGGCAAGCCTTTTTGACACAATTCTGGAAGCATCCCAAGTGGCAAATTTGAAAGACCGGTATATTCTGGGTGAGCAATTAGGATGGGGACAGTTTGGTGTCATTAGGGCATGCTCAGATAAGTTTACTGGTGAGGTTTTAGCTTGCAAGTCTATTGCCAAAGATAAATTGGTCACACATGATGATGCACGCAGCATCAAGCTTGAGATTGAAATATTGTCTAGGTTGTCTGGGCATCCGAATGTTGTAAATCTCAAGGCAGTTTATGAGGAGGAAAATTATGTGCATTTATTGATGGAGTTATGCGCTGGAGGGGAGCTTTTTCACCGCCTTGAGAAGCAGGGAAGATTCTCAGAAACTGATGCTCAGGTTCTTTTTAGACATCTGATGCAAGTTGTTAAGTATTGCCATGAGAATGGCGTTGTTCATAGAGATTTGAAACCGGAAAACATTCTCTTGGCTACAACTTCTTCATCCTCACCAATTAAGTTGGCAGACTTTGGTCTTGCAACCTACATCAAACCTGGTGATTTTTTTTATAATCTCATCTTCTTACATTTTTATATGTAGGTCTTTCTACCAGACTTACATATCTATATCATTTTTATCCACCTGGATGTTTTGTATCAACAGGGAAGAAATTGCATGGGACTGTTGGAAGTCCATTTTACATAGCTCCTGAGGTGCTTACAGGAGGTTATGACCAGTCTGCTGATGTATGGAGTGCTGGAGTTATTTTGTACATTCTTCTTAGTGGGATACCTCCTTTCTGGGGTAAGACTAAGTCAAGAATATTTGATGCTGTAAGGGCTGCGGATCTATGGTTCCCTCCGGATCCTTGGGATCATATATCTGTGTCCGCCAAGGACTTGATTGCTGAAATGCTTTGCGTCGATCCTTCCAGGAGGCTCACAGCTGCACAGGTTTTAGGTACGTCACTGTGTCATTGTTAAATTTTATAGTCTGTACCCTGTATCTGTAATAATCACTTATGGTGTGTTTGGATGAGAAAAATAAACTTGGAATTTTGATAAAAATCAAAATTTATGAAATGACTTGCTAATTTCCTTGTTTGGGTTCATAAACATAGACATTAATAAATTCTATGTGGAAATAAACTTGGCATTTGTGGCTCATGAATTCCAACTTGAAATTCTACCTGAGAATGTGTTATTTCCAAAATCCCACAATAATGAAAGGTTTTAAAGATAAACTTTAGATTCTGTAATGAAATTTCATTACGATGCCTAATAGGTTTCCGAAACAAGAACTTTGAATCTCATATTTTAAATTTCATCTTTTAAACATTCCTTAATACTCTTAAACTCTACGCATCCAAACGCACCGTAAAAGACTCCATATCATTTCTCTGTATTCAGAAGCTAAACTTGTGGTTTAGGATATGATTAAATAAAATTTGCTTTATAATTTGAAGTTGAATTTTTGGACAGTAGCGACACAATTATGTGCTTTGGACTCTAGTGCTTATCATTGATATTATTATTAATTTTTTAATTTTATTTTAGAAAGAGAGGAGGGGGTGTGGAGTACGGTTATAATCAACTTTCCTGCAAGTTATTAAATTTACAAATTCGTCAATCTTGAGTTGGCAGTGCGTTTAAGCAGTTTCTTTTTCAATTTGATTAATCCAACACAAGAATTTAATCCTCTAGAAACTGTCCATGAAAAGTCATCATCCACGTCTTCACATTGCTCGAATATTGATTCTAGACCTTTATTCCAAGTTCTGTTCTTAATAGTGTTTGGTAATGCAGCTCATCCATGGTTGCAAAGTTGTGCATGTGCGAGTAAAGAGACGTACAAGCAGAACAACCAAGTTTGCAGACAACTGGAAGTGGGTGGAGGTTCTTTCTCTACCCCATTTATTGATAGGAATCAGGACTTTAGCTTCAGTGATGGGTCACCCACAGCTGGTGATGTGGAACTGTGGCAATCACCTGCATTCACGTGCAAATCATCTTTCTCTACTTTCCTAGTAGGCAATAGTAGTCTTTGCCCTGCATCTGGAGGCTTTTCTTTCAGCAGCTGCTATGAACCAAGTGCAGCTGAGTTTTCTTCACCAGTTCCATCAATGCCAAGCTTTACCTTCTTCAGTCCAAGTTCTTCAGTAGCGGAAGGAGATATATCATTGAGATTTACAACCAATATGTCCATGTTGGATGCAAGTTATGGAGGTAAACATTTCCTTTTTCCTGGCTCATTTGTTTATACAAGGAGGCTGGCTATAATAGCAAAATAATAGATTAATGTTTATAGCTTTCGGCATGTCTCATTGTGGTCTTAATGCAGTACTAATTCAAAACTCTGCATTATATATTTAGCTCCCTTGTTTCGGGAAACTGATATATAGCTTTCCTTAAAATCCTTCATTGGTTTCTTTCTGTTTGGATATGCAGAGTCAAGTGCAGAGAAGCTGTTAGTGCTGTCAGATTGCTCGCCTGTTAAGCATGACGGTGAAGAAATAGAGCGCAAAGAATTCCGGAGAGGTGGAACAAATGGGTCGTCTAGGGCTGCTGGGATCCACAGTAAGAGGAACCACACAATTGGACATGGTGAGCTTGATCAGCTAAATCTCGTTATGACCGAATCAGTCATCCGTTGGGCATCATGCACGCAAATTCCCACCGTTCCATCTCTTAGATTGTCACTTGTCTGCTAGAAGACCGGTTCAAGTGTCTAGACCAGCCATGAGGGGCACATAATTTATAACATACTGATACGCCTAATGTAAAATGGGACATACACAAATTCGTGGAGTGTCTGTTTGATCTGAAGAGCTGAACTCTCTGGTGTATGTATAGAGGCCTCTTTGCGTTAATTTTGAGGTGCAAAAGATAGGGTGACGATGCTTTTCTAGTTTTTAAAGTTGATTTTCTAAATGTTGTGTAGAACATTAAAATGTATGTGACAGACCATAAAAAGAAAAAGAAAGAAAAAAACGTCAAATGGCTTCTGATTAGTCATTCAAGAATATTTATATTTAAATTTCAGTCTAAGTACATACCATTTGGTTTAGTAGGCTCACTTAAATGTTAAAACACAATTAAGAAAGAGAAAAAAGGAGATCTTGATAATTAATTTATGCTGTGCTCGTTAACAAATCAAGCAAAAATTATAAAAATGTGCGTCTGCCGGGAGTCGAACCCGGGTCTATTGCTTGGAAGGCAATTATCCTAACCGTTGGACTACAAACGCAATGCAGGATATCAATCCCCCGTTTATTATATAACAAATAACGGCTTAAACTTCAACAGCCCAAACAAGCCCTGAGATTTTCCAACGCTTAGAGCATTGGCAGCAAGGGGCCTAAGGGGAGGGTTGGGGGGCAAATCCAAAATGTGGTTTCCAGCAACAAGAAGTTGCCAGGGCAAGCAGTGGGGCCCACAAACCTGGGCTGGCCCGAGCGCCAACCCGAGGACGTGCTGGGTTTAAAGTTTTTTAAAGCTGGCGCATGCAATACACACGCCAACTTTAAAAAAAATTTGAAGCGCCGCTACAGTGACAGCCCAATGGCTATCTTCCACGTGTCTTCTGTTGGGCCATTCGATTAGCTTTTTAAACATATCCAACGGCAGACATTTTTTCGTGAATAAAAAAATTGAAAAAGCAACCCCCAACGGCTCTATGCCACGTGGAAGCTCCTGGGCTCTCCGATCATTTTTTTCCAGCAATCCAACGGCAGACAATTTTTTGCCCAATAAAAAAATGAAAAAAAATCGAAAAAAATTTAAAAAAATACAAAAAAATACATATTTATTATTTTTTTTTCTATAAATACCAACCAATACTCTTCACTTTTAAAACCAACTCCTCATCCAAATTAATTGTTTAAGTAAACAAAGTTGTGAAAAAAACAAAAAAATGAATAGTATTTGCCATGGCAAGCCTTGCACTGCTGGAAACACAAATTTTTTTTTGGTGCTAGGGCAGCCACTATTCACGCGAATAGTAGCCGCCCTAGGGCTCCCCTTGCCATGGCAAGGGGCTAACTAGTGGAAGTGCTCTTAAAGGTAAAATACCTTACCCAAACCTTAAGAAAATTAGTTAAACAAACACCAAAAAAGTTACAATTTTCCTGTATTTATTTTTCTTCAGTTTTCTGACAAACCAAACACAGTATTAACTTCAAAGGAGATGATGGGTTCAAGTTCAAGCGTTTATCTTTAGTTGTCTTCTTGTTGTTGATATACATATTGGGCTTATTGGGCTCATTTGGTGTCTAGAATTGGATTGGATAAGTCACTTAATCTAAAGTATGTCAAAGGAAGAAATGAAGGTAGAGATAACTGATTTTCTATTTTATAATTTTTTTTTTGGTCAAATCATTTTGGTGGGATTAAGAGTGACAAGTTATAAGGCGGTGTTCTTCGGATCCAAGTTTTTTTCATGAGTAATCCATTTCTACCTTCAACTTGGTCAAAAAATTTCATTTCTTCAACATACTTTAAACATAGGGAATTATCCAATCTATTACTAGGTACTTTCATGTAGGGGTGGTTGCAGTTCGGTAACCGCGAATTTTTACTCAAACCGTAAACCGACCGACTATTTGCGGTTTGGTGATTTTTGAAACCACAAACTAACCGCGTTTTGCGGTTTAAAACCGCAAGTTCTCAAGCATTCACAAAAATATAAATTCACAACCTAAATAAATAAATACACAACCTTAATTTCTCAAGCATATATAAATTTACAATCTCCTCAACTTCTCAAGCATTCACAACCTAAGAAAATTAAAGTTACAATTCCAAGCATTCCAATTAAAGTTAAACTTCTCAAGCATTCCAATTCCAAATCCTTTAAAGTTACAAACCAAAAGGAAAATGAAAAGCAAAATGAATTAAAGTTACAACAAAAAAGAAAAATTCAATTCAAAGTTAATTAAAGTTACAAACTAAAAGGAAAATGCAATACACCAATGTTACAAACTCAAGTGTTGGTGGTAAGTGGATTTGAAGAACCCCGTTGTGTTGTTTGAGCACCAATGTTATCTACAAATAAAACAACAAAGTTTAGTATATCTTATTATAAGAAGAAGCATAAATAACATTAGCATAAATAAACTAATTACTTACAAGTTGTCATATGTTCCATTTCCTTATAAAATTCAACCTCATCATCCGTGCGACTATACTTTGCGGTTTGCGGTAACCGCAAGTTTTGAAAATCAAATACCGCAACCGCAAATGCGGTTCGGTTCTTAATACTGCAAATGCGGTTCAGTTTACCGCGATGACGATTTCATTGCAGTAAATTGTCGGTTGGTTTTTGCGGTTTAAAATGCCACCCTTACTTTCACGAGTAATCCATTTCTACCTTCAACTCGGTCAAAAAATTTCATTTCTTCAACATACTTTAAACATAAGGAATTATCCAATCTATTACTAGGCACCAAACGAGCCCTGCTAGGAACCCCTTTGCTTCCTTCTCTCTAATACTGTGAGATATACGCGCGGTTGGCAAGTCAAAAAATATATTTTGCAGAAAAGAAGAGCACCAACCTTGCACATGGACTTAAACCCACAACATGCATAACAAGTATGGAGGGGACATTCAAGGACAAAAAGTTGGCTAAGTAATTGCATAGAGTCATACAGCAATTGACGGGTAATGGGATAAAGAGCGTAAAGTACAGCTTTGCAGCAACACATAAGCACTATCATTCTTCTCTTATGGTACAAGATTGGTAGCCCCTTGAAGATACACACTAACTTTATTGAGACTAACATAAAAAACAACCCTCCGCTCGATTCGGAGCTTCAAGAAAAGAGCCAGCTAACAAAGCTGCCCTTGCAAAATTCAAAAATAACAATGAAATTTTTTTTTGAATCCTTTCTAGTAGTACACTATTACATTGTTGTAGCTCACGGTACAGTACTGCAACTCGCTTTCAGGATGCAGGGGCATATTCTTGGATTGCTGTGGCCAGTTTGTTTCTATCCTCCTCTGTTTTCAACCTAATCAAGAAGGTACGCGCAACAGCACTACCATCATTTCCATCACCTTCGCCCTACAAAAGCCAAGGGAAATTGCAATCATTGTTGCATTACATGAATTACAAGTTGTGCATAAGTCAGTTAAGCCCCACTACTAATCGAGACACGATGATATCTTTTGTTTTTAAAGATTTATTTTACATATAAGCAGGTTAAAAAGAATTCAATTCTCTAAAATTCTTTAATCAGACACAAACACTGGATTTTTTTATTTCCCAAAACGAATCAAAAACATAACACTGTGATACACAAAAATAATTATTTCAAATTTCCCTAGAGAATACGGGTGTGTGTATTTCTCTCAGATCTACGAGGATTAAACCTAATCAACTAACCACCCCAGAATCCCAGAGAAAAGCAATCAAGAATAACTCCCAACAGCTACTCCAATTTTTTTTCCTTTTTGCAGCCAAACATCTTATAATGGCGTTTTTTGAGAGCCAGATGTTTAATTCAGAACCCTGCCTTAATTTTTTTTCTTTGTACAGTTAAATTGACCAAACATTCTAATTGAATATCCAAATATGAGCATTGTATTACCATAGTATGGAATATTGCAACAATGGAATTCTTCTGTAGATTCGTCTTGATGCCTGAATATAACAAAGCATTAAGCTGCACTTTCCCCACCTGCCATCATAAATAGTATACAACGTGAAACTTCAGTTGAAGACGAACTTCTAATTGCAAGGAGTTCATCATGATGCCATTAGATAAATAATATGCCATACTGCAAACAATGAAAAGGGGACAAGAGAAATAGAAAAAAAAAGGTATACTATTTACATGTGTTCAAGAAAGGAACGGGAAAGAAAGATATAGAAGATTTTCCTTGCTTTCTCAAATCAAAGAAAATCTACTAACTAAACACCACACTCACTTCCTAAAGCACAGAATAGAACTAAAAGAACAGATGTTAAAGTGTCAAACTGCATTTTAATATTTGAAACCACATATGCGTATAAGGAAACATACATCATTTCGAACAATGATTGTTGGTTTTGATTCTTTTGTACCCTTGCTGACACCCTCTTTGCATTTAATAGATAGCTGCCCTGTGCCTTTATCTTTCCATGCATCTTTATCTGCTGGATCACTTGACTGGACATATTCAGAAGAAAAAGGGTGTTGAAAAAAGTCAGTGGAAATGTGAAGTTACAAATGGTGCTTGGCACATACAATGTCAGAATGCCAGATTTTAGAAAAAAATGTGTTGCGGCAATCAAGAAGATAGCCAAAACATTGAACTAAAAACCCCATCAAAGTTATCATGCAGATGTGAAATAGACATAAATAGCATCACAAAAATTTCTAAAAGATGGAAGTATCTCAGACCACAAATACAGCCAGTTAAGCTTGCAAGAGAAACAAATGACATGCATAATTATTTTAATAACTTCACATGAGTACACACTAAAATTCCTAACACAGTACCATATACAAAAACTTACAAAACGTTCTAGGGTTGCTATGTAACTTTAATCAATCATCATGATGCACATTAGCCTGATAGGAGGAGCATCATAGTTGTTGACCCAGGCAACATAGCCTTCGATACATGAAGTAAGACTCATTTTCTAAAGGCTACAACTGTTCCTCCTTTTTATTTCACAGCGACAGGTAGAACTTAATTTTGGAAAATAAGCTACGTCCTTATTCCTTTTTCTTTTGTGGGGAACACAGTAGAATACTGATGCCATACGGCACAAATTTAGCATTGCTAATTGCAACCCAACGGTTTAAATTATTTATAGCAGCCAAAAAATTTAAGGATGAGATATTTCACCCAAAAATAGGGACAGCAAATACGAAATGCATAACTTAGTCCTGATGCTGCAATGCACATGTGTAAGTCTACCAATGCGTATTGTTTAAAGGCCATATTCTGCACATATGGATGTCTTATATGATAACACCCTCATATATACCTCATACTGGAAAATCCGAAAGAAGTATCAATGGACTGATACCAGCACACATTATTATAAACTTTGAACAAAACAAAGACTAAATGTTAGATACAAGAAAAAAAAAATTCAAATCCAATATTTGGAAATCACTCAAAGTAAGATGTTTAATTAGTCCCAGCATACAAAATAGTTAAAATAATTCTTATCACACATACTGGGGGAGAGCATGAATAAATAGATGAATGTTATCTTAATGAACAGAGAACAATACAAAATTTCATATCCACACCTTCACATAAAGTTTGCACTTGACTTCATGGACCAGGACAACACCCTTTTCTTCAGACTTTTTCACAGATGGGCTGCTAGGTTGCTCCAAGTCATTTTCTGAACCAGAACAAGAACATTCAATACTTACACAGAATCAAGAAGACCATATCCAGATAATTCCTACAATTATCTGTGAAGGTAAACTTCACCATTAAACTTTAACAGCTATAAATGTGGCGGGTGTAGTACAATGCAAACCCTATATGTCCACAAGCTTGGACCATGAACCTGACATGAAGGCACAAATACAATCACGTCTTTCAACAAGACCCACTAGTAGAAAACTAAAAGTCACGCAACTCTGTCTAAAAACATCCACCATAGTCATGAAAAGCTTCTTCATATTGTCAAAAAAAATCCAATAGAGCAGCCACAAGCATTTGAACATGATATGCAAACTCCTCACATTGCAAGTCAACGAAGTTTCCTTTGTCTGTTGATAGTCTTTAAAACCAAGAAAAAAATATTATTGTCTCACGTTTACTAAATGAGGTGGCTATTCCTTTTCTAATTGGGTGCCCATGAAGCATGTCAGTGTTGGAGGGCTCACTGTGTCCAACAAAGACATTGACTGACCGGTCTCCAAGCTTCAAATCACAGGTGCACCAAATTAAAACATATTTTGTTTCATCTTATGTTGCTGCCCTTCGAGGTTACAAAATTAATTGACAAATTAACAACTGATTAAAATGCTGAGCCCTGGATAAAAAGGAACCAAAAATGAGGTGGCATTCAGTAATCACAAATATTTCTAGCAAACCAAATCCAAACCAAACATTGGAGGCTTAAAAGCTTCATTCAGAGAAATGTTTCTATATAACAAGTTGAGAACTTGTTCATCAAGAAAATAACTACATTTGGATACTTAAAGCATATTAAATAAAATATGTAGTGGAATCAATCATCTATGAAGAGCAATTTGAGGGAAAAATAAAAGCATTAAAAGATAAAAGAGCAAAAACTTTATTGTCTCACCAGCATCTGCTTCATCTGAAGCATCATGCTTTGTGGGAACCGAACTTTGAATTCCTGGTACCAAATAACCAAAAAACAGAAGTCAAATACACATCGAACTCACAGAAGTAACACTACTCTACTCAAAAAGAGGACGGCTGGTAAATATTCAAGGGTGTCAGTTTTTCCTTAACCTTTTAATTAAGATGCAATATGTTCAAATACTAGCAACAAATCAATGACAGGCAGAAATCAAGTAATGAATTAAATGATATCAAGCTACTTGCAACCATTTTCAACTGAAGACATAAAATTTCTAAATTTATTAGGCTTTGGAATCCACAAGTTTATCATAAAACTCCGGAAAATACTGTAAAATTTCAGCGTTTTCTCCGGGCGGGCATAACCTATATTACTTATACTATGTTATTTCTATGCATAAAAATGAATCAACTGCAATCTGAACTCCTTGACTTGGGTTTCTGCTATAAATCCACATACCTTTTAGCACTGAAACATTATTTTAGCACATAATCTCAATTTATAATTGGATCTACTACTATAAAAATCGAGACCATTAGCACCCTAAATGAAACATGTCAATAAAACAACACCTACCAAACAAGGCAGGGGGCTGACTGTTGGAGGACAACCCAGAGCTTTGACTGTTGGAAAATAATCCAAAACTGGGAGTGCTGGAGAATGTTGCAGAACTTTGATTATTGGAGGACAATCCAGAGCTTTGACTGTTGGAGAATAACCCAAAACTGGGAGTTTTGGAGAACGCCGCAGAACTTTGACTATTGGAAAATACTCCGGAGCTTTGAGTATTGGAAAATATTCCGGAGCTTTGAACACTGGAGAAGACTGGGGAGATCTGGCTGCTGGATACTCCCGAAGAGCTTTGGCTGTTGGAAGATACTCCTGCAGAACTTTGGCCAGTAGGTAGTTCACCTGTAGAGCTGTGGTTGTTGGAGAAGACTCCAGTAGAACTTTGGCTGTTGGAGAAGACTCCAGTAGAAATTTGGCTGTTGGAGAACACTCCAGAACTCCATAAAGCTGGTGAGCTCTGGCTGCTGAATACTCCCGAAGAGCTTTGACTGTTGGAAGACACTCCTTCAGACCTTTGGCGGAAAGGGTATTCTCCTGTGGAGCAGTGGTTGTTGGAGAAGACTCCTGCAGAGCTTTGGCTGTTGGAGTATAATCCAGAACTTGCAAAGTTAGCAGTTGTACCAACTGGTGCGAACAGGGGTTTTGGCTGAAAATATTTATCCTTATTCGTGGACTCAGGCACCATTTTCTTTTCAGCAGTTGGAGCCCCTGCCAAATTTTCTCCTTTTGCAGCATTTACTTTAAGCCAGTTAACGACGTCACTGAATTTTTCCTGACATGAGAGGGTGAACACACAAAAAATAAGTGGACAAAACTAAATTCGACATACATTTACTTGAAGATAGCCTTTTTTCTTCAGAACAGGAGTGGGGGAAGGGAACTGATGGTAGTACAAGAGGAAAAAAGGGCCATGCAGGTGAAAACCTATGCCAACACCACCCACCGTGCCATAGGAAAAAATTAGGAGGGAAATAGAGGTCTTGAACAAGCAATTATCAAATATGGTCCAAATGGCTTCTGTAAAACAACTCTGTTCAAAACATCATATGCTTGCTAAGAAGGTATAAGTACCTAGACTGGATACATAACCTTCCAACAGATATAAAGTTCTAAGGAAATACCATAATGTTTGAAGCATGAGCTAGGTAGTCTCGGAGACCATCTTCCCAAAGTTCATCAGGATGATTTTTTAGTTGTGATTGTACCCAACTGTACAAAATGAGGCATACTTTAGAGAGAACATTATCAATTCCCAAAGGTCCACAAAACATAAGACAACTGAGGACCATGTATCTGACTAGCAGAAATAATTTCCAAGAACAAATAGGACATTTAAAAATTGTAAAAACTTCAATATAGAACAACGCATATCAAGTCACATTGAGATAAGGAAATGCATACGCCATATTTGATAAAGAAGAACAGTGTCAACAAAAAGAAACGAATTTAGTTGGAACCATAACAAGAAATTTTAACATAACTACATACTATATGATGAAAGCATAGTTGTAGAAACAGAAATAAGGTGGACCTTGCAAATTGGGTGTTGAGAGCTCTCACATGCTGCCGTGATGACGCAGCCCGATGTGCATTCAATACAGGTGTATCTATCGACTGCTCTTGAGAAGGCTCTGCCCTATTAGCATCACATGAGGATCCTGCCATTATCCTTTTATTCCGGAACTGCATATTGTTGAAAGAGAAATATAATAAACACCAACACAACAACTGATATTCCAACAGAAAGCCTAACTTATCCACTGCCAATAAATACAGATTCTACATATTTTCCTATTGAAAGGGGAAACTTTAATATTACTCCAAGTCAAAGCTAATAAGCCTGACATCAATAAAATCTGCTCCCTGGTCCTTCTAGTTCTACTATAACCATGCCATCCTTATTCCCCTCTCCAAGCCTCAACAAACAGAATGGAAGCACAATTGTCTTTCTAAAGTCTGCATGTCTCCCACATCGTTTTCTTTTTTTCTTTTTTCGATTCAGCTTACTGTCTTCACGCTTAGTTTGAGACAAAATGAAGGCAGCACGGTCGAAATTGCATGGTAATGACCTAATGACCGCTAGGTTCTATTAAAATTCCAGCAAGGCAAGTCTCTCATGTAGGTTAGCTAAATACTGTAAGCACCCCCCAACCTCCTTCCGGTTCTGAGTTCTGAATGGTCACTGATTATCAAATTCTATTCAAAGCTAAAAGCCCAAAAGGGTACTCGAGTCAGAATATGCAACCCAAAAACTTAACCTAAAACTATTATACACCAACTAAATAGATAAATAAAATCCTAAATCAAGTGAGAAATTTAATCTGCTTTATTGTCCTGATACTGCTTAGTTTTAATTTACTTTTCTTGCTTTGTCACTTGTTGTAGCCCCAAAATCCTTGGTCAGTTCAGGAATTGACCAAAAGTGAAAATATTTAACAAATAATATCTTAAGGCAATCTGAAAAACTGATAAAAATCCCATGACTTAAACTATAATGCAAACACTATAAGCTAATTCCACAGAAACTGCTCTACTATAGTAGCTTAAAATTTAAAACCTTTGAAATTTATTGACACAAATAGAAAAACCCAAATACACATGGCCCCCAATATGCTTCAATACGCAAAATAGAAACTCGCAATTAGGGTTTTCAGAACCTTTTAATAAAAACGAACAAGAAAACAACAAAAGGTGAAATTTTTTAAAGGAAAAGTGCAACTCACGGCCGAGTCAGGATTGGAGTCCGATACGGCGAAACGTTTCGTCCCTTTCGTCATCATGATTCGGGCTTTCCTTGTTCAAAAGCGAAATAGGGTTCTTCAAAAAATTTCTGCTTTTGTCACAGACTAGACTCTGCAAGCAAAACGAGGAACAAAAAAAACCTTTTCCTCCTATTTTTTGTTTCTTCAATAAAAATATTTTGAAGAAGAAAAAAAAAAGGAAAGCTGGTTAGAGCCTTTGGATCAGGTGGGGAACGAACTTTTAATTGGGACCTTTGGATTGGCTTCCCACTATAGAGCATTTCACGTGTGTTTTTGTTTCGATTGGGAACTCTCCCATCTGTCTGCGGTCTTTTTTATTTTTAATTATTTTTTTATAACGGCTGCAATATTTTTTGTAAGCAACTCGAATTCAATTGTAATTTCACTCTTTTAGGCATTTTGTGCTTTAAAAACGTCGTTATTGAATTGAATTATAAACATATTAACTTTGATAAATCGGTCACCCTTAAATTCCTAAATTTAGATCAAAATATAAGTTTAATTATGTGGATAAAAAAATTACAGAATACTATAGTAATATAATTATGTAGTACAACATGTACACATATTATAATATAGATAGACGACTAGATGGAGGTATGAATATAACTTTAAACTCATATTCAAAGTTTGAATATAACTACTATTTTGGACCTAAATATTAGAATTTGAGTATGAGATTGCATTGGAAATGGGTGGTGTGGCAATGCTAAAATGTAGCTCTTTTAACTTCTTTAATGATGTGCTACTTTTTTTTATTTTTATTTTATTTATAATTATTATAAGATATTTACAAACATTTTATACAATGAATCGCAATTAGATATCCAACTCGTAACAAATTTATATCATCATTGCCTCACATGCTAGAAATTGTACTAAATATCACACAACAAAATGATTTATTATTATTTTAAATATGACATTTGCGAGACTTTTGATATTAAGAGGTAAAATATTCATCACCATATGAAACACTTCATGACATTGATAGATCCCTCGATTTTTTTTTATTTTTTTTTCACCTTCTATGCCATTAATTAGAATCAAATGAACCATTGGAGTATGCACCACACTACAGCTTATTTAACTTTGGGTGTCTAAAAATAAAGAATTGCACACCCACCACCCATTGGTGTGCTCTAGATAAAGAAAATTGAAATCATTTAGTAACACAAAATCACAAGCAACTGGTTGACCCAAAAAAAAATCATAAGCAACTATCTTATGAAAATTTGATTCAATTTCTGAAATGCTTTGAACGGGTGAAACCATTTTCACCTCAAAATTTACATGACTTCTAGAATGGTATTCCTGGAACATTAGTTTCCTCACCCAAAACAGAAAAATGCAAGGTACATTTTCTACCACTATTGGGGCTTCAGCTCATTATGTTTTGGAAGAAACTAATTCCTATCCATTCTAGTTGTCCCCAGCACAATTGTCATAAATTTTCTCCCTTGATGACTAAACTAGCCAACATTCCCCTCACTTTCTGTTGTTAAGTTGTTACCTTTCTTGTATCTTCGAGTATGTGTGGAACTATTTTTCAGGGAAAAAAAAACCCTAAAAAGTGAAGAACAAGAACAAAGAAAACGGCAGCCTTCATGTTCACACCAAAGACCTTTCCTCTTCGACTTCTGATCCTTTTTCGTTCGTCACCGGACTCTTCCCCGCTTTCAAAGATCTTCCATGTTTGGCAACAGCACTTCTGCCAGGGGCTTTGTGTTCTGGCAACATCTTCATCATGATCCCCATGGCTATAAGCAGCAGGCCTGTTCCATGCTGGTCTGTCAAGGGCTTTGTGAATATCATATACGACAGCAACAATGTGACTGCCTTTCTAGCAGTTGTAATCTGCATAACACATATATGAAGGTCATTTGAAATATTGAAATCATGAACTTAGCTGCAGCTGAAAATTACCATAATAGAAATTTAGACTTTAAGAAGCTTAGGAGGAGAAAATTACCATGGCAGTTGTGGCAGCTCCAAAAAGGGCAATGAGAGATAGGACAGATACTTGGCCAACATATGTGGCCATGGCTTCGAACACTAACACGCCATACACATAAGGATGCTGCAAAACATTGACAGAAGCATAATAAACATAAGAAACTAGATATAGTGCAACAAAGATTAGCCTTAAAATTGGACAGCATAAAGAGTATTGGCAGTCCAGATGTAAAACTAATATTATTCTCTACTTAACCACCATGTGAAGTTCATGTGTAGATTTTCTATCATAGGGAAACCACTTATATATTGTGGTACAATTGTGATTGATCCATATTTCTTAACAATTTTCGCCTTGGATCAAATCGAATCATCCGTCCATCATCTCAAAGTAAAACTTTAGTTCAAGAAAACCTCAATGCAAATGAGAGATATCCATTTGATACTCCCCATATATATGTGTGGTCAATGTCGGAGAATTAATCTGAGATTCGTCAACTATCAAATCATGGATCTCCATGATGAATTCCATATTAGATGGGCATGATGGGCACGCCATTAATGACTTGACTACAATACTACTCTTTGTGAAATCAAAGTGAAGATTAGACATCACTTACCTCATAACAAGAATTCCAGGCCTTAAACAGTTCTCCTGTAAGAATCATGGGTGGAAGTAGAAATGGCAAGCCAACAACTGTTGAGCAGAACAACATCTCTGTCTGTAGAAAGCAAAAAGTATAACAGAAAATTATAAAGACAAAAGGGTAACAGTTTTATCCAAAATTCTATATGCATTTGACGAACCATGAAATGACTTAACAGGAACTGAAGATCACCTGTGAGGTATCCGGATTTACGGTAAAGATTGCTTCTTGCAGGTTACCCAAAAAGGCATCCATGACTAGAGAACCCGATATCATTATCACACCAGCTATGCTAAAATTGGGAGATGTCTGTGCATCTGCTAAGGTGAAAAGGATCAAACCAATTACTAGAAACATTGCTGAGATGTATTCATGAATTGGGTATCTCCTTCTCAATCCAGGAACAAACGCACCCATCAACATCACAGGCAGTACCTGCATTGTCACAATCACAGTATGTCATAAATTAGGGAGGCCTAATTGACTTCGCAAAAAATTAAAAAGGCTCACAAAGCAGATCATGTAGATTTATTGACAGTTTACCTTCGTTGATTTGAACATTATCTGTGCAGGATAATTGAGCCAAGCCAACGATCCCTTGGTCAATCCTTGAGAACCCATAAGAACGGCCGAGAGCTTCACATATGTCTTCCATGGGTTCACAATTTGCTTGGTGGTGAAACCTTGAAGGTATATGAGCGCGATATACACAAAACCTTGTACAAAGGTGAAGTACCATCCATAGCTGCAAAATTGGAAAAGATAAAGTTAGGTATACATAAGACCAGAGACAGATGAATAATAGAAGAAAGAATCACCAAACAGATTGGGATATAAGATTGAGCAAGGCCACTAACCTGAATTGGAGACGATTATACACGTATTCCTGAGATTAAGGTAAACATGTTAATTAAAATATAAGAAAGATAAAGGTTGCTTTTCAAGTTGGAAAGAAAGAAAATCCATGAGTATTATTACTATTAATTATTTCTGAAAGCAGGACAAGGAATTTAAGACCATCCAACAGAGAACAGGAAAAAGACACTTGAGAGGCATAACCAGGAAATGGCAATGAAGGTTCGTATTTAGTATTTACCAAACATTCTACCAAACTCTGTTTGGTAGCAGAGAAAAGTCTACGACAGAAAAAGGAAACTAAGATTTTTCTTTCCCCTTAATATTTCTAAAGATCAAAAACCACTGCAGAACCATTTAGAAGAATATACAAATATGACGTCTGAGATTGTAAATTCCAATTAACTTTCTTTCCCAGGATCTCCTAAACAATCACAAACTTTAACAAAAAGAAACTTAAAAAGAAATAAGGCAGATAGAAGAATGTTTAGAGTCCAGCCAAGAACAACCACAAAGTTTAACAATAGAAAGAATTAATTAATCTCAAAACAAACAAAAATGATCAAATGAAGTTAAAACAAACCTCGCAAATGCCATTAACGAGGTAACCAAAGAAGAACCCAGAAGAGCAAATGAGGAACTGTTGCCACCTGGGCCTATCAGAGAGTGAAATCCCAAACAGGAACCTAGCTTGATCCTGGTTCTTCATCTTATCGAAAATCAACACCACCCCACAATCTAATCAAAACCCAACAAAGTTCAGACACTGATCAAAACCAAAAACAAGAGCTTTCAGCTCTGCATGCTGTTCTTTACTGCAAAACACCACTTTTTATGAAAAGGGTCGGTTTCTTACACGAAGAAGATAAGTATCAGAGGCAGAATTAAACCCTTTTTCTAAGACAGAGAGATGAAGAGAGTTTGAGTTTTTTTTAATGGTGTTTTAACGCGCTCTCTTTCTCTTTCTCTCTATCTCTATCTGTCTCTTTAACAGGGAAGGTAGCCACCTGGCAATGAAGCTCCAGAGGCTTTGAAAGCAGGAAGTGTATTAATTGGGTTGGAGCAGCCTTTGGATTCACAACCCACCAATCACGGTATAATTGGAAGATTTTATAGAGTTTGAGTCAACCAGCAATTAAATTTCTTACGGAGAAGTTGGGTTGGATTTGATTTGGTTTGGTTTTTGGTCACTGGTTTGTCATTAATTTAATAGAGGTGGCATTGGTGGGTCAACTTGTAAAATTAACCTGACGGTTGCGATGAGAGCTGGAGTAAAAAAGACCAATGACTAAATGGGGGTTAATTTTCTTGTCACTTTACCTAACCAAAAAAGGTGACGGACGATGTTTTTACGCCAGCAAATTCTCTTTGCTCTCATTCCTAAATATTATAGCTAAAAAGAAGGAAAATCCTCCCTCTCTACTTGGCTCTCTATTTTGGATAACCAACTTTTGGCTCTCTACATCTAGCAAAGAGGAGAGAGAATTTGGCTAGGAGGAGAGAGATAGAGAAATTTGGGAAGTTGGTGGGGTTGGATTTCTATTTTTCTTTTTAATATATTTGATTTGCAAGAGAAATAGAGAATTTGTTTGCTATAAGAGGAATGCTAGCAACTTTCTCTCTAACTTTCTCCTTTGGACCATCTCCATTTTTTGCTTGACATGTGTCATTCTCCTTACACTTAAAACAATGTCATTAATATATTATACAAACTAACTTTTGCTTTCCAAGTTTACCCTTATTAAATGTATTCAATTTATCCAAATAAATTTCACAACTTTCTTACCATATTATTAAAAAAATTTAACTTTCATTATTTTTTTAAAGAAAATTTTTGCTTTTTTTAGAAAGAGGAAATGTCCTTATATATATATATATATATATAAAATCTAAACTTGATGTTAAAAAAAAGGGGACATTTCCTCCTTTTTTTTTAAGCAGACATTTTCTTAAATAAATAAAAAATTAATAATATGGTAAGAAAGTTGTGAATTTTTTTTGGATAGATTGAATACATTTAATAAGGGTAAACTTGGAAAACAAAAGTTAGCTTGTATAATATATTAATGACATTGTTTTAAGTGTAAGGAGAATGACACATGTCAAACTAAAAATTGAGAAAGTCCAAAAGAGAAGGTTAGAGAGAAGATTGCTAGCATTCCCCATATTTTTAAGGGAGACTTTGGAAAAACACAAAGGAGAGAGAAATTTTGTAAAAGAAGCCAAAATGGACAAAATTGCCCTTATTTATTTTTGGATTTCCTAAGGAATCCTTTACATTTGCATGTCTTTTATTTGAAAGTTGAAAGGTTTTTCTGTCTTTTTTGAAAAAGCTTTGGCTTTTTCCAAAAGTGAAAATTTTTTTTGGGCTAAAACCTAAATATACTTATTTGGGGTTTTTGTAAACATGGGTTTGAGTGAGCATTTAAAAAGAAATTAGCATATTATTTGGTGAACAAAATTCGATAGGATTGTGTGGCTCGATACAAATTGGATGATTCGTCGCTAATAGTGCCTTAAGTTTTTAAAGATATAATCCCACCTTAACAGTTCGTAACTTTATTGAGTTTGCACCAACGTTATTAGATTTAGTAATGTGTTTACGCTAATTAGCTATTTAACAAATTTTATCTTTTAAGCTAAAACACTATCAAATTATCAATCAAGGTAGAGGGGACATCCAAGGGCTTTAGGAAAACAAAACTATGTTCATCAAAGACGTTACTTCATTAGAAAGAAGAGAATCCAACCCAAACTAAAAGTTCACACAATATAAAACAAAATGGGCAATAGAGGGAGCAACTTTGTTGCAGGATCGAGTTCTCCATCAACATGTTGAGAGCATGAAACAACGAAAAGCAGCCATTTTACATCTTCTGTCAACACATAATTAAGTCTTTAAGTGACTCTTAAAAGAAAAATTAAAAGGTAGTTATATCTTTTTCCCATGTTGCCTAACAAAAAATTAAATAATGTTGCTTATCCTATTCCTAAATATATATATATATATATATATCTATAACACTCTTAACCTTATCCATCTTTTTGTGTTTTTTTGGTCTGTCATGCATGTTTGAGACACACAAAAGAAAGAAAAATGGATAAAAATTCGAATTTAAAATAATTTACACAAAAATGATATTGATCATGATGAAGAGAAAGACACAATCCAAACAGTTGCCAACAATTTCAAAATTTCATTCTTCTTTTGTTCCATGAATGTGGTTAATTTTGGACAAACCAAATGATCTATGTAGTTCCTTCCAGTCCTCAATCTATATAGTTTCCTTCCTCTCGAGCTGGTTTTAGCCATTCTAGCCAATGACCGTATGCTTCCAATTGACCAAACAACCTCCCATTCTTCTAACTGAGTGGCGATTTTCACACTCCCATTTTATCCGTACGCATTCTTCGGTCTCATTAACGATTAAAGCATGAAACAAGTAGAGGATTAAAAATTAAAATGGAAGTGTGAAAATCGCTACTCGTAACAACCTAGATTAAGATATCAAGTAACAACTCTTTCATCAAAGAATTCCAAACCTCAACTTCCAACTCCAAACCCACCTCTTGTTTCTCTTCCTCCAACTCCCTCCAATTCCCACAGTACTTGTCCATATCATTCACGTAAACTTTCCTACCATTTTCCACCTCCCATCCCAACAACAACTCCTGTGACTGCCCATTGATCCAATCCTCTGCCACCTTCATCACCTCTTTCATCACCACATTTTCTTCGCTGTTTTCGACCATTCGATCTCTGCACAAATCCAGCACCAACTTCTCTACCTTCAAAGTTACTAATTTGTTTGCTGGGGCACTACTTGTTTTGATCAGCTGCACCAGCTCTCCTGCTTTTTCTTGGGTGCTGTTAACAATTTGGGCTCCATGGTTATGGTTTGCACCCACCAAGGGTGATGTGGGTGCTTCGTCTTCCACCTCTGAGTCTGACATTATTTCATCCATTCGCTTCTCTAAGTCCACTGGCTCCAATTGAGCTAGGCCTTCAAACCGTCTGATCTTTTGCATAAGTTTTTGTTGGGTACCTGCACATTCATCATTTAATATCATAACTAGTAAAAACTAAGCACTTCTACACTTTCTAACATAAGTTTTTTGCGCATTTCTAGCCATAAGACTTTCCTCACACCGTCAGTCTAATGGGTCATTTTTGTATACCTATCTTTCTTATCACATGAATATGTGACGTTATGCGAAAGATAGAACATAAATGCTCTAGAACCGCCAATGGACCTTTTTTTTTATAAAAGAAAAAAAAGGGGAAAGGAGAGAGGAAAAGACATACCTTGCATGCGGGCAAGGCTACAACCGAATGGTGAGCTAGTCTGATCATCTTCGTCTTCAAATGGACAATCCAGTACGGACACTGGACTAAACTGTTCCTTCTCCTCTTTAATATTCAGCCACTCCTGCAATTTTGTTACAAAAACAATGTATTAGAACTATAATTAATCAGAATTAAATAGAATATTTGTGATCTGTGATGTTAGTGGCGTCACTTTAGCTCCAATACAGGCAAGATGGGCTTAGGCACATATTCTTATCCAAATTCCTCTTGCCCTTTTATGGTGACCCAAAACCTTAATTCTAATTAGAAAATTGGAAATTTTGGAAATTATAAATAAATAAATAAACTATTATTTTTTATTATTTATATATAATATAAATTATGAAGAGTTTCTCACACATACTAACAAAGTGCGGACAATTATTCTAATTTTTTTTTACCGAGAGAGCAAATGATAATAAATTGTCTCACCAAATAAAATTAATGAATATATAGTGCCTACCCTACCCAACATACCAGGACATAAAATAATAGTGGCGGTTAGATATGCCCAATATTCCGCCAACCCAACCAAAAATGACCAAACCCCTTTATCACCGACGGGACGACCCTAAAATTCCCAAACTACCCATGCGAGTTACAATTACTCCGCCTTCCCATTAAACGCCTTCGCTTCCAGTATAGGGGCTTTATAGTAAATTACATAAACTCCGTTTTAAATTGAAGAGGTGTGATCTAGTATCCCGTGTAACACGATACTAGGTAGTCTTGCAATTAACGACGCCGTATATCCCGCTAGTCGACAAGAAGTAGCGGGACCGTAGGCGTCCAACCACAGCCGTGAGAAGCACCTGATTCAATTCCCCAGATATACCCCACACGTGAAATTCACACAAAACGCAATCCCTAGGCCCACCCAACTGAGCCAGCTCAGTGTTTTCCCGCTTTACCAACAATTTCAAATTTCCCACTCCGTCCTTCACTAATCCCACCCAACATCTTATTATTTAGTCATGCCAGTGAGTCCGTCCCCTCAAACCGAAATTATATCTACATTTTTGTATATTAAATTAATTCAAAATAATTTAAACAAGTTTGTATCAAATGATAAATTAATTCATAAAGTTAGCAAATGTTTGCAATCAACACCCTCACATCCACTGAAAATGAAATTTAGTTAAAATTCTAACGTGGCAAACATCTATGGAACCACGTGGTTCTCACAGATTCGGCCACATCAACCACCAGCCGGCAGAGAGAGACAATCCATGGAGTATTTTATACACGCGAAGCATTAAATAAAAACCCGTTTGGTGAACGTACCTTTGCGTTTTGAGGTGAGCAGGTGGTGGTGGTTGGTCTTTCGATGGAAACGGAATCCTCGCCAACTCTCTCGCTGACTTTGTTAATTGAACTCTTCCTTTCACCCTGCACGACGTCGTTTCCGCTCGAACTCTCGGAGCCTAAGGTAAATTCACTCTCACCCCAACTGTTACAGTTACGGTTACTGTGGCTGTCAGTTTTACTCTCACTGCTTCTGGTACTGGTAGAGAGTCTAGAGCCTGTGATCGCGGTTGTGGCTGTGGTTTGATCGGAAGGTACAGATTTTTCCTGGAGAAATTCACGGAACAATCTCAACCGTCCGTTGTCCTTCTTCTCCGCTTGTTTTTCTTCTTCCTTGCTCTGTTTTCTCCAGAAGCTCTTTCTCCGCAGCCCCCGCGAGAGGCTTCGCGGGATAAGCATTACTCCTTTTCTCAAGACCGGGGAAGGGTGCTTGACGGAGTGAAATGGCAGGCTTTTAACGGCGTTAATGACGGCGTCGCAAGCGGCTGAGGCTCTGGAACGGCTTCTGTTGAGTTTAGGAGTTTGTTGATTAATCTTGCGAATGGACGGCTGACATGAGGATTTGAGGTCCATGTCGAGGAGGAACCGGACGTTGGTTGTGCAGCAGTGGCGGCGGGGGAAGGATTTGAATCCGTTGGATGAGCAGGAGCTGAGATCGTCCATTAGATAGTCTTTCAGAAGCACCGGCTTCTGCTGGGTCGTAATGGATTTTCTGGAACCCATTGTTAATAATATGACTTTACGAAAAAGAAAAAGAAAAAAGAGAAAATGGGTAGCTTTATTTTAAGATAACAGGAAATGGGTAGCTTGGAAATTCAGAGAAAAAGAGCCAGTGAAGCTTGAAATGGAGCTTCTGAACAGAGGAAACAGAGGAAAATAGAGAGAGATGAGTATTCTGCTAAAAGCTATGGGGTTAAGAAGTGGGTTATATAGTGGGTGAAGAAAGAGAGAGGTAGGTTCTGATTTGTGAGGTGAAGATCTCAAGGTGAAGGTGGGGGAGACAAAGGATCCAGAAGAGAGAGAGAGTTTTGCAGCAGATGAAGAGGAAGAGGAAGAACAAATTGAGAAGGAGCTTGGATGGTTCTTGGGGTGAATTTGAATCCAAGTTTGGGGTATTATATTGCTATGGAGTTTTCAACTTCACTGGGCAGTGAATAGTTTAGATGTGGAAAATTAAATGCCTGCTGCTTCTGGTTTTTGGGGTTTGGACTGGTATGAGACCAGAAGTTGACCTTGTAACGATTTTGATATTCTATTCTGTCTTGATCTTCCATAGCAGAATTTGTCTACCTCTTCACACGCTTTGCCACTTGTCCATCCACGTTCACCCTCTCTAATTTGTTTTTGTCTTTCTTATTACGGTAATCAGTGCACAGATAGCTTACAAAAATCAGAAAACGCCTAGCCGGCAATAGAAAGTGTTATTAGAAACCACACAAACTTAAATTTCATTGTGTGTATTTTGCATATATACTTTCGAACACAAAAATAACTTGAATGTATACTGTAACGCATGCGTATTATGAAAAAATTATTGTGTACAAGATATTTCATTCATTATACTGATATAATATCATAAAATATAGTGTAGTTTGAAAGAAATATCATACATATCACGTCAAGTACCATCCAATCAACGGAGTCGACAATTAGATGATAACATAAAACAAAATATATATCGGCGAAATTTCAAAAATGAAATAATTCACTTGACTCACGCACATAGGGGTTCGAACCCCTTCCCCCTCTTTCAAGTTCCGAGCCATTTAACCACCACGCTAGTTATCATTTTGCAATTAGTACCTATGGACTATGATATTTATAACGCTTCCAAGCCGTTTCTCAAAATAGAAAATAATTACTTATTGTTCTATACTGTTGATCAAATATTTAATTACTTAATATAATTTATTTCATTCCTATTTAATCCATTTAGTGCATGTTTGACATTGCTTATTTGGGTTGATAAGTAATTTTAAAAAAAAAATTTGGGAAGCCCAGCCCGTTTGGTAAACTATGAGAAAATCACTTATTGTTAAAAATTACTGTGAGAGAAAGCTATAAGGGAAAGTAGCTAATGAGGTGTTTTTATTTTATTATTATGTTGGAATCAGTTTCAAAGAGGCGCTAGGTTTAATTGTTATGCATGAATCATTTTTTGATTATGTGAGAATTAGTGCCAACAACACTTTTAACAAAAAGTTTACCAAATGTGAAACTGTTTTATCTCACAGCTGATTTCTCTCATAGCAAATCTAACAGCGATTATTTTCACAGCACAGCAATGCCAAACTGGCCCTTAATGTTATTGCTTATTTTATTATTCATTATAAGTACTTACATTACTAAATTCCCCTTCAAATTGTTGCTTAATTACTTAAATCTCTACAATCATTTTCTTTATTTCCTATTTAATTCTTCCTTGGATAACTTTATTTATGTTCTTAGTTAATTTTCAATCTTCACTATTATTGTTTAAGCATGGTAAAGTGCTTAATTTTCATGACAAATCAAGTTGGATTACATCTTTAATTATTTTTCAAATTTTGATAAATAATAAATATAAAAACGTGTACCATGTCATGATGTCCAGTGAAATAAAGTTACTCATGTATCTTACCATGCAATTTATAAAGTGTAAACTATTGTAGTAAAAATGATAAATAAATTACTATAGAGTGTTTAATTTTCTTTCATTAATTACTCTAGATTTTCTTTTTCTTTTTTCAAAACGAAGAGAGAATATTATTAAAGACGAATAGTAAGGTTTACATCACTGGCAAGAATATAAAAAATCCACTCAGGCCATAAATCATCCCAAGTATGGACTCCACCAACTCTGGACACAAAGGCCGTAATTTTATGCGCTGCCTTGTTACAATTACGAGGGGTATACAGGAAAACACAATGCTGAAATTGGCACACCAACTGCTTTATGTCAAATACAATGGTTTCCACTGCAATATCAATATTCCACTCCCCACCAAGCATACGAATAAGTTGTAAAGAATCAGATTCAACCTCTAGCTTAGACAAACCACTCTGAACGCATGCCAACAATGCCTCTCGAATGGCTTTAGCCTCCATCGCCAACGCTGATCCACCCCTCATGTCACCCTTACAGCCAGCCTGAACCATCCATCCATACGAGTCGCGCACCACCCATCCTACACCTCCCATTTGTGTCTGCGACACCCAAGCAGCATCACAGTTAACTTTGAGCACCCCATACGGCAGTTTTCGCCAAGAAGTCACCGTCTCCGCTTGAATTTCCGGTGGACGAGGAAGTTCGTTGATGAGTGGCTTCCCATGCATTTGAGCCGTTCGAAATTCATGAACCTGGTTTAGAAAGCACTCCACAGCAACATGAGGCTCAATCACCGTTCCCTAAAAAACAGCTTCATTCCTGATTTTCCAAATCCTCCATAACCCAAATGCACATACCTGTAGAATATCGTTACAGTGCTCTACCTGCTCGTACTTCTTCAGCAAATTTTCCCAGCAGACAATAAAATCCTTTCCCAAAATATGACATGGATCCAATTGTATAGGAGAAGCAAACCAAAGCAATCGTGCAAACTCACACTTGAAAAATACATGTACTTGGGACTCCCCTTCTTGTCCACATAAAGCACACGTAGTTTCGACATCAATTCCCCAATGTAATAAATTTTCCTTCACCGCTAAAACATTGCGACAACATTTCCAAAGAAAAGTTCGAATCTTAGGAGGCACTTGCAATCCCCAAATGCTTTTCCATATACGTCGTTGTTTATCCCCTTGACTGCTCTCTCCTTCTGCTTTCCTTCCCAGCTCTCCGTTCCGCCGTAAAGTTAGTGCCACTGCATACCCCGATCTAACAGTGTAGCCACCATGAGAGGTGTAATGCCAAACCTTTTTGTCTGGACATCCCCATCGGCTAATTGGTATGGTGGAGATACATTTTGCTTCATTTGGATTAAAACAACGATTCACTAGATCCATATCCCAACATCTCATATTCTGATCTATGAGCTCATGCACCATTAACGGCATGTCAGGATGTTGAGAGTGAACCATGGAAGGAGATGGTGTGGGCAGCCAGCGATCCTGCTGAATGCAAACATTCTCCCCATTTCCGATACGCCAACGGAGCCCAGCCTCTAAAATCCTGCGGCCTTGCAAGATGCCTTTCCAACCCCACGAGACCTTCCGACCACACACAACATGCATGAAATCAGATTGAACATAATATTTCTCCTGTAAGAGCCTGGCAAGCAAGGAGTTCGGGTTCCGAAGTATCCGCCAGCCAATTTTCGTAAGCATAGCAAGATTAAAGCACAGGAGGTCTCGAAAACCCATCCCCCCTGCCTTCTTAAATTGACACAATTTCTGCCAACTTACCCAATGAATCCCTCTACGATCCTTATGTCCCTTCCACCAAAAATTAGCAATGTCCCGTTCAATCTCCTTGCACAAACTGACCGGAAGTTTAAAACATGACATAGAATAATTTGGCATAGCCATAGCCACCGCCTTTATCAGTACCTCTTTGCCAGCGGAAGATAAATATTGCTCAGCCCAGCCCATAAGTTTTGAAGCAATCCTTTTACGCACCATTTCAAACACCCCTCGTTTAGACACCCCAAAATCTGCGTTTAACCCAAGATATTTTCCAAAATCCCCACTATGCCGAACCCCTAAGATATGTGCCAGTTGACCTTTCAATCTTGCTGGGCATTTCTTTCCAAAGAAGATAGAACTCTTGTCAAAATTAATGCACTGATCGGAGCCCTTCGCATAGCAGTCCAAAATTTGCTTTAAGCAATAAACTTCTCGTTCTTCAGTGTGACATAATATGGCAGAATCATCTGCAAAAAATAAATGCGAAATACTGAGCCCTTGGGGATGGAGCTAAAAACCATGAAGGGATCCCCTTTCTTCGTGACGATGTAGCAAAGCAGATAAGCCTTCAGCACAAATTAGATATAAAAAGGAGGATAAAGGATCCCCTTGCCTGAGGCCCCGAGATGGTGACATCGGCCGTGATGCCTCCCCATTAAGCAAAATGCTATACGTCACTGTGGAAAGACACTCCAAAGTCCACTGACAGAACGTGGGATCAAAACCCAGTTGCCGCATCATAGCGTCAAGAAAAATCCATTCTACCCAGTCATAGGCCTTGGCCATATCTAATTTGAGTGCCAAGCCAGACCCTCCGACACGACTCTCAGACTTCAAAGAATGCAGAATCTCATGCACAATAAGAATATTGTCAGTTATTAATCGATCCTCCACAAAAGCCGATTGGTTGATACTCACCACGGCCGGTAAAACCTTTTCCAGGCGAAGTGTTAAAATCTTCGAAATGATCTTGTAAACTAAGTTGCAAAAAGCAATAGGCCTCCATTGTGTCATCTTCCTCGGATTACCAACTTTTGGTATCAAAACTATATGAGTGTGATTGAGTTTTTTGTGTAAACGCCCTGAGTGAAAGAAACTCTTCACCAATCCATTAATATCAGGCTCATTAACATCCCAAAATTGATGAAAAAAAACTCCCAGTATAACCATCTGGGCCAGGGGATTTAGTAGGATGTAAAGATTGCACAGCAGACCAAATTTCCTCAGTAGTTACCTCATGTAGTAAAACTTCATTATGTTGCGCCGTAACCTTTCGATGAACACACCCAGTAATTTCAACAATGTTGGTAGGGTTGCACGAAGTAAAAATATCCTCAAAGTAGGCAACCGCAATTTTATGAATATCCGATGGACCATCACACCAATGCCTGTGGGTATCCTCCAGACCCAGTATCCTATTGGCCCTTCTTCGAGTAACCATTTTTGAATGAAAGAATTTTAAATTTTTATCCCCTTCATTGAGCCAATGTACCCTTGATTTCAGTTTCCAATACACTTCTTCATCATGTAGAGCCTCTTTAAGTTTATTTTCCATATGCCGAATCATCTCGCAATGAAGGTCAGGAGCAAAATATGCTTGGCACAAATCTTTCCGTAAGAGCTCAATACTAGCCTTCGAACTCCACCATTCACTCCGTCTCCAATCCAGCAAACCCCGCCGTACCCACCTTAATTTTTTTGTCACTTGTACCCCTCGGGGTCCAGTAAATTGTCGTGCCCACCGATGCTGCACCACCCCCGGACAGCCCTCAGCTTCTCCCCACCGAGGATCATAAATGAAGCGTTTACGCCATTTACTAGGTGGAACCTGAGTGTGGAGCATAAGCATAAGGTGGTCAGAGCCCACCACCGCCAAATGATGTAACGTCACACCCGAGAACGTAGCAACCCATTGGTCCGTGGCTAAACCCCTGTCTAAGCGCTCACAAATTGCAACATCTTGCCGCCGGTTACGCCAAGTAAAAGGCTGCCCCACATAACCTAAATCCAACAAGTGAGTATTGGCAACAAAACTCCGAAAGTCCTGCATACTTCGCTCAGAGCGAGAGAGCCCCCCTAGCTTTTCTGTTTCATCCAAAATATCATTGAAATCCCTTATCAAGAGACAGGCATCATTACTACGGTGCACCCTATCTTGGAGAGCTTGCCATTGGGATCGTCTGATACGGTCATCTGTGCTCGCATAAATAGCAAAGAGCCGCCACAAAGCTCCTGATACATCAGCTTTTATAACTGCTTCAATGAAAAAATCCGCATACTTACACAAGACCACTTGCTGCATGTCTTTCCAAAACAAACAAAGTCCCCTTCTCAGACCCCGTGGTTCAACTGCAAGCATGTAAGCCATTCCTAACTGTCGTTTGAGATATTCATAGCGAGTACTTCTATTTTTAGTTTCCAGAAGCACCACTATGTCAGGAGTTTGGAGCTTGACCTGCTCCTTAAGACTTGAAACTGTCAGAGCACTCCCAATACCCTAACAGTTCCAAACAATAAGCCTCATAACGCCCGTGGAGACCCATTAAGGCTGGTCTCCTCCACCTGTTCCAAATGATTAGTTGCCCAAAAACTCCGATTCGGACTGCGTTCCTCTCCTCCTCCATCTTCTAAGGTCAAAGGAATCTTTCTACAGACTTTTTTATCTGCCCTGATGATCTCAGTCTCATTGCGTCCCATTTTGCCATGCAAATGCCCACCGTGTACAACACCTTGTTGCAAGTTACAAATAAGAGGCCCAAGGTTGAAAGGGTCAGAATCTTGGGTCAGCAGTCCCTGTGATGCCTGCTCCACCAACATGGCAGCTAGAGAGCCTTCCCCATTAGTGTTCACCAACTCGCCCCCTTCCAAGTCATTGTGAAGTGGTCCAGTCACAGCGTTTAAATCAATAGCACGCCCATCTTCATCAGAGCATCGAAATTCCTTTCCTAGTGTGGAACTGTTGGAGGGTCCATCGGGCACCCTGGTATCCGTGGAATTCTCCCTTTGCTGCCCAACAGTCCCATGTCCCAATAAACCCAGTTCCCACGCCGTTTCCCTCATCTGCCGAAACCGGTCCTCATCTTCTCGCTCTGCTCTAATCTTTTCCATTAAGGAGAACCCGACTGGCATAGGCCGACATGGTGTCGAGGTAGAGTCCACTGAATCGCCCCCCTGGCCAGACCTCCAATTATCACTATTAACCTGATGCCCTCCGCCGTTATCTCTTTGCTTTTTAGAAGATTTACGTCTAGTCGTTCGTAATTGACGACCCCTAAGGTCCTCACTCGCATCCAATCCAGTGAAGGCCAACAGACACTCTTGTAAGGATTCCGGTGCGTCATGCATGGCATCCAACTTCTCCACGCAGCTTCTACTTGGATGCCCCAGACATCCACATATGAGACAATACTCAGGAAGAAATTCATACTTAAAGGTCACCCACTTTAAGCCTTCGTCCAGGAAATCAATGAAGGATCCTCGCATAAGGGGTTGTTCCACTACCAAACGGAGCCGAACCCTTAGAAAGCGTCCAATACACTCTTCTCCTTCAACCTGATCCACTTCCAGTATCTGCCCTATTAAAGAGCCAATCTTTCTAGCCACTGCAGTCGTCATGTTAAATAGCGGAACTCCGTGGATTTGGGTCCAAAACACCGCTGTTGTCAAGTCAACCATACGCGCATCTGTTCCCGGTCGGGTCTCCGCCAACAAAACTAAATTATCCCTGTAAGTCCATGGCTCCATATCCAGGACCTGCAACTTGTCTTGCCGACTCATAAACCTGATCAAGAAGGTGCGAAGACCAATCTCCTTGATAGAAACACCATCCATACCCCGACACAGTCGAGAGAACACCCCAATAAAGCCTTCCCTATGGACTGCCTTATGAGTAAAAACCTTTGCCACCAGGGTGTACTGAGACCCCTTTAATACATCAATACTCTCCCCATCCTCAATTCGTAGCCCTCCACGCTCCTTGTCAGACAAACGCATATGAGAGCCAAACTTCTCCTCCAACTCATCCATCATGCAAGCCTCAAATTAGGAACCGTATTGCATTAGAGAAGTACCCAAACCTGTACGTCTACCCAGATAAGTCTCCAGCCGTTGCACTCTCTTACGTTCAATTCGAGAGCCACCACCCGTAAAGCCACAAAGATAAGTAGAAAATCGTAGAAAACCAAAACCCTAGTCATTGTGAGGTAAAACCCTAGCCGCCGTTTTGTTGAACCCTAGTTGACCCACCTCTCCTTTCGAGAGACGTCGTTGATACATCGTTAAAATTATAATTACTCTAGATTTTCTAAGTCACAGAGTTTGTCAGCTTGCAATATAATCAACTTAAATCACTCAAACCTACTATGCAATGCATTTCTTTCCAATCTTTTGTGTTAAAATAATAGATGATTGACTAAAAAAACTTTTTACAAAGTTTCATTAAAAATTTCCATGTATTTATCACAATTTCCATGGTTTTTATCCAATTTTTATCGATATCGATATTTTTGTGTTTTTGAATCACTAATATTTCTGAAACCCTCGATATTTAAGACATTTGATGGTACTAAGTCAAAGTCTTTTATGCATACTCAACCTAATGGTAAATCCGTTGAGTATTAGTTATGCTTTCCTATAATGTATTATGTTAATCAGTCATAAGTTGACCTTTAGTTACAATTGTTTGGATGATGATCTTTTACTCTATTTTTATAACCAAATTAGAAGAGAACAAATAATGATGACATAATACAAAAATCATATGTGGCTTCTGGCTGTGACAATGGGGCAAAGAGAGAATTAGAATGCAAAGACTTTTACCTTGGAGTGTCAAATTGGAAAATAGTTAAAGTGGCTTTTCTTGTACTGAAAAACTGATGGGCTAACTAACTGAAAACCGACACAACATAAGCAGTGACTGGGTAAATAATCTGGAGAATGAGGTGTACATGTGTGTGTTTGGGGGGTTTGATTTAATTGGTCGACGCACGCTTGGTTGGTTTGGTGAGGATGATTACGTCGGAGCTGATAGGAATTTGAAGGCACCCCACAAAGGTCAGTTAGCTTAGCTGTGTTGTGCGAGTATAGTAATGGGAGATATTTATGAGCTTTACTGTGCACGCCAGCTGCAGCTCTTTGCAACTATCTGTTTCCTCTTCCCTACAATTTTAAAGAAATCGTTTTTAATGACCCAACGGTACGAAAGCGTGACAATAAATTTTATGAAATATGAATAGTCTTACATTGAAAACGATATTTGTTTATAAAACATCATAATTGGATAGGTCCACAAATCTGATAACATCATAATGGATATTTGACTTAAATAGCTAAGTTGAGGATAATATCGATACAATTTACTCCGCCATAAATGAGCTAAGGGGGGTTGGATGTTGGTCCTACTAAACCAACCCCCTTTAATTTGAAGATAATTGAAATGACCACAATTTGAAAAGGAAGTGCCAAGTAGGGACTTTCCATTGTTTGTATGAAAAAAAATATTCTTTAGTTTTTTTATTTTTTATTTTATATCTTTTTTTATAATCTAAAGTTAGGTGGAAGAATTCTAATTTGGGATCCCTCTCGAATTTCACAAGAAAAATACCACATGGCTAATTGGTTACTAGAAGATCCTTAGTGTTCTCCAGTTTTTGACGGATATATGTTGATATATGCTTCATATTTAGCAGATCTCCAACTCTAACTAGGGTAATTTCGAGGCAAAATGGGAATCAGGTAGGGATATTCCTGAAGTTTAAAACTCCTTGACGGGTACAGGTAGGGGATGATATTATTGTACAAGTAGGGGATGAGAATAGTTGATGTGCAGTACCTCAATGAAGTCAACAAGGCTTGTCACTCACGTTCAACGAGAAAAGAGAAGGCTTCGTTCTAAAACCGTGTCTAACCGATGAGTTATGGAGCTCTTGTTATTCTTAACTAGTGTCCCATAATGTATTTTAAACTCACCAAACAACGGACTGAATCTATGTCCTTTTCAATTAGATATATCCAGTGCAGTCCAGCCCCAAGCATACCTCAAGGCTTTAGTGAACGTGTCGACTGGCTGTTGCAAGGTGGATACGTGTGCAAAGAAGAATGGAGTAACCACAGAAGAAAACAATCTGTGCCGAAGAAAAATAACCCCCAGCCCACAGCAGTAGAAAAAACAAATAAGCACAAAAATTAACGGCACCAAAAACAAAGAAGCGAATAGCCAAGAGCCAAGGGAACAAAGGAAAGAGAGAAGGAGAAAGGGTATACATGGACTGAGCAAGTGACACGTATTGGTTGCGCAATGGAAGGCAGCTCACAAAAGTAGCACACATACATACCCTGGAAAGAGGCAAAACTTTCTCTGTCAAACATTAGATGCTTTCTTTTTATATTCAATAATTCCAAATTAGGTAAACTTTTGCACACCTAAATATCTTTCATACCAAAAATATCTATAACACACCTAAAATATCTATATCTAGAAACTAGACAAAGCACAGTACCATGGTCCAAACTCCAAACACACAAATATTTCCAAAAATAAAAGACTCACTCATGAACAAATAAATACATATGAATCGATCAAAAGACAGACTAAACCCTATAGACAGATTGACTAAAACAAAAACATCAATCAGATAGAGAAACTCCACAACTTGGGATCGGCTTCAGTTTCCATGTCATCCCAATTCAAGTAGCCAGCTAAGCATTGGGGTGGAGAAAGAAGAAGCCCTTCAGCCATGTTGTCAATCAACCTTGGCATATCAAACATTTCCTCCTCATCCGAATAAAACAAGTTTAATCTGCTGCAGCTTTTTCCCATATCCACATAGCCTGATTCTTCTTCTTCTCTTCCACCACAACCGTTCTCTCCTTCTCATCACTGCTGTCGCTGGAAACTCCACCGAACTCCACTGGCCTGAACCCTTCAGCGGCCTCCGCAGCTGCCCTCTGGATATCCATGGAATCCATGGATGCCGCCACCGGCAGCCTCCAACCGGAGTCAGCAAAGTTGAGGCAGGCAAGCTTCCCTTTAAAAGCCAATGCCGCCACGTCATGGGCACGAGCAGCCATCTCAGCCGTAGGATAGGTCCCGAGCCAAATCCCGGACTTCTTCTTGTTGGGCTGTCTCAACTCACACACCCACTTGTTGTTGTCCCTACTCCTCACACCCCTATAAACCGGATGCCTCGTCTCTTTGAAAACCCTCCTTCCCGCGCGCTTCTTCGGCCTGCTCGACGCCAGTATGACGTCCGAAGTGCGTAGGGTGGTCACGCTTGCGTCGGATGACGAACTCGACTTGGGCTGGTCGGCCGAGTCAGAAAGCTGAGAGAAGATCATGTCCATGAGAGTGAGCTGAGCTGTATATTTGAGTGGTGTTTCTGAGAATGAGGGAGAGGGGGATTTTATAAATTAGGGATTGAGGGGCAGGTGGGGCCCAAAAAACAGACAAAGGCAATTGGAGCGAGAGAAAGTTTGACAATTAAAATGCCAGGTGGCAGATAAACATGAACTGAACTTACTATATAAAGCTGGTGCTTTGTACAAGTGATCTTTATTACTAAATTGGCATCTAAAGTTAAAAACAGAAATGACGTGGGGTGTTGCTCATGGAGGCAACTGCTTTTGGGGTTATGTCTAATTCAACTCTCTTTTTATTTTTCGGAATATATTACAAGCAACCATCATATCATGGGATATTTTCCAAATGTAAAATGGAAAAAAATTAGACAAAATACCATTTCGAAACCTTATCTGACAAGATCATAAACCAAAAGAATAAATTTACTATTTCAAAAGAGAAACGAATAAATAACAAGCGGCTAGTTTATAAGGACTTTTGCATAATATTTTATGTTAGAATGAGTCTCTTTGTAAAAACCCTTAAAAACAAGCCTGCTACTTGAATGAGATATATTCCACAATTCCATGATCATATTCCACAATATTTTGTTTATCTAAACTTTGCACATGACAAAGATGGACCACCCATATTATAGGAATCTACAAGTGGATAAGACAACAAGAGATGTGGATTTTAAAGAAGTTACCCAAACCAAATATTTAAAAAAGGAATCAGAAAAGCAACAGGAACTTGTGGATGGCAAGTTCAAAACCAACCACAGGTCTAATTAAACCACCAAAATAACAACCACCAAAAACAAATTGAAGACCCGCAACGGTCATAACCAACAGGAACAAGGAAGCCAACAAAGTGAAACATCCAAGTAGAAGAGGTGTCAAACAGGCTGGACGGTCGGCTCATTTTAATAAACAAGCCGAATTCAATCCGTTCATTTATGAAAATCATCGAGTCTGGCACGAGCTTAAGACCCTAGTTCAAATTGTGGAAAATAAAGTTAAAATAGAGGAAAATGCTTAAAGTTAACATTTTAGGATTTAGGGTTTTCATCTTCAAATTTATTGAGAGAGGCAGACAAACAATGAGGTTTGGTCGTTAGATTTGAGTCTTAATAAGGAAGTTGAAACAGAGAATTTAAAATATTGGAATGAATGCGAATATTCTATCTCAATGACGGTGCCAAAAGAACCAAGCGGTAGGAGCATTTGGGTCAACATTAGGAGCGTTGTGGTCTACATAATTGTCAAAAGATTTGTCATCCTTCTCCAGCAGCGGTCCTAATGTTATAGCTTCTCAGCTACATGTTTAAAAACTAAAATAGTTTTGCCACGTCTTAAAATGGACGAAATCAACAAAAGAGATGACGGTATGGATTAAGTAGAACACCAAATCATAATCAAGGGGGACAGTTAGTCACTTTGACTTTCGAAGGGCAATATAGAATTTGACCATAGTTTTGAGAGTGCTACAATAAATTAGCCAAATTTTAAAATAAGGAATGAATTAACCAAAGAAGAACCCCAGAACAATAATATTAAAAAAACAACCACAGGGTCAATTAGCCCCAAAAAAGAAATAACAAAAAAAGTGAATAGCCAAGGGGCAAGGGAACAAAGGAAAGAGAAAGCAACTCAACTGAGAGGAGGACCGCCGTCCACGTAAGTTAGAATACAAGGACTGAGCAAGCGACACGTATCGGTTGGTAGGCAGCTCACAAACACACATAACTGAATGCGAAGAGTCAAGACTTTCTCTATCACACATTAGATGCTTTTTATATTCAATAATTCCAAATCAAGAAAACTTTTGTACATCTTTTTTTTTTCTTTTTTGGCTCAGAGAAGACTTTGTTCATCCTAAATATCTTTCGAAGCATTAAAAAAGAAGCTAAATATCTATAACACAACTAAATATCTATTAGAGCCAGAGTGACATGCTCTAATTTACAAATATGTTCGACTCACGCATGAACAAATATGTACATATGAAACGAATAAAATACACACCAAAACTCTAAAGATTGTAACAAGAAAAAAAAACCCCTACAATCTTTATCGGCGACTCACACATGAACAAATAAATAGAGATGAATCCGACGAAAAACACACAAACAAATACATGATTGACTAAAAAAAACATCAATCAGATAGAGAAACTCCATAGTTTGGCATCAGCTTCAGTTTCCATGTCATCCCAGTTCAAGTAGCCAGCTGAACATTGAGGTGGAGAAAGAAGAAGCCCTTGAGCCATGTTATCAATCAACCTTGGCATATCAAACATTTCCTCCTCATCCAAATAAAACAAGCACAAGCTGCTGCTGCTTTTTTCCATATCCACGCTAAAAATCTTCTCCTTCTCATCACTGCTGCAGCTGGATAATCCACCGAACTCCGCTGGCCTGAACCCTTCCGCGGCCTCAGCAGCTGCCCTTCGGATATCCATGGTATCCATGGAAGCCGGCAAGGGCAGCCGCCATGCGGAGTCAGCAAAGTTTATGCAGGCAAGCTTCCCTCTGAACGCCAATGCCGCCACGTCATGGGCACGAGCAGCCATCTCAGCAGTCGGATACGTTCCAAGCCAAATCCTTGATTTCTTCTTGTTGGGCTCTCTCAACTCACACACCCACTTGTTGTTGTTCCTTCTCCTCACCCCCCTGTAAACCGGGTGCCTCGTCTCCTTGAAAACCCTCCTCCCAGCGCGCTTCTTCGGCCGGCTCGACGCCAATATGACGTTCTCGTCGGAGGAAGAAGCCGGCAGGGTGGTGAAGCTGGCGTCGGAGAAAGAACTCGACTCGGGCTGGTCGGGGGAGTCAGAAAGCTGAGCGGAGAACATGTCCATTAATAGAGTGATCTGTATATTTTGAGTGGTGTTTCTGAGAGGTGTGTGTAGAGCTAAAGCTGAGAGTGAGGGAGAGGGAGCTTTTATAGATTGGGGATGGCGTGGCAGGTGGGGCCCCACACTGGACACGACGACACGGACTGTATGGAGGCGCCAGGTGGAAGCGTGGGCTACTGGAGTGGCAAGTTCCCACACAACACAGACAAATGGGATTGGAGCTTGATAAAGTTTGACTTCAAAATGCCAGGTGGCAAGTAAACACGTAGTGAACTTACTAAGTAAAGTTAGTGCTTGCCACACGTGATCGTTATGACTGAAATTGGCACTGGCACATTTTGTTTCGGTTGTGTACGTCCACGTGGCTCCCACTCCGAGCTCAGGTCACTGAGAGACTGAGCTTCTACAGTATGTTTTTTGTTGGTCTTTGTTTTGTCGTGTCATTTAAAAGTCAAATGATTAAGGAACAAATTGAAATTCGCACGAAATTTATAGGGTAAATTTACACGATAAAAACTTGGAATTAATTTTGAGTTAATTTGCTAAGATACGATTACTTAATTTGTTGAGCTGTGGGTTAACACGCTAACTCGTTTGTTAATTTATTTCAATAACTAATTTATAACTCGTCACATTTAACCTATCTATTTTTGTTTGTTTAAATTTTTATACAGCTAAAATTAAGTTTGTCTTCTACAAAATGTTTTTATATCAAATTCTTATAAGATATTTAGTGATATACCCATTCTTAGCACTAATATTTTAAATAAACCCTCCATCATTGAATTTCTATAAGCAAACCCAAAAAAAACCCCAAAAATGATATCTGGCCTTATTGAATTTAATATTGATTATTAAATTACTTTAATGCGCCTATTGAGTGTTTTGGGTATTTTTATGAGATTTTGGGGTTGGGCTTGTTTTAAGAAATTTATGGTAGCTTTGTAATTTATAAGAAGTTAAAGCCTCTTTGTTATGTTGTAAATGAGTTTTGGGTGTGTTTATAAAGTTCATTTCATATGGGGTATTTTTATAATTTGGGCTCCCATATTGGGTATATTAGTAAAACTCCCATTTTTATACTCGTTTTGTCATTTGAAATAAATATGGGAAGATAGTAAAAATTCTTATTCTATGCATCTTTTATTACTAATTCAAATTTGAACTTTGTATTGCGGTCATAACCCAACATGAAATCAAAAAATAATTGACATTTAAATGTAGTTGATACGTACAAGTCAATCACTACTACAAAAGCCCATTATAAGCCATGACCAATACTAGTGGCAGCCATAAACAACTCATGGCCGAGGGTATTGATACGGATTGACCACATATCCTGTCATGGTGTCCCTTACACAAGGGAGGAGCCACACATACGCTAGAGGTGGCTGTGGCTCCCCCAATCCTCGTGAATTACATTGAAGTTTTTATATAAAACAAGAAAATTGGTATGTAATTTCATATCTTTTTCAGCTATTGGCCATCCTAATATTTAGACTCTAGCTCCGCCACTGCCCTTACATGGTGTTACCTTGCCATTACATTTTTCCACATCATAGGCCAATCTTTGGCCGAATTTCAGGTGGGTTCCACTACTTACATCTCACCCATTTGATAAGTTATAATACTATTTGTACAACATTTACTAACAACCTCTCTAATAGAGTGTGGACTTCACCAGTGTATGTACGACCCACTTGTATTAAATAGGTGGTCAACAATTTGGTTAATAAATGTGGTCCAAATAGCAACACCCTAATAATGTTGTTTTCAATTAGATCGCCAAAATGTGAACTTTTTTTAATTAAAATGATGAAAATAAACACGGATACCAATAACAAATATCCTCTTTACTGGATGAACAAAAGACCTATATAAAAATAAAAATATCCCAGAATTTAGTTAAAATTGGGAATTTAAGAGGAAAAATTGACACTTTCCTTGTATGGTAATTTAAGTGCAGAATTTATTAAATGACATGCTGAAAAAATCGTGAAAATTAGAGCATCAAATTCTAGAGTTTAATTTCCACAAAAATAGGCTTCATTTCACAATTTCCATAGTACCATTTACAAGATTATGTCATTTGCAAAATTCAATATACATAAATCCAAACACTGAAATCTTCAATTGCGATAAATTGAAATGATGGAAATCTAAATTCTTTCATTTTATAATTCTATGTGATTTTCAATCATTTTATCCAAATAGATGACAATATTATTAGGCGAGTGAACCTTGAATCTAGAAAAAAAACAAAAAATTAATGATTAATTAAAAAATTCAAACATGGGAAGATAATACATAATATGGGAAAGATATACTTATAACTAATTAAGTCACATCTACACAGCGATATAGGATATGTGATCATTTAAAGAAAAAAAGAAATCAGAAATAGCAACAAAAACTTGTGGCTAGCAATGTTTTGTTCTTATTAGGCGGAAAGTCGAGGGACCACGGACAAGTTGAAAAGCAGCCACAGATTTGATTGACGCCAAAAACAAATTGAAGGCTCGCAACGGTCATAACAACCGGGAACAAGGAAGCCGACAAAGCGAACTCAGGCAAGGCCCAAGCCAATCGCAATCAGCAGCGAATATTTCAATCCACAGACAGACGTAGTTAGAATCCCACCATGCAATTATAACTTTCAGAATTGACAGCTATTTTCTTTCTCAATAATTCGAATAATTCCAAATGTAGTAAACTTTTTCCACACAATTCCTTAAATATCTATCTCGATCGAAAATATCCGAAGACATATTTTTGATATTTTCGTTACTAAACTATTCACGCTAGATTTTAACAACTACATGAAAATCAAATAATGGACACACTAGATTTTTAAATGGCAGGTGGCAGTTAAACACGAAATGAACTTACTAATGGGCTCGGTCGTCAGGCGTTATTTATGAATTTTTTTGTACTTTTAAGTTTTCTCCGCTAAACACGCATAGAAAAATGACTCCTTTTGATTTGTTTTGTCTAATTCAAGTCTCTTTGTGGAATATATGCGTTTCAGTGTTACAATATTGAATGGACAAATGAAACAAAATCTCATTTTGAAACCTTATTTGACAAGATAAACTCAAATTTTCGAAACGAATCCACTCAAAAAACAAAAGTAAAAGAAAGAATATAGGTGTGAACCCTAACCAAGCAACAAGACTGACATGTGAACCCTACTCGACTAATTTGAAGATTTCGACCGAAAAACCAATTTAAAGAAGAAAAAAGAAAAAGAAATCAGAAATAGCAACAAGAACTTGTGGCTAGCAATCTTTTGTTCGTAACAGTTCAAAACCAACCGCAGCCACAGGTTTGATTAACGTCAAAACAAATTGAAGACTCACAACGGTCAGAACCAACAGGGACAGAGGAAACCAACAAAGTGAACAGCCAAGGGCCAAGGAACACAGTTAGAATTCCACCATTTAATTACATATCTGAACTTCAGAATTGACACGTACATAGGGGGAAATTGCCAAAGCTTCTCCATCATAAATTACATTTGGATGGATACCTTCTATATTCAATAAGGATATTGATTGCCTTCTTCACTGGGAGGAAATATTTATTATTATTTTTTTTATGCGAATCATAATTTCATTAAAACATTCAAAATGTGGCTGAAATTATAAAAAAATTCAACACCCAAAACACTTTATAAACACACCCAAAACCCATCATTACACACACTCAAAACCCATTTATAAACACACCTAAAAAATATACAATTGTTGATTTTGGGTGTGTTTCTATGTTTAAATGGTGCTTGGGTATTTTTTATAAATACATGTCTAGGATTGGGTTTATTTATAAATTTGTATTTGACATATATGTAATAATAATTTATAAAAAATATAAAAAGAAAAACTTATGCACATATATCACACCGTTATTTACCTTGTTCACTGTGTGCAGCGTGTGCTTGTATTTTTTTTAAAAATCCCTGGCCAAAAGCAACATTGTTTTGGCCCAGGGAAAAACAAAAAATTAACCGTCTACAGCAAGGGATATTTTGGTCAAACAAGAAGACATTTTTTGTTTGTTTTTTTCAAAGAAAGTGTACCCATCACCAATTCCTAATAAAAGATCAGAAAATTCATAACTTTTTTTTTGACATCCTCATCATAGCTTTTCCTTGTTTTTTATTTTGAGAGAACTCCAAGTGTTTTATACAAACATTTATCAACCAAGTCTTATGCCAAAGAAGAAAATTTTGTATATGATCAAGCTTTTAAAGTAAGTTTGAATGTAATTCATAGTTAATCTAGAAAATAAAAATTTGAAACATGCTGCATTTTTTTTATTTCTTCAGCAATTGACGACAGCAATTGTAGGTTAATTGTAATGTTATTTTGTTTCTATGAATTATGAATGACACTAATATTGTTTAAATTATAAGAATATTTAGTTGTCAATTTTTTTAAAAAGTTGTTAGCTTTTTAAAATTGCACTTCAACCGAAAAATTCCTGGGTCCTCCTTGCACAACCTTACCTATCTATCTCAACCACAAATATCCAAACATATATTTCCAATTTGTCTGCTCACAATGAACGACCGACGTTAATCTTCTTCGTTACAAATTAATAAATGCATAAGAATCGAACAATAATCGCTCGCACAAATAAATTCTAATAATCGACTAAAATAAACGTCGATGATTAAATGGAGAAACTCCACAATTTGATATCAGCATCGGTACCCATGTCATCCAAATTCGTGTCGCTGCCTAGGGGTTGCGGTGGAGAAAGAAGAAGCCCTTCAGCCATGTCATGAAGCAACCTGGGCATGTCAAACGCTTCCTCCTCATCCCAATAGGACAAGTTCAAGCTTCTGCTTCTTTCCAAGTTCACACTACCCTTCTTGTTCTCCTCTTCCACCTGCACCACCATTCTCTCCTTTTCATCACTGCTGCCGTTGCACTCTCCACCAAACTCCGCCGGCCTAAACCCCTCAGCTGCCTCCGCAGCCGCCCTTCGAATATCCATGGGATCCATGGAAGCCGGCACTGGCAGCCTCCACGCGGAGTCAGCAAAGTTGAGGCAGGCAAGCTTCCCTCTAAACGCCAATGCCGCCACGTCATGGGCACGAGCAGCCATCTCAGCCGTCGGATAAGTCCCGAGCCATATCCTGGACTTCTTCTTGTTGGGCTCTCTCATTTCACAAACCCACTTGTCATTGTTCCTCCTCCTCACACCCCTATAAACCGGGTGCCTCGTCTCCTTGAAAACCCTCCTCCCGCTCGCTTCTTCGGCCGGCTTGACGCCAATATGACATCCCCGTCGGACAAAGAAGGCCCCCGAGTCGTGACGCTGGCGTCGGACAAAGAACTCGACTCAGGCTGGTCGACCGAGTCGGAAAGTTCAGACACGTCCATTATAGCTTGTTTGAGTTTTTAAAGCTGAAATTGGGAGTGAGAGGGAGAGGGAGAGAGGCTTTTATAGATTGGGGATTGCGTGGCAGTTGGGGGCCCAAGAGCGGACACGACGACACGGACTGTGAGGAGGCATGTGGGGCAGGTGGAAATGTGGCTTAGCAAGCTTCCACCACAAAACAGAGAACAGACAAAGGGGGATTGGGGATGGAGTGGAGCTAAGTAAGATAGATTTGCCCTGGCTCTGCCACGTGCCGGGTAACACACACTGAGCTACTAAACTAGCTAAGCGAAGTAAAGTGGGTGCTATTGGCCCGTTTTGTCATTCACGTGTGCGGTTCGTGGCTCCAGTCCAAATCCCAGCCGGGATCCTGCAATATTTTTTTTAAATTTTTTCTTCTTTTGTCTGACTGACAAGAGACTGGATATTTTAGCCAAACATTACTCATATTACTCATTTAACTATTTTGTTTTGTCTGACTGAAAAGAAAAAAGAAAAGGGCAAACACATGATTTCCCATGAACAATGAAAATATTCTCAATAATAAGTAAAAGGTTCAACGATTTCCAATTTGGCCTCTTTTTTATTTTTTCTTCTTCTGCGGAGATGTTACTTAAATAATGAATTAAATAAATAAACAGGTTGAATCACTTATTTGACACAGTGGAGTGATTTAAATAAGTTGCTACCATCATATTAACTCATTAAGAGCCTAGTGCTTGATTGCTCATATAAGTTTATTTAACGGATCTTTTGTGGGATTATTCAGTATTTTACTTTAAAGAATACTTTTTGGAGAAATACCTGAAAAATAGACGGTTAGATTATTACAATGGCAGCGAAGGAGGGACAACTATGTTTCTACGGTCATCAGGAAAGAAGAAGCTGTGAACCTGTTTTTTTTTTCCATTTTCTAGACAAGTAAAACTAATCAAAGCTTGTTAAGTTGAATTTTGGTTTCGCATGGGTAGTTCTATTCACTTTAAATGCAATACCATTTTCTCTATAATAAAAAAGATAGAATACTTATGACTCTTGAGGAATATGTAAACAGTTTTATTTATGAATGAATTCACTTCTACTTTTGAAAAAAGTAACAATGCATAGAAAGAGTAAAAGTTGAAAAGTTGATGGTCTACAGAAGGGGAGACACTTTCATGGTACGGAACAACACTTTTTGTTATGATCTACCAATAACGCAATTACACATGAAATAACACTATATTATTGGCTGAAAATATCAAAATAGTATTATCCATACCGGAAGAAAATTTTCCTGATAAAAATGATAGAGAATGAGAGACTGTAAGAGAGTGATGATCAGACCGAAAGCTATAGGAGAGAGAAAAGGAGGTGAGAGAGTGGTTGCTAGTCACACAAAAATATTTCCATTTAAAAAATAAAAAAGCCTACAATCATTGTGTTATTTATAACATCATATATCAACAAAACACATATAAAACAAACGAAATGATGTCGTAATATATGATGACATACGTTAGAAGGGAAGTAGGGGTTAACTACGAGACAAAAAAAAAAAAAAAAAAAAAAAAAAAAAAAAAAAAAAGCTTAGGGATGCATTGCATATACAGACGTCGATCAAATAGAGAAACTCCACAGTTTCAAATCAATAGCAGTTTCCACGTCATCCCAAATTCATGTAGCCATCTAAGCATTCAGGTGGAGAAAGCATAAGCCCTTCAGCCATGTCATCAAGCAACCTTCGCATGTCAAACAATTCCTTCCTCCTCATCCAAACAAAACAAGCTGCCGTTCCCCTCCATTCTCGCACAACCCTTCTCCTCACTCACCACCGCCTTACTCTCCTTCTCATCAACACCGCTGGAAACTCCGCCTGCCTAAACGCTTCAGCCTCCTTCCTAATCTCCCCATCATCGGTGGAGGCCGGCACGCAGCCGCCAAGCCGAGTCAGCAAAGTTGAGGCAGGCAAGCTTCCCTCTAAACACCAACTCAGCGATGTCATGGGCACGAGCCGCCATCTCGGCCTTCAGATAAGTCCCCGCGCCATGTCCTGTGCTGCTTGTTGTTGGGTGTTCGAGCAAATTTCTGCCCGGGGAATATTCGCCAGTAGATTCTTGTCCTTCTCTTTCTTCTCCATTGATTCATGTAAAACAAATCCAGGTTAACAGACCACACCCAAAATTGTTGGCCAAAAGCACTCCGATACCTAAGTTAGTTATAATAGATCTTGAGAAAAATACAATAATAACTAAAGTTGACGGAATTTTCTCTCAGGGGAGAGTTGGGTGGCCAGGACAGTGTGTGGTGGCTTGAGCCATGTAAGAGAGAGTGAAGGGAGAGAGAGACGATAAGGGAGAAAGAGGTAATAAACCGTGCAATGTAAATAAAGTAACCCAGTAAAGTTAGAATCCCACCATATTGGTCATGGGTATGCTTGGCTTATATCGAGCTTTTCTAGTAGTGATTGGCTTGTACGTATCAATTACATTTAAATGTCAATCTTTTATTGATGGTCTTTCTCATGTTCAGTGTGGGTTAAGACTGCAATACAAAGTTCAAATTTGAATTAGTAACAAAAGATGCGTAAAATTAGAATTTTTAGTGTCTTCCCATATTTATTTCAAATGACAAAACGAGTTTAAAAAATTAGATATAAAAACATTTTGTAGAAAGACAAACTTAATGTTAACTGTATGAAAATTTAAACTTAAAAAAATAGATAGGGTAAAATGTCACGAGTTATAAATTAAGTTTTCTTATATCAAAAATAGCTAAAATTTAACCTATACTTTCATAAATGTCTGTTATGAGAAGAAATTTTGGAGCTCTTGCATAAATGATAAGGAGAGAAGTATTTTCCATCCAATAATTCCAAATTTAGAAATTTTTTTGTACTGTATACAACCCAAAATATCTATCTCAACCACAAATATCCAAAAATATATATCTAATCTGTCCACTCACAACGAACGACTGACGTTAATCTTTTTCGTTACACATAAATAAATGCATAAGAATCAAACAATAAATAAATTCTAATAATCGACTAAATTAAACGTCGATTATTAAATGGAGAAATTCCACAATTTGACATCAGCATCGGTTCCCATGTCATCCAAATTCATGTAGCCACCTAAGCATTGCGATGGAGAAAGAAGAAGCCCTTCAGCCATGTCATGAAGCAACCTGGGCATGTCAAACACTTCCTCCTCATCCCAATAGGACAAACTCAAGCTTCTGCTTCTTTCCAAGTTCACACTACCTTTCTTGTTCTTCTCTTCCACCTGCACCACCATTCTCTCCTTCTCATCACTGCTGCCGCTGCACACTCCACCAAACTCCGCCGGCCTAAACCCCTCAGCTGCTTCCGCGGCCGCTCTCCGAATATCCATGGTATCCATGGAAGCCGGCAAGGGCAGCCTCCACGCGGAATCAGCAAAATTGATGCAGGCAAGCTTCCCTCTAAACGCCAATGCCGCCACGTCATGGGCACGAGCAGCCATCTCCGCCGTCGGATAAGTCCCGAGCCATATCCTGGACTTCTTCTTGTTGGGCTCTCTCATTTCACACACCCACTTGTCATTGTTCCTCCTCCTCACACCCCGATAAACCGGGTGCCTCGTCTCCTTGAAAACCCTCCTCCCGGCACGTTTCTTCGGCCGGCTCGAAGCCAATATGACTTCCCCGTCGGAACAAGAAGCCCCCCGAGTGGTGACCCTGTCGTCGGACAACGAACTCGACTCGGGCTGGTCGACCGAGTCGGAAAGTTGAGAGAAGAACATGTCCATTAGAGTAAGCTTTCTGTATGAATGGTTTGGTGTTTTAGCTTGTTTTGAGTTTCTTGAGCTGAAATTGGAAGTGAGGGAGAATGGATTTTATAGATTAGGGATTGCGTGGCAGGTGGGCCCAGGTGTGGACACGTGAACACGGAGTGTGAGGGATTGCGTGGCAGGTGGGCCCAGGTGTGGACACGTGAACACGGAGTGTGAGGAGTCAGGTGGAGCAAGGTCGGAATTTGGCTCAGCAAGTTCCCTCCACAAAACAGATTAGACTTGGCTCTGCCACGTGGCGGGAAACACACTGAACTAACACAGCTAAGTAAAGTGGGGGCCTTTGTCCAAAAAAAGTAAAGTGGGGGGCAAGTGGGGGTTTTTAAGGTTGAATGGTATCTGAATTTCGACTTGGTTCGTATTTCAGTTTTTTAATTTTTAAAATTGTTCCTATGATCCTTTAACGTTAGTTTTGTTAGGAGAAATGATCATGTCATTAGTTTTGTTAACTTTGTATGTTAAATGTAGGGGAAAAATGGTTTTTTTATTATTTAATTTTCACCATCTAAATATTTCAACAAAGTTATGGATAACCTCCACCCGACACTGAGCCAATTAACCCACTACCCCTACAACAACTAATGGCGCTCTCACAACCAACACCCCTGCTCAAATCATACCCACCCTCCAGCGACGGCGAGGATATGAAGGATGTTTTTTAGTTATTATTTTTTTTCTTTTGAGTGAAAGAAATATTATAAATTTATAAATAAACCCAATCCTAGACATGTATTTATAAAAAAAATCCAAACACTATTTAAACATAGAAATACACCCAAAATCAACCCCAAAGTCAACAATTGTATATTTTTTGGGTGTGTTTATAAAATGAGTTTTGAGTGTGTGTAATGATGAGTTTTGGGTGTGTTTATAAAGTGTTTTGGGTGTTGGGTTTTTTTATAATTTCAGCTCCCATTTTGGGTGTTTTAGTGAAACTCCCAAGAAATATTACAAATTTATAAATAAACTCAATCCTAGACATGTATTTATAAAAAAAAACCCAAACACTATTTAAACATAGAAATACACCCAAAATCAACCCCAAAGTCAACAATTGTATATTTTTTGGGTGTGTTTATAAATGGGTTTTGAGTGTGTGTAATGATGAGTTTTGGGTGTGTTTATAAAGTGTTTTGGGTGTTGAGTTTTTTTATAATTTCAGCTCCCATTTTGGGTGTTTTAGTGAAACTCCCAAGAAATATTCAGATGATAAAAATACTATTTTGTTCATAGAAAAGTGGGTGCTTTACAAACGTGATATTTTATTACTTTAATTTGCTCCCACTCCCAAGCTCAGCTGAGGTCCCACCATAACTTCAACAACGCAGAGAGAGAGAGAGGAAGTTGAAAAGTTGATGGTCTAGAGAGGAGGAGGTGTGAGAGAATGGTAGTCACAGCAAAAGTAAGTAGGGTCTAAAACACAAATATATTTCCATTTAAAAAATAAAGTAAGTAGGGCCTAACAAATTACAATCATTCTCATTTACTCCCCAGTTTCAACTTTCAATTGAGGGATTTCTGTGGAGGTCGATCAAATAGAAAAACTCCACAGTTTCAAATCATCATTAGTTTCCGCGTCATTCCCATGTAGCCATCTAAGCATTGAGGTGGACAAAGCATAAGCCCTTCAGCCATGTCATCAAGCAACCTTGGCATCTCAAATATTTCCTCCTCGTCCAAATAAAACAAGTTGCTGCTTCCCTCCATTTCTACACAACCCTTCTCCTCACTCACCACCGCCTTACTCTCCTTCTCATCAACACCACCATCCTCCGCCTGCCTAAACGCTTCAGCCGCCTCGGTGGCCGCCCTCCTAATCCCCGCGGCATCGGTGGAGGCCGGCACCGAGTCAGCAAAGTTGAGGCAGGCAAGGTTCCCCCTAAACGCCAATGCAGCGACATCATGGGCGCGAGCCGCCATATCAGCTGTCGGATAAGTCCCGAGCCATATCCTGGCCTTCTTGTTGTTGGGCTCTCTCAGCTCACACACCCACTTGTTGTTGTTCCTCCTCCTCACACCCCGATAAACCGGGTGCCTGGTCTCCTTGAAAACCCTCCTCCCCGACCGCCTTTTCGGGCAGCTGGACGCCAGTATGACCGCCTCATCTGAAAGAGAAGCTCGCCCGGCCTCATCTGAAAGAGAAGCTGGCGTCCGAAAACGACGACGTATCCTGGTTTTCCAGAGTAGCCAAATCAGAATCCTGGCTGTAGATCATATCCATTTTTGCAAGGTCTTAGTGTAAAGCTTTGCGACTTTGTGTTTTAGTATAGTAGGGTTGGGTTTTTTCTGAGCTGAAAATGGATAGAGTTCGAGTGTGGTGGGGGCTTTTTCATAGATTTTGGGTTGGGCCACGTTTATGTGAATTGAACGCGCGAACACGGAAGTGTGATGAGATGGCGAGACGCCCCATAGAAATGAGTGGCCCACTGTGGGCGTGTTCACACTGGAAAACAAGGAGGATTCTAGAGAAAATAGATTAATTTGACTTTGACTTTGGCTTGATTTACTAAACTAAGTAAAGTGGGTATTTAGCACGTGTGAGTTTTTGGTCACTAAATTTGTCACGTTTTTTAATGCAATGTGTGCAATGTGTGTGAGGTGGTGCCCAACTCAAATCCTGCAATAAATCATATATATACTTCAATGGGAAATAGGAAGCAGCGAGCAAGTGGGAGACAGTAGGGACCCACAAACCAAAGAAAACTTCACCACGGAGGAGTTAGGCCGATCCAGTTCAAAGTCCGAATGATGTCATCCTAATAGCACGACTTGCATAATACGTGGACAGCTGTATGGTGACGTCGGTAAACCGGTTGACAGCTAAACGAGCCCTTGGCCACGGGACACGTGAACAATGTGGATATTTTCAGATATACATTAGGGCTTTGGGCTGAAGTCTATCCCCTCCATCCGTTGTGTTGAGAGGAGAGAGAGATTTTGGGCCTTTTAAATCAATTTAGTGGGCTTTAACTAAATTTAATTATCAATTTACTTTCTTCAGTTATATACATGGAAGGAGGAATTCGAACTCGGGCTAAAATAAAATTGGCAAGACATACACCCTTTAGACGAAGAGTGTTTATGTTAATTAAGCAAACAACTTTGATGTGATCGTTTTTAGAAAATAAAATCAACAAACATTGAAAGCTTGTTCCCCTAAAACACAATATGTTATGGCAAGAAACCATGTATTGCCTCTTTTCATGATCATTGATCAACATGTTTTTCGTTTTGTCTTTGGGAACGATTCTTTATCTAATAGCTTGTAATGTTTTTTTCCCCCTAACATTCTTCTATTTTATGAATGAACATGGGGCATTTGAACTTGAAATCTCTTTCAACGTTGAAAAAAAAAGAACTTCTAAACTAAGAGCTACTAATCTCCTAACGTTTACTTAAGTTGTTCTTTAATTGAATTATCAATTTTTTTTGCCAAAGTCGAGAGATTGTATTCATAATTCAGCTGTAAAGACGGTTAGCCACAAGGATCAATACGAACACAATAGTCATAAAGGGTTATATGGAGAGGTCAAACGGCAACATCAAGCTCATACGATATCCATCCACTCATAACCACGCATAATCAAAGAAATTTTAGCATAAAAGCCAAAAGAGTGAAGAAAAAAAAAGGGCTTATCCAATATAGGTCCCTACAATTTCTATTAACTAGACATATACCCATCATTTTATAAATCTATGTGTAAAACCTAATTTCAAACTTAAATGACCAGTAGGATATAAGAAGTTATAGTATTACTATGTTTTTATATCGTTGCCATCAGACTTCATATTTTATTCATAATTTTTTCCAAGCATTTCATTAACTGCCATAATTGTAATTAAAACTCCCTATTAATAGAATATCAATCAGCCTGTTTCTTTTGGTTGTCATTTCCTCTAACATATCACTCCCTAGAATGGCAAAAAAAAAAAAAAAAAATGTAAATTACATATCCAATAATGTAAATATAAATATAATATAATATATAAATATAAAATACAGGGATGATACCAAAAAAAAAAAAAAAAAAAAAAAAAAAAAAAAAAAAAAAAAAAAAAAAAAAGGTAAGTAAGTACTTTGTAATTGAAATTTCCGTACATTTTTCATAAATTAAAAATGGGCACACAATAATTTATAGAAAATAGGTACGTTGTATAATTGAAATTTATGCACATTTTTTATAAATTAAAAATAGGTGCATTATTTACAAGAAAAAAATAAGTTCACTATACTATGTAAATTGTTTTACTAGGTATACATTATTAGAGGGAAAAAAAAGGGTACATTATTTAGAGAACAAACTAGGTTCCTTTAAAAAAAAAAATTCATAAAACAAAAAATAAATAGATTATCAAATTATTTTTCATAAAACAAGTAATTGGTACATTATTTAGAGAAAAAAATAGATACAAAATTTAGCGAAGAAATAGTTTCATTATACTAGGTAAATTGTTTTACTAGGTACATTATTAGAGAAAAAAAATAGGTACATTATTTGGAGAGAAAAAAATAGGTTCATTTAAAAAAAATTGTTATCATAAAACAAACAATAAAAAGATGATCAAATTATTTTTCATAAAACAAGTAATAGGTGTTTTATTTAGAGAAAAAAAAGTACATTATTTAGAGAAATAATAGGTTCATTATTTATAGAAAAAATAGGTTCATTTAAAAAAAATAGAGATTATCAAATTATTTTTCAACATAATTAGAATGTACACTATTATTCATAAAACTATAATAAAATAGATTACTAGTCGTATAATTCATAAAAGGAAAACAACATAATTTTTTATATTAAATAAACCAAAACATTAATAATCTATAGATTACTAATACGATAATGTTGGATTTAATATTTAATATTAAATTAATTCCGACATTCATTACAATCATTTAGAGATCTTTCAAAATTCAACATGTGTCATTAGTTATACCCGTCATAACACATTGACTTATAAATAATGGTAGTTTTGGAATCTAAAAAATACAATAAATCAGATTTTAAGTTATATTAGATAATTTGCTTAGTTAGATCATAATCATCGGATATTATAAATAAATAAAAAATAAAAAAATTTGTATGTGATTTAAAATAAATTTTATGGTTCTAAGCTTAATTTACTGAAAAAAATGAAATAAGTAGCAGTTGTAATCTCTAGTCAGCTTCATGGTTTTATGTGAAAAGCTGTGTTGAAAGAGAGAGAGAGACGTGGGTCATACTTGTCTTGTCTCCCACAGCAAAGAATTCGACACTTTTTTGCTCCATTCAAAATTCAAATAATGTTCCAAGGATTTCAACTGTTTGTTTTTTGCGAACAAACAAATATTTTTTTCTTTTAGATTTTAATTTTTATGAATTAAAGGTGCCCAAGAAGACGACAAATATTTGCTGACTTGCAACCACGTGGCCGACTTGCAACCACATCCTCCATTTCTCCTTTTTATAATTTGGATGAATCATGAGCCACGTAATTAGTATACATTTTTATATTAGTACCAAGTTTCAGTGGCACTAGTCTAGAATAATTTCCTTGAGTTTTCGACTAAAATGGTCTCTTGATTAATTTTACACTAGATGTGATGTAGTATTATTCTTTGCTTCTTTTGTTTTGACGGGATTTTCTCTCTATTTTTAAAGGGAAAGTGGGTGGGTTTAAAGGCAAAGTTTTAGTAAGGCCATACTTATTATATTACTATTTTTCTTCTTTTTTTATTTGTTTGTATTTTTGTTTTCATGAATGAAATTGAATGAATTTTCAATTAATTTTTATTTTATTTTTTTTTTTTTTTTTTTTTTTTTTTTTTTAAAGGTATATTTTAATGTCATGTCATTCGTGACTAGAGTTTGGAAAAAAATAAGTGGGTCAACTTGACATTTTATCAATTGTTTGTTATTGGTAAAAAGTCCAATTCACCCCTAAAATTGGAGCATGTGATCCAATTTAACAAAAAATGTACCGGAAGGACTAATTTGACATGAAATAGAAAGTTGAAGGACTATTGAAATGAAATTTTTAGTTGGTAGACCAAAATGATACCGGAGCAATAGTTGGAGGACCATTTCGTTCAAAAACCCTAATTTATATAGTACTTTAAGATGATTAAATTAATATTTTGTTTTGTTATGGAAAGATAGGAAGGATTGAGATGGGATCACAAAAATATTTTTGTGAATTTCTATTTGTAGGAATTTCCAATTGTAGGAATTTCCATTTATAGGAATTTCCAATTGTAGGAATTTCCAATTGAAGGAATTTCTATTTGTGGGAATTTTTATTTGTAGGAATTTTCATTTCTGGTAGTTTCTATATTTGTTTTGTAATAATATAAGAAGATGGATTTTCTTTTGCTTTTGGTCTGCTAATATAATACGTGTTGCTTGCCAACCTAGACGAACCAGATTAGGCACCCTTTTGAGGTTTACATGACTTGTAATTAAAGTTTAGCATCTTTAATAAGATTATCTTCTTAATATAAACCCTAAAATACCAACTCTAAACTCAAATGTCAAATTTCTTAATTTTATACTCTCAAAGTACATTGTTTTGGATCGAAGCATAGACTATTAGCACATAATAGATAAGCACAAGGTCCCCAATTCGTCAGCATCATCCCAAGAACTGAACCAATAATGGATGCCGTGACCTTATAATGAATTAGGTGGTCCTTATCCATCGCTTCACATCAGCGCTGCACATAATTTCTTCTTCTTCTTCTTCTTCTTTTTTTTGTCTTATATAACTCACTATTCAGGCATATGTAACGCTATTATAATCAATAGCTCCATAGACGACTTTCTGCTCCTTCTGAATTGCCGGACGAGTCGGGATAATCAGACGGTCTCGGTGGAGACAGAAGCATGCCCTCTGCCATGTTCGCCAGCAAATTTGGCATCCCGAAAAGCTCTTCTTCATCCATCCCCACAGACGACGCCAAACTAGTACTACTCATCATCGTCATATCGTATTCGTACTTGTTCTGCCTCTCTGTGACCTTAAGACTGTTATCCGCCTCCTCATTCCGTTGTAGTGCTGTTGCCGCAGCAGCAGCTGCAGCAGCGCTACGAATGTCCTGTGGAGACATGGATGCTGGCACAGGATACGAGTCCATGGAGCTTGGAAAGTTGAGAACAGCATCCGCGCGCTTGAGAGCGAGCGCGGCCGCGTCATAGGCTGCTGCAGCCATCTCCGCAGTTGGGAAAGTCCCAAGCCATATGCGTCTAGTCTTACGTGGCTCTCGAATCTCGGACACCCATTTTCCGCCCCGACTCCGGATTCCATGGTACCTAGACTGCTTCCCGGAAGGGCTTGATGCCATGGTGGTGGGCTTTAGCAATTACTGATTCTGTATACCTGTGCTATAACCGTACTTTTGCGGAGGAGGGGGTATTTTGGCAATTTAATAAGTTCTGGTCATGGAGAGAGAGAGAGAGAGAGTGTGGGATGACTAGGTGTGAAGAGTGTGGTGAAGGATGCTCTGAGGAGGACGGTCAAAATTTTAGGTCAGGCATGACATATATATATATATATATATAGATAGATATTTTCGTATCCCTGTATAGATTGGTAGGGATGTAAATTGTAGAGGGTTGTGGGGAGTTTGTATGGAAGGAAGGTGTTAATTGTATGTAAATTGTAGAGCCGCTCAGCTGTGGTAGCTGGCACATGCACTCTGGCCAGTTGATATTTGTGGAAGCGTTAAAAATTGATAGTGGCAATTGAAAATGATTTTTATATTTGTGAGCCAATGCTTATAGTGGCTAGCTAAAATGAAGATGTTGATGTTGTCAGTGGTGGATGCCCACGTGTTGAAAATGAAGAGTAACATTGGAAGCGAAACATTTTTCAGAGAGTTGAAGACTTACAGGCTCCCTCGCTATTTACGTACAACAACAAGTAAATATTGTGGTTGTGAGGCAATCTTCATGTTTTTCAAACACAAAAATAAATACTATAATTTTTAATGATATTTTCACATTCTGTTTATTTTATAACAATATATAATTTGTCGGAGATATTTTGGCCACGGTGCGGCTTCACGGCCAAAGAGGGGGCCCTACTATTTTATGCATGGCTCCCAGCACGTTGGGGCCCCCATATGATTTTGCACCCAAATTTAGCCAATTATCCTTTAATGGAATACTCAATTGAATAGGACCTTTGGGGACAGGACGGATCTTTGTTTCCCTTCATTGGGTATGTGAGAAGGAGCTGTCTTTTTTATAAAACTAATATCCAATTAGGGTTTCAGATGTACATACAGTTGGATCTTTATGCTCAAGAAAAATAAAATAATAATAATATACATCGTTGTCTAGATTTTAATATATTATTAATAAAATGTAATGCATTTGAATAGTTTGGAAAGTTGCATGAATTCAATAGTGTCGATTTGAACAATAATTGGAGTGGATATTCAGTATGACTTAAATCCACTTATATGAACTCTGTCAATGCGACTGCAAATCCACTTATATTTAGTGTGACTTAAATTCACTTATAATTGGAGTAGATATATCGTTATACATTACATATAAATTCTTTAAATGTGACTGTAATGCTAAAAAATATCTCAAATAATTGAGCTTTGACGTGCGATATAAACTTCATCTTATAACTTTTTAAAATTCTAATGTGCCCTTTATTTATGGTGAAGTTTAGCAAATCTGGTGCTAGATTCTAAAATTGCACAAAGTTTATGGATTTCAAACACATAAAAGCTTTCAATCCATTTTAAATGAATGAAAATTCAAGAAGTGTGTGAGAGACCTCAAAATTTTAAAAGTTGTGGTTTGGAATCCAATACTCATGTTTTCACGCTTTCAAATTCAAACCTTGGTAACCTTTGAACAATATATAAAAAAGGGAGAAGATAGGAAAGGAGAAAAAGAAATTTGACAAAGATCTTTGTAAAAATTAAAGTTGGATACTTAATTATGATTAGCCTCATTGTAATTACGTAATTTTGTTGTTAGTGAATTGCCCATTTAAAAGTATTAAAACTATCATATCCTTTGTCAAAAAACAAAACCAAAAATCAAACATAACGTCTTAGGATTACTAGCTTAAATTCTTAATAATTTTATGATTAATATCTAGTAGATAAAACCCAATCCCATGAAATCTTTTGAGGTGTCGGTACATAATTAATTTGGTCCCCATGACAAGATGGACCGGACCACACCCAATGGGCACCTGATCAAGTGGTTGAGACAGCGAAAGATGTGGGGTTTGAAGAGTTCACCTCATAAATCTTAGCGATCAATTAAAGAAAACAAAAACAAGTCAGAAATAGCAGTAACATGTTGTGGCTAGCAATCTTTTGTTCTTAGCCAAAAAAACAAGGAAAACCCCCTTGTCCCCAACAGTTGAAAACCAACCATAGCCACAGGTTTAATTTAATTAACCCCCAAAAAAGACAACACCAAAAATCAAATTGAGGGGTTGGAGAGTCAACCAGGGAAGGGGAGAAAGTCAAAATCAGTATCATCAAGGAATATTTCAATCCACCATTACGTCTATGGTGGAAGGCAGCTCTCTAAAGTAGGAACGAGGCAAAGTTTCTCTATCAGATTCAATAATTCCAAATTTAGTAAACTTTTGTACTGTACACAATCCTAAATATCTATCTACTCCAAAAATATCTTAAAACATCATTCTCATATGTTCACTCGTAAGAGCGTCACCAACCCAGCGCCTTAGGTCTTAAAAATCATTTCTAGCGCAGCAATTTAATTTGGATAGATGGTGGGCTCCACTAAGTTTGAGTAGGTCTGAAGACAAGAACAGTTCGAGTTGTTATCTTAGGGGCGATGACGTCAGTGCTGACGTCATCAACATAATTTTTTTTTAAAAATTGAAATAAATATACATACCTAGCAACTTTTATTATTATTATTATTATTATTATTATTATTATCATACATATAAATAAAATTAATCCTATATGAATAGTAATTGTATTTGGATTGCCATGACAATGAGTGAAAAAACAAAATAAAAAAGGATATGGCAATTACTATTCACATGAATAGTGTCCCTCATTACTTATGCTTTTCCTTTGTCATGGCACCATGGGCGGAAGTGCTCTAAACAACTGGCTACGCTAGCCTTTTTTTCAAAATAAATACATAAAAATCAAACACTAAATTCTAAGAATCAACTAAAATAAACGTCAATTAAATGGAGAAACTCCACAATTTGACATTAGCATACGTGTCCATGTCATCCCTATTCATGTACCCACATAAGCATTGCAATGGAGAAAGAAAAAGCCCTTCCGCCATGTCACCAAGCAACCTTGGCATGTCAAACACTTCCCCTTCTTGTTCTTCTCTTCCACCACCACCATTTTCTCCTTCTCATCACTGCTGTCGCTGGACACTCCACCAAAATTCTCCGCTAGCTTAAACCCCTCAGCTACTAAGTAAAGTGGGTAACACACACTGAACTAACTAGGCTTATTATCACAAAACGTCCCTAAGGTTTACGAAACTATCAGATTGCATCCTTAAATTTTTTTTTTTGGTCATTTGTGGTCCTCAAGGTTAGTATGCATGATCACAAATGGTTCTTGGCGTTAGGTTCCGTAAAAAAACTCCATTAGTTTGCTGACGTGGCATATATGTATATCACAAAACATCATTGAGGTTCACACACCTATCACAAATGGTCCTTACAAATTTTTTTAATCTTTTAAATTTAAAATTCATAAAATTTTTGTTTTCTTTTTAAAATGTTATGAATTATAATTATTTTAAAAAATGTATTAAATTTTAAATACATTTGACACTATATTATTGTAGTTGTGGGCTCCATATATATGCCACACAACAAACTAATGAAGTTTTTTTTAAAATAATTTAAAATTCATAAAATTTAAAAATGAAAAAAACTAAAGGTTTAGGGTTCGTAAATGGTCCTTGAGATTAAAATCCTTCTATAAATGGTTTTTCATTTATAAATAATTTTAAAAAGAAAACCAAAATTTTATGAATTTTAAATTAAAAAATTAAAAAAAATTCGTAGGGACCATTTGTGATAAGTGTGTAAACCTCAGGGATGTTTTGTGATATATATGTATGCCACGTCAGCAAACTAACAGAGTTTTTGACAAAATCTAATGGCAGGGACCATTTGTGATTGCACATACTAACCTTGAGGACCATTAGTGACACAAAAAAACTTTAAGGATGCAATCTGATAGTTTCGTAAATCTTAGGGATGTTTTGTAATAATAAGCCAACTAACTATGCTAAGTAAAGTGGGTACTTTTCACACGTGTGTCATTGGCGCATTTTGTGTACAGATGTGCGTGTTTGAAGTGTGCAGTACGAGGGTCCCAATCCCAGCTCAACTCAGTTGGGATCCTCAATATTTTTTAATTTTTTCTTCTTTAGCTGTTTGACTTACAAGAGGCCGGATTTTTTAGCCAACATTACTCATATTAGACAACATTTAGTCATTTAACTGTCACAAAAAAAGAAAAAGATAGACAAATGATTTCATATGGACAATGGAAATATTCTCAATAATAATTAAAATTTTAAACGATTTCCAATTTGTCTTTTGTTTTGTTTTGTTTTTTTTTCTTTCTGGAAATGTTCTTTGAATAATGAGCTGAATAAATGAATGGTTTGGATCACTTGTTGACATTGTGATTAAGTTCCTATCATCATATTAACTTACAGAGAGGTTAGTACTTGAGAACTCATATAAGTTTATTTAACGGATCCCTTGTTGGCCTACTCAATTATTATTTTTTCAATTTTAATAGAATTTTGATGAAAGGATCACATTTGCTAATATATACAACCACAGTGATGAATATCATCCGCAATCATGCTCCTTATTTTTTAGTTAAAATTTGGCAAAAAACACATAAAAGTTATTTTAGGAACTCTCTATAAAATTTGAGCTCCAATCATATCCGCTAGTTTGGGGAGTGATAAATACTATAGTTATTTTTTAAATCAATATGATTGGTCCATCTCTATAAAATATATATATATATATAAACAGATAGTTAGCATTAATTAAAAATTTAAACTATGCTCAAAACAAAGCAGTATTAAATTACAGGGAGCCACTATGAGTCCTTTCTATCTTATTAGATTTAGGATCTCCTAGAGGTCTCCCTATTTTATGAGGTAGATATGGAGCATAGTTGGAGTTGTATTTTTCCAATTTCTCTCTAAAATTTGTCTAAGGATGTGGCTTAGGGAGCCCATTATGGATACTTTAAATTGGACAAATTGATAAAACGGGGACTAAATTGGTTGATGAGGTAAAACACATGGACCATTTTGACATTTAAGCCTAAAATTAATAGTAATGTTTATATCATATATTACTAGGCTCTTTGGACCACGAAGCCCATAAAGCCTAGTAAGCTCAATAAGGCCTTAAAGCACCTTCGGCTATGGAGTATCTTCATCCCATGAAAGACACTACAAAGCGGATAGTGGCCAAGGACACATGGCAGCCACACATGCCATGCCCATGAGCCCAACATCAAAATACCACGCCAAGGTATCTCATACATTTGCCTATAAATAAGGTATTTGACCTATTACACGGGGAATGAAAATTTGATTACCCTAATCATACTTGCTTACCTCAATTCTTATATGACTTAAGCTTCGGAGAGCCTTCGGCTGGTACCATACCCGTGCCAAGGTCCTCACCTTTGTTTTCCCATTTTTACAGGTCACTCCCTGTCTCCCGAAGGTCCACGAGGTACTAAAGGAATTTTCATCTTTAAGTTGGGTTCAATCTCGGCCGTCCATTTTTTTAGCATCAACAGTTTGGCGATGTCCGTGGGAATACGTTACTAAACATCCTATACTTTTGCAAAGCTAAAATGGAATCATCCACCATCTCCAAGTTCCACTTGCCAAATAGTATAGTCTTTAGCATGCCTACCGAATGGAGCCTAGGTTTTCCGCCTCACATAAGAGGAACACGTAGGGACATGCCAAAGTAGAAACCTCACGGCAACTGATTCTTTCTCCATCTGTGAATAATCCTCATCGTGGTCACATAGTCTATTTCAATTGTTGTGACATGCTACAGAGCCGATAGGAAGAACACTAGGAAGAATCGATTAGGATCAACACCAAGCTTGATGATCCGCTAATGAATGTCCTTGGGAACAAAGAGCCAATCAGCTGCAACTAATTCAAATACTATTGCGAAAGGATAAAGATTCAGAGTGTGTTCTTCATAGTGAAGATTAGCCACATCGATCAATAGGTAGGTCTAATCGTCAACGACTCAGATTATCTAAGGAAGAACGATCCAAACGCCCTCTTGGCCTAACAGAAAAGATGGAAGGTCATTTCCAAATGAGAGTAAGATGAGAACCTCACAAGTCGGCCAATGACGAACTGCCCGGTGCTGACCTAACTGTTCAGCTCCTTTTTCAAATGATCAAGTAGCTCGAAGATGATAGAGTTAAGACTATGTAGCCGTCTTGGAGCAAGCCTCAACTTGGCATATTCTCTGAACACATTCGAACCTTCATGCAAGGGCATAATCTATGGGAATACCATTTTACTCACATTCTAACCCATATATATATATATATAAATTTCGATCGGCCTTGGCGACTAAAGGGAATGTATATTGTTCCCTTAAACGTTGACTTGAGCAACACTCAATTGGTTCTTCCCATTGGGCCCAGGTATAGTAAATTCCTTCCATTAATTGAAGCAAATTTTCCTTAACCATTTCATGATTCAGACCAATCGCCTATAATATGTTGATGACCTCTATACTGTACAACAAGGTGATGATGAGCTGTTAAGAGAGTGCACTGCCCGATTCAACCACTAGTAATCTAGATACCCTGACACTAATGACAGAGTCTCCCTCGGTGCATTCAAAAGCGGATTGTGTTAGTCGAACTTCCGATGCATAGTCTAGAGCAACAATTGGGGGACTTATGCAGAACTCATGAAGTAGGCTGCAATTCATGCCAAGGTAGAATACCTGAATTTTGAAAAGGGACCCTCGACCCTTAAGAGTGGAGTGGATCATTTAGATCGTCCAGGACCATCGGTTCGAAACTTATATCTACTAACTTATCAATCGACCATAAGAAGACATTACCGGCTGATTCCAAAACCTTCTGTTTGAGGGACAAATGGAAGAAGGTCCACAAACCAAGGTAGGATAACCAGAGAATAAGCGAAGGCAGGTTCAATAAGAGCCAGCATGAAGGTTCATTCCATAATTTACCAAAACCAAGAGCCGGAGTGGTTACACTACTAAACACGTCATACGAGGCTTGAAAGCTCTCTCGTTATAGCATGAAAGATACTGGTCTCTTTTGCTGGTACCATTAACATAATAGCCATGATACTGAATCATGTATAACACTGAGGAGGATAATAGAATGCCTCATTCAGGAGGGCATGATCAATTAGTACCTTCATGATCGACTACCAACATCATCCTAGACTAATCGACATATTAATACGATCAGCGGCGGCTTGACCATTGCAGAAACCAACAAGCATTCCATCAAGAGTTATGTTCGTGCTGTTTGGCATCCCCAAGTGCTAGACATCAAGAACGATTGCAATTATATGATGTAGAAAGTGGGATAGATGCCGATCACCTTCACCGAATAAGAAGAAAAAGGAATCATCTTCCCCAATTTAGATCCAATGGTAATTAAAGATGAGATCTTCGATTTCGATGTTGGAAGGTTGCTAATCGACACTGGAAGCACAGTCAATGTCTTTTTTACAGATGTATTCGAGGTGCTTGAAATTGTAAATTGGCACATCAACGAAGCATCACACATCTTCTCAGTTTCTCTGGTGACGTTATGCACTCGTTCGATAGTATCCTGCTACCTTTGGCTGTAGGCACTACACCGAAGAAAACCTTCCTCTACACTACTTTCTTGATCGTTGATTGTCCAATAGCATACAACGTCATCATCAACCGTCCAACCTTGACCAAGATGAAGGCCTTCTTAGCTCCCCACATGCTTATGATGAAGTTGCCTACTCATTTTGGTGTAGGCCAAGTTCGGGGTGATCAGCTTAGCACACGGACGTGGTATGTTTTCGCTTCCAGCTCCTCTACCACAACATTACCAAATGAGGCACTAACCTTCTCAAACGCAACACCTTTATTGCCGAACCACAAAAGAGGCAATTAGTCAGACGACCCTCATGACATGTCTATCACACCACAAGTAAAACAGTACAATGAGCTTGAGTATGTTGCACTGCTGGAAAGTGAACCGGATTGACAATTTCGCATCAACATGGGTCTTATAGTCGCCCTATGGACTGCAATTATTATCTTCCGAAGAGAAAACTCCTAGTTCTTCTCCTGGTCGTATAATGATATGCCTGGCATCTCTCTTGATGTCATTTGCCATCAGATCAGCATCAGCCTAGTGTGCAAATCAATTTGACATAATAGTAGGGCCTACGACATCGAATGGTATGCTGCAATTAAGACAAAGGTGGATAAACTTATGACAATCAGCTTCATAAGAGAAGTTGATTACCCAACATTGTTGGCCAATTTAGTCATGGTTAAGAAATCAAACAACGTGTGACACATGTACCAAGACTGTACTGATATAAATAAAGCTTGCCCCAAAGACAGCTACCCTCTTCCCAGAATTGATCAGCTTGTTGATGCTACCACAAATCATGAGTTGCTCAGCATCATGGATGCCTACTAAGGTTATAACCATATCTTCATGCACATTACCGATTAAGAGAACATTGTGTTCATCACTGACAAAGAACTCTATTACTACAACGTAACGTTTATCATCCTCAAAGACACCGAAGCAACCTATCAGCGTTTGGTGAGTAAGATGTTCGCTAAACATATTGACAATATGATAAAGGTCTATGTCGACGACATGCTAGTGAAGAGCAAAACCACTAATCAACACCTTCATAATCTGTCCCAGATGTTCGGAGTGCTTAAGCATTACAAGATGCCCCTCAACCCCACCAAATGCGCCTTCAGCGTATCTTTGGGAAAATTCATAGGCTTTATGATCAGCCAAAAAGGTATTGTAGCTAACCCATAAAAAATGAAGGTTTTGGTGAATATGTAGGTGCCGAAGACATAAAATGATATCTAAAGCCTAACAAGTCGTGTCACGGCCCTCACTCGATTCATCTCTAAGGCCACTGATCGATGCACTCCGTTCTTTAAAGAACTTAAGGAACCTAGGAGTCCTTCCTCTCTCCTCAGATTTAGGATCTCTTAGAGGTCTCCTTATTTTAGGAGGTGAAGATGGAGAATGGCTAGAGTCGTATTTTTCCAATTCTCCCTAAAATTTGTCTAATGTAGTGGTTTAGGGGGCCCATTATGGATGCTCTAAATTGGCCAAATTGATAACAAGAGGACTAAATTGGCCGATGAGGTAAAACACATGGATCATTTTGACATTTAAGCCTAAAATTAATAGCAATTTTTATACCATATATGCGTAGGCTCTTCAGACTAAGAAGCCCATAAAGCCTAGTAAGCCCAATAAGGCCATAATGCACCTTCAGCCATGGAGTATCTACATCTCATGAAAGACACAACAAAGCGGATAGTAGCCAAGGACAAGTGGCAACCACACAAGCTATGCCCACGAGTCCCACATCTCATACCACACCAATGTATCTCATACATTTGCCTATAAATAGGGTACTTGCCCTATTACACAGGGAATGACAATTTAATTACCCTAATCATACTTGCTTACTCAATTCTTATCTGACTTAAGCTTCGGAGAATCTTCGACTAGTACCACACCAGTGCCAAGGTAGACCTTTGTCTTCCCCTTTTTATAGGTCACTCCATGTCCGCTGAAGGTCCACAAGGAACTGAAGGCATTTTCATTCCTAAGTTGGATTCAATTTTGGGCTTCAATTTTTGAGCATCAACAAGTAATATAGGAATGCTTGATGTGCACGGGCCATTGGATTAACTAAAATCCTTTTTTCTCATTGTTTTCATAACAACTACTATAGTTTGGATAAGAGGATCTAGATCTAAATTCATATTTCATTCAATAGTTTTCAAATGTAAGGATAGAATAGAATACTAAGACATAATAGAATACTTAAGACTCCCTTTTGGGTTAGGTTGGGTTTTTTCTAAGTTGGAAATGGGGGAGAGTTCGATTATGGTGGCTTTTTTATATTATAGATTTGGGTGCAGGTGCTTTGGGTTTAGGGTTTATGGAAACCAGTGGACTATTGTAGGCATGTTCACACTGGAAACAAAGAGGATTGGGGGACAGTACCCACAAACCGTACTAATTTACCACGAAGGAGTAAGTTAGTCCGGTCTAGTTCAACTTTGCATGAAAAAGTCGGAATGATGTCATCCTAGTAGGGCACGTCTTGCATAATACGAAGACAGCTATATCCCGACGTCGTAAAGTTGACAGCTAATCCGGACTTGGACGAGGCCTTTACCCACAGGACACGTGAACAATGTGGATATTTTCAAATAATATGTGGGCTTTGGGCCTTAAGTCTAAAACTTCACCGTTCACTTTATTTGTTGTGTGGTGAAGAGCACGAGATTTTGACCCTTTTACATCAATCGCAGTTGGCGTGAACTTAAATTGAATTATTTTTATAAAAACAAAATGCAAGGGGGGAACGAACCTAAGTCATCGGGTTCATGATAAATGGTCTTAACCACTTGAGTTATAAGCCCCTTGTAATTATCTTTCCATTTTTGATTGGTTAGAAGAGTAGAGATTCAAATTTGAGATATCTTCCGACATAGCAGAGTCTTTCCACTTCCTCTGCTTGAAATATGTAGTGGATATACTTTTCTTGAGTTCCAATTTAATAGACGTAATTTATTAATTAAAATAGGGGGTTGTTGTAGAAAAATGGCCCTACGCTTTCTTCTTAACTTAGGGGCTTTTATAGAGGTTATTAAGCAGCCATGAATTGGCTGGTTATATCTAATTTGTTGTTGTCATAAGCTGGTTATAAACTCATATCTAATGGTTCAGGCAAATTCTACTGAACCCATTAAAACCAAGTTCGTAGGAAACCCAAAGTTGGCCATGAGGATCCTTGGTTTTGGTCACGGAGCTGTATTAGGCTAGCCCATGACCTTATTCCTCATATATATGGTTTGCCACCACCAAGACACAAAGTAATTTCGGTCATTCTGATGACACACTTACGCACTAGACTAAAGAAGGACTGAAATTCCTTTGTCAACAGCTTGACCTGTCAAAGTTAGTTCGGTTAGTGCTTGTCCACAAGAATTCGATATACAAACCTATACATCAAGGGATTAGATGCACTCGTTTGGTGCTTATCCAAAAAACAATAAAAGGTTTGGAGATGAAATAATCTAACTTTTGACCTCTTGTAATGTTAGAATGAGAAATACAACTATACCGAGATCCATAACTTTGGATTACTTTTTTGGGGCCAATATGAGTAAACTATCCCCAGTGACGTACTCAGCAAAAGCTCTAAACTATGTCCGAGACCATAAGGCCTCCCCGCTGAAAAGTTAAAGATAAAGAATCAAGTTGAACCAATGAAGGCATTATCCTAAAATAAAATCATGATAATTTAACCAACAAATCAAAAGAACATAATGAGTGTGACGATTAAGGAGACGTCTTTCGCGGACCACTAATTGCTGAGATTTGAGGTTCCTAAATTAACAAGGCTTATTAATAATGCGACTGCTTTTACCCAAAAAACAGAACATTGATGTGACTGTTCTTACAAAACAAAAACAAACAAACAATACCCTCTCTCTTTAGTTAAAGCAACTCCACCAATTTGCCATTTGCCATGACAAGAGGGGAACTAGGGCATCTATTATTCACATGAGCAACTCCACCCATTTGTCCTTTGCCATAGCAAGGGGGGAACTAGGGCAGCTACTGTTTATGTGAATAGTAGCTGCCCTTGTAAAGAGCAATGTGTGGTTCCATCCGTTGCCATGACAAAGGGTAAATATTATTTATTTTTTTGTTTTTTTCACAAATTTGTTTATCTAAACAATTAATTTGGACAATATTTTCGAATAAGATTTTTGGGTTCGTACGTGTCAATATTTATTATAAAACTCATATCTCAATTAGATAAAATTTTCGGATAAGATGATAAATAAAAATACAATTTAAAAGTGAATAAAATGTTGAGTAAAAAGTGAATAATAGTAGAAGTAGAAGAAAAAGTATGAGGATTTAGTGTTGAAAGTGAAGAGTATTGGTTGGTATTTATAGAAAAAAATTCTAGAATTTTTTGGTATTTTTTTAATAAAAATTTTGAATTTTTTTTTCATAATTTTATAGCAAAAAAAAGCCCAAATAATAGTAGAAGTAGAAGAAAATGTATGAGGATTTAGTGTTGAAAGTGAAGAGTATTGGTAGGTATTTATAAAAAAAAAATTCCAAGTTTTTTTGGTATTTTTTAAAAAAATTTTCGAATTTTTTTTCATAATTTTATAGCAAAAAAAGCCCAGCCGTTGGATTGGAGGAGAGCAAGCGATCGGAGCGCCTAGACGATGACACATGTCTTCTAGCTGTTGGTGGAGCGCAGGGTTGACGTCAGCGTACGCTGACGTCATCCTCCCCCTCGGGCTAGAGTTGCCTTCGGGCTAGCCTGTCTTCGTGGGTCCCACTCCCAACCCGGGCTTGGGCCTCACTGAACTGGTTTTTTTTTTTTTTTTTTTTTTTTTTTTTTTTTCTCCCCCAGACAGAGGCTGGGCTCCTCGCTGGAGTTGCTCTTAGAGAGAAAACCCTACCCATCTTCATCCTTGGGGAGGAGGGGAAGGAGACTACCCTTCCTCCCCTCTCCTTCCCTTTCCCCTTCTCTTCACCCCGTTACTCTTAACATCTTCTCGGTGGTGGTCTCAGCGATTGCTCTTTTGTTTTGGTTGTTTATTTTGCAGATTGGAATTCATGTACAAGATCTACAATAATGTTTTGGGTGGATTTACTTTCTTTGGGTACTCTTGTTCGTCCCCGTGACGACTAGGTGGTTGAGCGATTTTTATTTATTTTCAGTCTCTTGCGTTGTAGTAATTACATCAACTCTCATGAGTTTAGTGTTTGTTGTTGTTTAGTCTCAACTTGTATTTTTTATGACCTTCATGGCTGATAGTCTTTGTCTCTGATTTATGAATCCAATTATAAGCGTAGTACAAACAGGGTGACTGTCCATAACATTGAAATCTTGTTCCCCTAAAACACAATATGTTATGGGCAGGAAACCATGTATTTCCTCTTTTCATGATTAACATGTTTTTAGTTTTGTCTTTGGGAAGGATTCTTAATCTAATAGCTTGTAGGTTTATTTTTCCTCAACATACTTTCTTTTATTTTATGAAAGAGGATGGAGCATTCGAACTTAAAATCTCTTTTAAATTAAAAGAAAAAAGTCTCTTTTAATTGAATTGCCATTTTTAAGTATCCCTTCTTCATCTTCCTTCTTCCACTTAATTGTATATGGAAGAATAAAGGACATACATTTCGTTAGTCACTTATCTTTTACAAACTTTCATGCATATTCATTGTTTTGATCTCATTTTGTTATTACTAGAAAACATATTCCACTGCTTTTACATTTTTTTAAAAGCTGATGTACTCATAATTAACATTAACATTCTCATATTTTAATAATCTTCTTTTTGTGAAACTTTACCAGACGAGTCCTAATTAATACATTCTTCTTATTTTGGAACCCAAAAAAGAAATAAGTAGCAGTTGTAATCTGTAGTCAGCTTCATGGTTTTATGTGAAAAGCTCGGTTAAGAGAGAGCGATGCATCACCTACGTAACGTACTGATAAGATAATTGTGAGGAAGAAGAAAAGGGTTGGGAGTTGATGTCGGCCATACTTGTCTTGTCTTCCACAGCACAGAATTCCACACTTTTTTGCTCATTCAAATAATGTTCCAAGGATTTCAACTGTTGGTTTGTTTTTTTGCGTCTGAGAAAAGCACACAAAAAAAAATATATATATATATATATATATTTTTTTTTGGCTTTTGGATTTTTAATTTTTTTTTAATGAATGAAAGGTACCCAAGAAGACACACCCAGGCCCCCCCATGTTTTCCCTTTTTTTAAGATTTCAGATTACATACACATGGCGGACTGGCAACCACATCTGTCATTTCTGCTTTTTATAATTTGCATGAATCATGAGCCACGCAATTAGTATTTTTATATTAGTACTAAGTTTCAGTTGCACTAGAATCACCATATGTTTAATCACCATATGTTTTAGTATTTTATAATGAAGTGATTTCTACTTTTGGGAATTTGCATTTTGTAGCAATTACCAATTGCAGCAGTTTCTATTTTTGGGAATTTTCTATTTTTGGGAATTTCTATTTTTGAGAATTTCTATTTTTGGTATTTTCTATATTTGTAAACGCCCTATTTTTATTTTATTTTTATATTTTTGTTTCCTTCCTTTGTAATAATATAAGTACGTGGATTTTCTTTTTCTTTTGGTCTGCTAATTAATATACTAATGTGTTACTTGCCGACCTAGATTAACCAGATTAGGCACCGTTTTGAGGTTTACAAGACTTTCATTTGATTATCTTCTTAATATAAACCCTAAAGTACTAACTCTAAACTTTCAAACCACTTAACATAATATAATTGTATCATTATTTAAGGACCACAAAAGACAAGTGACGTGACTGACGCAAAGCATCCCAAGATTGAACCAATAATGGATATGGATCTTCTGCCTTAGGAGAAAACTTTACCTTATAATCAATTGGATGGTCCTTATCAGCACATAATTTCCTTTTCGTCTTATATGACACTTTATTTGGTTTCATAGCAACTATAGCCAAAAACCTGTTGCCCCCATCCAAATCTCATCGGAAAAACTTACTTGTAATTGGTATATCACTGTTTTCCTATTTTCGGCTAAAAATCTGTTGCCTTCGTTCAAATTTCATAGACAGGAGTTCCTGTATTAATTGTATCTTCAAAATTTTAAAAACAAAAACAAAAAGAAAATTAAACAATTGCATAAGAAACCCCGCTCAATTTTAATAATATTTACTGTGAAAGCGAGAAAAAAGGAAAGAAAAAAGACAAACAAAATATAGCACCAAGCATTTTGAATATATAAATATATAACTGACCATGTCATATATATATATATATACACATATTCATAAATTAAGAAAGCATATGTAACGCTAATAATCAATAGCTCCATAGACGACTATCTGCTCCATCTGAATTGCCGGACGAGTCAGGATAATCAGACGGTCTAGGCGGAGACACAAGCATTCCCTCTGCCATGTTCGCCAGCAAATTTGGCATCCCGAAAAGCTCTTCTTCATCCATTCCCACAGATGAGGCCAAACTCGTACTACTCATCATCATCATATCGTATTCGTACTTCGTCTTCTTCTCTATGAGGTTCAGACTGCTATCCTGCTCCTCATTCCCTTGTAGTGCTGCTGCTGCTGCAGCAGCGGCAGCAGCGCTACGAATGTCCTGTGGAGACGTGGATGCTGGCACAGGATACGAGTCCAAGGAGCTAGGAAAGTTGAGAACAGCATCGCCGCGCTTGAGAGCGAGCGCGGCCACGTCATAGGCTGCTGCAGCCATCTCCGCAGTTGGGAAAGTCCCAAGCCATATACGTCTAGTCTTACGTGGCTCTCGGATCTCGGACACCCATTTTCCGCCCCGACTCCGGATTCCATGGTACCTAGACTGCTTCCGGGAAGGGTTTGATGCCATGGTGGTGGGCTTTGGCAATTTCTGATTCTTTATATACCTGTGCTCTAGCAGTACTCTTGTGGAGGAGAGGGAGGGGTATTTTGGTATTTAACAAGTTTTGGTGGTGGAGAGAGAGAGAGAGAGAGAGAGAGAGAGAGAGAGAGAGGGAGGAGAGTGTGGTGAAGGAGGCTGAGGAGGACGGTCAAGGGGTTTGTAGATTGGTCAAATATTTGGCCCAAAGTCAGTGAGTATTTGGATTTAGGTGAGCCATGATATGTATATATATAGATAGGTAGGGATGTAAATCGTAGAGGGTGTGTGTGGGGAGTGTCCGACTGTGTATGGAAGGAAGGTGTTATTGGAAGAGAGAAAGAGGAAGGGGCCCGCTCAAAATTGGTTGCTAGCATGCACCCCGGCCACTTGATATTTGTCGAAGCTTTAAAAATGATAGTGGCAATTAAAAATGATACAATTTTGGAGAAAGGTAAATTAAATAGAAACTTCATTAAATTTGTGTGTGCCAATTAGCAATTGCATGGTGTTTTTAGTGGGGATATACTCCGGACCATGCAAATTTTATATCAGAATTGGTTGGAATCGAAAATTTTATGTGATTAATTCCTATAAAATTTTGGTAGTGTGGTAGTTTGTCTTGATTTACTTGATTTGATTTGATTTACCATGCAAATTATTATATTCTGCAATTCATATCATGGGATTGTAGTTATATCTATGGAAGATTAGATTAAAACCCAAAATTATCCATATTCAAAGATCCCTTGTAGTGGATAGCCAAATGAACATGTTGATGTCTACTAAAATATAATCTGTTGGAGATATTTTGGGCATGGTGTGTCTTGACAATATATAATGATTTTGGCCAAAAAAGAGGCACTATTTTATGCATGGGTCTCAGAAAGCTGGGCCCCTGTGTGCCCCACACATGATTTTGCACCTAAATTTAGCCACATTTTCCTTTAATGGAATCTTCAATCGAAGTCCTTCTGGGTAATAGCATTACAATATTACGGGGACACGAGGGATCTTTCTTTCCTTTCATTGGGTATGTCAGGAGCAATCTTTTTTCAATCAAACTAGTATCTAATTAGGTTTTCAGATGTACTATTGTTGGATCTTTATGGTAAAGAAAAAGAAAAGAATAATATACATCCTTGTCTAGAGATTTTAATATATTATTAATCAACTGTAAGTTGCATTAATTCAGTAGTGTGGATTTGAACAATAATTGGAGTAGATATTAATAGTGTGACTTAAATCCACTTATGGTATACACGACATATGTAGACACCGTTAATGCGACTGTAATACTAAAAAATATATCCAATAATTGAGCGTGGCATTTTTATAACTTTCTAAAATTCTAATGTGCCCTGTATTTACAACGGTCAAAACCAACAGGAACAAAGGAAGCCAACAAAAAAAACAAACAGCCAAGGAACCCAATAAAGAGAAAGCTTTTCTACTGTATATTGTACACAATCCAAAATATCTGTCTCCACTAAAAATATCTTTCTCATATATACTTTTATTTTCAATATTTCCAGATAAACGTTGATTATTATTAATTGGAGAAACTCCACAATTCGACATCAGCATCGGTTCCCATGTCATCCCAAATGTCGCCACCTAAGCATTGAGGTGGAGAAAGAAGAAGGCCTTGAGCCATGTCATCAAGCAACCTTGGCATGTCCAACACATCCTCCTCATCCCAATAGGACAAGCTCAAGCTTCCCTTCTTCTTCTTCTCTTCCACCTGCACAACCATACTCTCCTTCTCATCACTGCTGCTGCTGGACACTCCACCAAACTCCACCGGCCTAAACCCCTCAGCTGCCTCGGCGGCCGCTCTCCGAATATCCATTGCATCCATGGAAGCAGGCATGGGCAGCCTCCACGCGGAGTCAGCGAAGTTGAGGCAGGCAAGCTTCCCTCCAAATGCCAATGCCGCCACGTCATGTGCACGAGCAGCCATCTCCGCCGTCGGATAAGTCCCGAGCCATATCCTGGACTTCGTCTTCTTGGCTCTCTCATTTCACACACCCACTTGTCATTGTTCCTCCTCCTCACGCCCCTATAAACAGGGTGCCTGGTCTCCTTGAAAACCCTCCTCCCAGCTCGCTTCTTTGGTCGGCTCGACGCCAGTATGACGTCCTCGTCGGACCAAGAAGCCCTTAGAGTCGTGACGCTGGAGTCGGACAACGAACTTGACTCGGGCTGGTCGACGGAGTCAGAAAAATGAGACAAGAAGAACCTGGGCATTAGTGTAAGATACGTATGAATGGTTTGGTGTTTTAGTTTGGTTGAGTTTCTTGAGCTGAAATTGGAAGTGAGAGAGAGGGACTTTTATAAATTGGGGATTGCGTGGCTGCTGCGGCCCAAGTGTGGACACGTAAACACGGAGTCTAAGGAAGGAGTGTCGAGTGTGTAAGGAAGGAGACATGTGGGGCCAGCTCGAAATGTGGGTTTACAACTGGAGTGGCAAGTAAACAGGCAAAGGGGGATTCATTGGGGACTGGAGGAAAACAATATTGCTTTGACTTGGCTCTGCCACGTGGCAGTCAAACACACTGAGCTTAGTTTTTTCGGTCCAAAGCACACTAAAGTTTAAACTTAGGAAACTAATAAGCGGGTGTTTTTTCAATCACACGTGGTTTTATTACTCAAAATTGACACGTTGTGTGTGTGTTTGAAGTGTGCGTTACGTGGCTCCGTTCACACCTCACCTCAGCTTATGTGGGCTACTGCAATATTTTTTTTATTTTATCTTTCTTTCGCACTAATTACAACCTTACTGGTAATATAATTTAATACAGTAATACAGTCGCGTGTTATAATTTGTTTATGTATTATAATATAAGTGAATATTTATTGATATTATTTTTTAGAAGAGGAAATATTAACATTGTCGTTCACTTATTACACGAGCACAAGCTACTATAACAAAAAATAGTGTAAATTGACAAAAAAGAAGAAGAGATATTTAGTGATATACCCATTCTTAGGACTAATAATATAAATAAATCCTACACCATTTAATTTCTATAAATAAAAAAACCCAAAAATGACAGCTGGCCTATTGAATTTAATTTTGATTATTAAATTTGATGCCATATTGAGTGTTTTCGCTATTTTTATGAGGTTTTGAGATTGAGATTATTTTAAGAAATTGATTGTAGTTTTGTAATTTATAAGAAGTTAAAAGCCTATTTGTTATGTTGTAAATGAGCTTTGAGTGTGTTTCTAAAGTTCATTTCACATAGGTTTTTTTATAAAAAAAAATTTGAGCCCCTATATTGGGTATAATAGTGAATCTCCCAAAAAGAAAAAGAAAAAAGAAACATACAATTTTTAACGAAAAGAATATAAGTAGACAAAATAGAAATGAGAAAATAAGTTCCCTTGATTATATGTCATTTGCTAGTAAAAATGTTGAGTTTTCACAAGCAGATGTTCCATTACATTAAGGGAGATTCACTATTATATCCAATATAGAAGCACAACTTATAAAAAAAACTTATATGAAATGGACTTTAGATACACACCCAAAGCCCATTTACAACTTAACAAATTTTTTTTAAACTTCTTTTAAATTACAAAACTGTAATTGATTTATTAAAATAAACTCAATCCCAAAACCTCATAAAAAAGCCAAAAGCACTCAATAAGGCATTAAAGTAATTTAATAATCAAAATTAAATTCAATATGGGCAGTTGTCATTTTTTTGTTTTTGTTTTGGGTTGGTTTATAGAAATTAAATGGTATATGGTTTATTTATATTATTAGTGTTAAGAATGAGTATATGCCTAATGTAACACCCCGACCCCAATTTATCCCATGTTTTAATTTATTTAAGTGGAATTGAGAAATTACCCGTGGGATAGGGGTATTTTAGTCATTTTCTTGCCCGGAAGGAATTTGGGAATTCCGGATGTACCGTTGCGTAGAGGACGGCGAGATGAGTTCGTAGACATGTAGTGGGCTCGAATCGGAGTTGTAACGAGAGAGATATGATCAAATGAAGCTCAGTGGCATAATCGTAAATATTTTGAAGTGGGATTTTTGGTTAAAAGACGGAATTGCCCCCGTCTCTCTCACACTCTCTCTCTCCCGCGCGTCGCTCTCTCTCTTCTCTGGTTCGCGACAGCCACCGTGGCCGACCACGTTTTGGCCGGCCGTGCTCTCGTCCGGCCACCAAAGTCGACGGGGCCGGTACCAAAATGACCGGGCCGCCGTCCTCTTCCTACCCCAGCCAGGTCTCGCCGTCAGCCGTCGAGATTTCGCCGGAAAATCGAAGAGAAAAGCTCGGTTTCGCCCGAAACTTCGCCGGCTTCGTTCTCCGTCGTCCGGCCGCCATTTTTGGCGATCAAGGTATGGAAATTCATCCCTTCTGCATGATCTAGCTGATGGTTGGGTAGGATTGTATCGATTTTGAGCCTAGATTATCTGATTTTCGAGTTAGGGTTCGGCCGGATTTCGGGATGAGATTCCGGCCACTTCCGGTCAGTTTTTGGGGTACGTCCAAGAACAAAAGTGACTCCAAATTAGGTGTATTACCTAGGGTAGGAGTCTGGGCTCACGATTTGGAAGTTTTCCGGCGATGGGTATCGCTTTGGACACCCACGCGCTGCCGGCGCGTGTGGCGGCGCGTGGGCACTGTAGCTGAGGGGCATTTTTGTCCCATTGTGATCCTCTCGATGTCACGAGCGCGCAGGTGTGCTCGGATCTCAATTTGGATATCGTTAGAGTCCCGAACGGATATCGCATATCGCGTATTTTCCGGGTTCGCTGGGTTTGGACCGTTGGATGGTCCTGATATTATAATATGTTGATCTAGGTATTACCAGGATCGTGAAGGATTCGACGGATCGTAAAACGGAGTCCCGGATACTCCGAAATGCCAACCCTGGGGTTAGGGTTTTAGTAACCGTCCGATTGGGTGATCGTGAGCGATCCGACCGTCCGATCTGGACCAAACTTGCAGGACTTGTGTCCTAGAGCCTATAGAACCTATAGGAACTTTCGGATCGGAATTTGGAGGTTGTGGGCCCCGCAGGCCCGTTTGACTTCTAGGTTGACCGTGAGACTTCCGAGATAGTCTTACCTTTATTTGAGGGTTAGAATGACCTTAGTGACAGGTCTTGAGCGTTGTTGAGTAAAATGGATATTATGGGTTTAGGATATAAATTGGTGAATTTAAATGGTGGGAGTTTATGGAATGTTTTATTGGTTGATGTTATTGTATGATATATTTAATTAATTGTGTGGAGGTATAATGATATATAAGGAGATTGAATGTTAGTTTGCAGTGCTATACGCACTACCCCACGTACCCCTCATATTGTGATTAGAAGTGGGCTGGTGAGAATGTAGTGTGAGGTCGCACGCGTCTTTGGGTTAGCCGGCGTGTTGACAGGCCCCGTACGTGGCCGGGTACGTCCCGACGTATGAGTGGGTGATATGATGGTATAAGGGCTGGTGAGAATGTAGCCAGGCCCAGTGTGAGGTCGCACGCGTCTTTGGGTTAGCCGGCGTGTTGACAGGCCCCGTACGTGGCCGGGTACGTCCCGACGTATGAGTGGGTGATATGATGGTATAAGGGCTGGTGAGAATGTAGCCAGGCCCAGTGTGAGGTCGCACGCGTCTTTGGGTTAGCCGGCGTGTTGACAGGCCCCGTACGTGGCCGGGTACGTCCCGACGTATGAGTGGGTGATATGATGGTATAAGGGCTGGTGAGAATGTAGCCAGGCCCAGTGTGAGGTCGCACGCGTCTTTGGGTTAGCCGGCGTGTTGACAGGCCCCGTACGTGGCCGGGTACGTCCCGACGTATGAGTGGGTGATATGATGGTATAAGGGCTGGTGAGAATGTAGCCAGGCCCAGTGTGAGGTCGCACGCGTCTTTGGATTAGCCGGCGTGTTGACAGGCCCCGTACGTGGCCGGGTGCGTCCCGACGTATGAGTGGGAGATGATGGCTGGTGAGAATGTAGCCAGGCCAAAGAGAACAGTATGATGGCTGGTGAGAATGTAGCCAGGCCCAGCGAGAGGTCGCACGCGTCTTTGGATTAGCCGGCGTGTAGACAGACCCCATACGAGGCCGGGTGCGTCCCGTCGTATGAGGGGAGCTATGTGATTATGTTTGGTGTGTTGTGATGGATAAACCCGAGAATGTATGAATTTATATGGATGGAATGGTTTATTTGACAGGAGCCAGGATTGATAGGAAAGAGCTACGTGTGGCTTGATCCCTTAGTAGGGTACGTAGGCAGCCTGGGATAGCGCCTAGGTGCAGCCACGACCTAGACACCACTTAGGTGGTTGTATCGAGTATGATGCGGACCTCGTGGTTGGTCCCGAAACTTGGTTGAATTGAGGCTTGTCCGATGGACTGAGTGAGTGAAGGTGTGTATGGATGAATTTTGAATTGGTTATATGCATGTGTGATGCATTAAGTTATTTTGAAAACAGTGTGGGCAGTTCTGCTAGAATCATTTGAAGGCCGGAGGCCATTTATGTAAATTGCATGAGATTATATTGTGCGTGCTGCTGGTTGGGTTATAAAATGAGTTTTATGCAGGTGGAACTTTTGGGGAATATTCAATTTACAGGGGAGACTCTGCCGAATTTTCGGCAGAAAGTCTCGTGCCCTTAATCCTCTATGGTGAACGAGGACGTAGATTTAAGGAGTAAACCCGGCGTGGGTGTGATGCCGGGGTCTCCGCAGGGTTCGTCTCGGGTTCCGGGAAATTCGGGACGGGTCCTGTCACCTAAATATCTCTTACATTAATTAAAGTTTTATTTAGATTTTGTGTCATGGTTGGATAAGAAGAGAGAAGGCTGTGGGCCCTTTATTTATTTATTTTTTCAAATTCTCACATAAAAGTTAACTAAGGTTAATAATGAGATACGTGTCATTCTTTGAGAATGATGATAAGCATACACCTCTGGTTAATGTAATGAGCACAAATGCACCCATACCCTGAGATTGTGAAACATAACTTAATAGATTTACGTTACTTTGATCCATTACCAATTAGAACAAGACACGTGTGTTTCATATTGTTTTATGTCGCTGACCTTTTATTTAATCAAGTTTATTTTTATGTGACCCACAAACTTGACCTTCGTCCGGTCCAGTTCAATGTTAGCGTGAAAAGTTGGGATGACATCACGACGTAATCCATTAGCGCACGGGGTGCGTAATACGACGACAGTTGTATGATGACGTCGGCAAACCGGTTGACAGCTAATCCGGCTCCGAGACGAGGTTTTACCCACGGGACACGTGAACGATGCGGATATTTTCAGATATTTTGTGGGCTTTGGGCCTGAAGTCTAAAACCCAACCGTCCCCTGTATTTGTTGTGTGGTAAAGAGCCTGGGATTTTGGGCATTTTATATCAATTTCAGTTGGCCTGAGAGTAAATTGTATTATCTTTCAGTTTTTATCGGTTAAAAGAGTGGAGATTCGAATTCGAGACCTCTTCCGATATAAGGAGTCTTTCCGCTTCCTCTGCTTGAAAAATGTCGTGGTTGCAATTTTATTTGAACTGGGTGATTATCTGATGTGTCAGGCAAATTCAATTGACCCATTAAAACCGAGTTCATGGGAAACCTAAAATTGACCATGAGTCAGTGAGCTGCATTGGGGTAGCCCATGGCCTTATTCACCAGATATCATTATATTGGGCTTGCAAAAATTACACAGAATTCATCATTATACGGACGTGTTGCCTATATGAACCATATATTTGTGTGATCATAGAAAAAAAAGAAGAGTATTTTCTGGGGTGAGGAGAGCCCTAAGTGCAGGAGCAGCTTTGAAATTTTAAGAGTATGTGCAAATAAGTAAATGAGTCTCCCAAAATAAAGTCTTCAACGAAAAATATTAATAGTAAATTTACAACTAAAACTAATCCCCGCTATAACTTAGGGTTACTTAGATTATTTATTTTTTTGGGGGGCCAAATGTCACCACCAAAACACTTGTGACATGGCCAAATATTTGTATGATTCGCAATGATGTACTCTGAACTATATCCTAGACCATAAGCCCCCCCGCTGAAAAGTTAAAGGCCATTATTGTACATGACTAAAATAAAATCATGATAATTCAACCAACAAATCAAAAGAACATAATGAGTGTGGCCATTAAGGAGACGTCTTTCGTGAGCCACAAATTCCTGAGCTTTGAGGACCCCTCTTAAGCGTTTTCTGAGGCTGGAGAGATCCAGGGGCCCAACACGCATGCATATCGACTTTCCTTCTTAAATCAAGAAGCCTCATTAAATGATGCGACTGGTTTCACCGAAAAAGAAACAACATCGAGATTTAGCCCAGTAGAAAAGAGTCTTGACGTACAAAGATTCGTCCCATCATTGCATTGTGATTAGAAAAAAATCAGAACATTGATGTGATTGTTTTTACAAATTAAAAACGAACAAAAATGGGGTGACTGTTGAAAATATTGTTTAGATTCAGAGAAATTGTAGAGGAAGAAGATGAAAATGTATTCTTGAGTTCTGTCTTTCTATCAGATCAGTACAGCTATGCTTATATATTGTTCTAATTAACAGTAACTAATAAGCTGTTACACTAACTCCCTCAACTATTTTCTAAAACTATAACAATCATGACTGATACTTGTCAGAGCTTACATTTGACAAGTGTCCTATTCATACTATCAACTGTACACAACATTGAAAGCTTGTTCCCCATAAAACACAATATGTTTGGGGAAGCATGATTAACATGTTTTTCGTTTTGTCTTTGGGAAAGATTCTTAATCTGATACCTTGTAATTTTTTTATTCATGACATTCTTCTATTTTATTTAAAAAAGAAAAAGAAAAAAGGAGCATTCGAATTTGAAATCTATTTCAATATTGAAAAAGAAGAATTTCTAAACTAAGGAGCTATGGATATCCTAACATTTACTTAAGTTGTTTTTTTTTTCAATTGAATTACCAATTTTTTTTTATCAAAGTTGAAAGATTGCATTCATAATTTAGGCTTAAAGACCGTTAACCACAATGACCAGTATAAATACGATAGCGACAAAGAGTTAATACAAATATAGATGCGTCAAATAGCAACATCAAACTCATACAGTATAAATATACTCTCATAGCCACGCATGATCAAAGAAATTTTGTCATAAACGCTGACAAAAGCCTGGAAAACCCACCCATTGACCTCAATGCACAAACCTACAAGACGTGTCAAGTTATAATCTTCTTTTGTGAAATTATACTATTTTTAACATTCTCATATTATAATCTTCTTTTGTGAAACGTTACAAGACGTGTCTTAATTTATATTATTTTAAGCCACTATTTTATGACCTATTTTATATATTTTTCTTAGTTTGGAACCCAAAAAAGAAATAAGTAGCAGTTGAAATCTATAGTCAGCTTCATGGTTTTATGCAAAAGGCTGTGTTGAGAGAGAGAGAGAGAGAGAGAGAGAGAGAGATGCATCACCCACTGATAAATTGCGAGAAAGAAGAAAAGCGTTGGGAGGCGATGTCGGCCATATTTGTCTCCCACAGCAAAGAAGTTCACACTTTTTTGCACATTGAAATAATGTTCCAAGGATTTCAAGTGTTTGTTGGTTTTTAGCGTCTGAGAAAAGCCCACAAACATATATTTTTTTCCTTTCTGATTTTTAATTATTTTTATGAATGAAAGCTACCCAAGAAGGTTATCGACACAGTCAAGGCCACCTCCTCCCCACCCCCACCCCCACCCCATCTTTCCCCTTTTAAGATTTCAGATTTCATACACATGGCCGACTTGCGACCACATCCTTCATTTCTCCTTTTTATAATTTGCATGAATCATGAGCCACGAAATTAAGCCAATAGAGAATCTTGCAAAAGAGTATACATATTTTTATATTAGTATCAAACTTCAGTGGCATAGCTTATAGATAAGTTCTTTAGTACTTTTATTTTTTTATTTTTATAAAGAAAAGGCCATAATATTTTATTGGTCTCTACACCAATGGATTCGGCCGTCAGTTAGTTCTTAAAGTTGGAACGATTGAGAAGCGATCCCAATTACGTGATTTATATTTTTGTGAATTTCCATTTGTGGTAATTTCTATTTGTGGTAATTTCCATTTGTAGGAATTTCTATTTATGGTAATTTCCATTTTTAGGAATTTCTATTTGTGGGAATTCCCATTTTTAGGAATTCCCATTCGTGGTAGTTTATATATTTGTGTACTTTTTTTTAAAAACTTCCTTTGTAATATAATAGCGTGTTACTTGCCGACCTACAATTGTATGATAAGTATAAATGAAAAACCATATTTTCTTTGAGGAAGTGGGCGGTGTCCTCTCACTGTGGACAGGCTGCTGAGGTCAAACTTGTTTGAATTGCTACAAATTTCTTCGTGCCTATTTGTGTGGGTATATAAAAAGGGCCTACGTGATATGACAATTGACGAGATGTTATTGTCCTCGAGGCTCAAGCCAACGAACACGCGTATTTATATATAAAATATACATTTTGCCTCTTCACATGAAACGACTACTCATCAAGATATACTTGAATGCTTGTTGATGTGCAAAAATATATACTGAAGTTCTCCTAAGAAATTTGATTATCTTCTTAAAATAAACCCTAAAATACTAACTCTAAACTCAAATTTCTTGTAGTTTTAAACTCTAAACCGTTATTGCTTTAGATTTAAAAATAGTATGGTTCGAACTCTCAAGGTATAATTTGCGTGCGTGTGAGAAATTCAACTTCCTTCTAGTTTAGACTATCATTTGCACTATATATATATATAAATGAATAGTATGATCACATACAAGATAAGTAGAAGATCCCTTTCATCAGTGTCACACTTAACAAAACATACACACACATATATATATATATATCTATATATATATATAATTGTATGATTGTTTTAAGGACCACACAAAAGCCAAGTGACGTGACACAAAGCATCCTAATGGTTGAACCTATAATGAATAGGATACTGCTTGCCTCTTTCCCAGTAATGAAATATTTCTCGTTCTTACAAATCACAGTTTGATACATATGCAAAAATAATTCATTGAAAACATAAAAGGAAAAACTTCTATGTACATGTCGTATTGTTATTAACATGAATATAGAAGCTCTTACTTACATTATATAAGGAGGGTATTTTTCTAATGGATATGGATCTCCTGCTTTGAAGTTTTGAGCATTTCTCACCTGCCTTGCGAGAAAGCTTTACCTTTTAATCAATTGGGTGGTCCTAATCGATGGTTTCATATCAGCACCAATTTTTTTTGTCTTATACAAGTCAATATGTCGCTTACAAACTTGGATCCTCTGTCTCTCTGTAAAGGCACACTCCATTGGTTTGATCGCAAGCGACCATATATATATGGCCAGAAAAAAATCTGTTGCAGAAAAGAGATACTCCATTCAATTCAAATATCATAAACAAGAGTTTGTGCTATATCATCAAACTATTTCCTTACAATAATAAATAAATAAAATAACAATATTGAAGATGAAAACCCGCTGAATTTTAATAATAGTATTGGGAGAAAGAGAGAGAGAGAGAGAGAGAGAGAGAGAGAGAGAGAGAGAGAGAGAGAGAGAGAGGAAAAAAAAACTAAAGCAAACCACACCCCAGGACAGCTATTAATTGTACATGGGAAACGAAATATCACCACAAATAGCTAATGAACTCTACGTTTTGAATATGAATATTATATGTATTATTAATTAATAAAGGATATTCAAGAATATATAACACTTAATCAAAAGCTCCACAGACCACTTTCTCCTCCGTCTGAATTGCCCGAGGAGTCAGGATAATCAGGCGGTCTCGGCGGAGACAACAGCATTCCTTCTGCCATTTCGGTCAACAAATTCGGCATCCCAAAAAGCTCTTCTTCGTCTATTCCCACAGATGACGCCAAACTGGAACTATTCATCATCATCCTCATGTCGTCCTCTTGCTTCTTCTGCCTCTCTCTCTGCTTCAGACTGTTATTGGCCTCCTCATTCCACTGTAGTGCAGCGGCGGCGGCCGCGGCACTGCGAATGTCCTCCGGTGACGTGGATGCTGGCACTGGATAAGAGGCAATGGAGCTCGGAAAGTTGAGAACAGCATCGCCCCGCTTGAGAGCGAGAGCGGCGACGTCATAGGCGGCCGCAGCCATCTCCGGGGTTGGGTAAGTCCCGAGCCATATCCGCCTAGTCTTACGTGGCTCACGGATTTCGGACACCCATTTTCCGCCTCGGCACCGGATTCCATGGAACCTAGAGTGCTTCCCGCAAGAGCTTGATGCCATGGTGGTGGGGAGTGGAGGGTGTTTTAGTAATTGAACAAGCTCTGGTGGTGAAGAGAGGGAGAGGAGAATGTGAGATGGCTTGGTGTAAAAGGGTGTGGTTGAAGGAGGGGCCTGAGGAGGAAGAAAGGTCAAGGGGTGGGTACGGATATAGGTCAAATATATTTGGCGCAAGTGAGTATTTTAATTTTGGTCAGCCATGATATATATAGATATTTTCGTATATATAGTTAGGTAGGGATGTAATTGTTGAGGCTTGTGTGGATTATTGTGGAAAGAAGGAAGGAATAATATTAATTGGGAGAGAGAGAGAGAGAGAGAGAGAGAGAGAGAGAGAGAGAGATATGAGGAGAGAGAGAGAGAGACAGATATGAGGAGTGTTATGGTTGAGGTTTGTCTGTTATATATATATATATTTAAAGGACTTCTCTTATTAACTGAGGCGGTAGTATAGTAAATTCACACACACACTACACTGATGCTAAAATTCCAACAAAGAATCTTATAATTGAGGTTTTAGGAAAAGAGGAAGGGACCGCTCAAAAGTTGTGGCATGCACCCTGTGGCCACTTGAATTCTGTGGAAGCTTTAGGGTTTTTTACACTTTCAAAATAGTGGCAATTAAAAATGATGGAATTTTGGAGAAAGTGTGTATGGCAATTGCAGTGTGTTTTTGTTCCTAAACCTTTTCTCTATTCATACCCTTTAGTGGGAAACCTCCACTGGCCTTCCTCAGTCTCCCACCACTTGATCATTCATGAACTCTACCAAAAACAAAACATGGTAAAAAGTTTTTATTTATTTATCAAAAAGCAACTTCCCTATATAACCTTCAACAATATAACTAAAAGTAAAACATCAACATGACAAAAGCAGTACTAATAAATATTAGCCCACATTACTATAAAACATAATTTCAAACAAAGCCCACAAAACTTAAATGAACTAAAATTCTAAAACAAATCATGAGGCTAAGGGCTAGTTTGGCATTGCTGTGCTTTTAAAAAAAATTGCTTCTGCTGTGCTGCAAGAATAATCAGCTGTGGAAAAAATCAGTTAGGCGTTTGGTAAACTATATTTGAAAAAGTGCTGTGAGTAATCAAAGTGTTTGGTAAATTTTTATCAAAATTGATTTTAGTATGTATAATGACAAAAAAGGACATGCATCATGATGAAATTATTTGTTGTTTTCTTATTTCTTTTTCTTCTTTAAAAAAAAACTTTAAGCTACATTTTTTTTTCTTTTTTTAATTTACACTTTTCTTGAGTCAGAACATTTTCGTCTCTTTGTATCTTTTTTTCCCCCAGATCTCTGCATCTCTTTCAGCTGCCTCTTTTTCATCTTCTTCTTCTCCTTCCTCCTGTCACCTGCTTCTTCTCCTTTCTCTCTGCAATTTTTCTCTTCTACTCCTTCTCCTTGTTCTATTTTTCTCCCTCTCCCCAGAGAAGTCGTCCTCCTTGCACAGTCGTCATCGTCGTCTACAGTCCAAGCTGTGGAGTCTTCGTCGTCTATCATCGCTGTCATCGTCGTCTGCCATCAGTGCTTGTCTGTCATCGTCGTCGTCTACAGCCCATGGTCGGACGTTGTGGTTGTGGTTGGAGCTTGGGTGGGGTTTGTTGCAGACAATGAATAGAAAAAGGGATGTGAGTTAGAACGAATAGAAAGAGGGATGGTTGTGAATGAACAGAATGAAGAAGAAAATGAGAGTCTGCAGAATGGAGAAGAATAGGAGTTTGCTGTGTCGCTCGATTTGTATTGGAGGGACAAGGACTGTCTATTTGAAAAATAAGTGAGGGCATTATGGGAAAGTAAAACATTCATTAAACCACCGGTTAAATTTTTTTTAAAGCAGCTTTTAAAAGCTGGGTTATACCTGCTTTGGAAAAACAGCGGTCATTGACCACAATTTTTTTTAAAAGCTGATTTTTGAGGTTTACCAAACACCATGGTTTGGCAAAATTTTTATTAAAGCAGCTTTTTTAAAAATTTAAGCACTACCAAACGCTACCTAAATGAATTCTACTGCTACCATTTGAAGAAGCGCTTCCATCAAACCCACCAATGAATCTATCCCTTAAGTGAATGTGAAACATGTGACAGAAATATGTCAATCAAACATTCATGACAAAAAAAAATGTGGATTGTAGAAAACCCATTCAAATGTGAGGTAGAACTAAATTTAGAGAAGATGATAAGTTTTAGAGAGGTAGTTTTGGGAGAAGGATTTGATTGAGGAATTTGCCCAAAAGAAGTGATGTGGAACTTCAACGAGTATAGCTCATAAGAAATCACAATAAGTGGCTTCTTATTCAAAACACTCCAAGAGACTTATTCACCAATACAAAAGAAAAATAGAAGAAGATAGTAGATGGGAGGAGGGGGGTAGTGACGTTTCTTCCTCCTCCCTTATTGAGTTTTTTCTTGAGAGAGAGACTGCAACTAAGGCTTTTTATTTTTTATAACATTTGTAAAGAGATGTAATCAAACACCATAAGATGCATTCATTCTCAAGTTTTCTGGGATGTGAAATTTTGGTAGTGGAAGACATTTTTATCATCCACTAGCTAGTTTGTCTTGGTTTACTTGATTTGATTTAATCATCCAAATTAGCCGATTGCTCTGTTCAATTTGTTAAGAAATTTGGAAGCATTTAAATTCCAATCACCAACCAAAGATCAATTAATTTGACATGATTAAACACAGAGCTTTTCTGTTGATTAGGAGCTAGCTAGCTGGCCCTAGCATCACTATTCTGATCATAAGCAATTAGAAATAGCTGCTTGCCTAGCTATAGCTATAGTACTAAATGAAGATGTTGATAATTACTCAAATATAATCTGTTGGTGAGTCGTCACTAGATTTTGGCCGTGGTTGTGGCTTGTCAATATATAATGATTTTTGCCAAAGAGAGGCCCTACTATTTTATGCATGGCTCCCAGCCTTCCAGCACGCTGGGGCCTCTGTGTGCCCCTCACATGATTTTGCACCTAAATTGACCACTTTCCTTTAATGGAATCCTCAATCCAGTAGGTTCTTCTGGGTACATTATAATATTACAGGGATGGGAGGGATATTTTTTTCGTTTAATTGGGTGTGTCAGGGGCGATCTGTTTTATAATTAGGTTTTTACACTACTACAAAAAAACGAAATAGATGACGAAAATTCACATAATTATAAAAAAATAAAGAAAAAGAAAAGAATAATATACATAGTAGTCTAGAGATTTTAATATATTATTATATTATTAATAAAGTTGCATTTGAATAGTATGGAAAGTTGCATTAATTCAGTAGTGTCGATTTGAACAATAATTGAAGTAGATATTTAGTGTGACTTCAATTCCCTTACGACTCTGTCGTTCATTTGTATTATAACATATAGATTAGTAACATTATATGATGATGTGATGAAAGACTAAAAATGTTCTCAATTCTAAAGTATGTGTGAAGTTTAGCAAATTTGTTGTTAGATTGCAGAAAGTTTCTAGATTTCTAGCACATAAAAGCTTTGCAAAAACAAAAAAAAGCTTTCAATTCATATAAAAAGAATGAAAAAGAAGTGTAGTGAGGAGTATCGAAGATTAAATAATACATTGTACATTATTTGTTACCTTGTATAGGATTAGTCAACTTCTCTGTTATGTCTTGTACAAATTAGTGCCTTTAACTTAGGATTTAAATTATCTTCCTTAGGTAGTCTTTTTGGCTCTATATATTGGCCTTCTTCTGTATTGCAAACACACAAATATACGAGATATTATTTTACATGGTATCAGAGCCTACACCGATCTCTGTTAAAACCCTAAACCTCCTTTCAAGCCTCTCTTCACCCTACAATCACTATATCTCTTGACCAGTCAGTCATGGCTGCCAATCAATCATCATCTCAGAAGCCTTTTTATCATTGCAATTTTTGCAAACTTAATGGTCACTCTCAATCATGCTGCCGGAAAAATCCTGACATAAAATCTTATATGCTTTGTAAGTTTTGTGATGTTGCAGGACACATTGAATCTCATTGTCAGAGGAAGAACATGTATTCTTCTTCGAGTACTGCTTCTACTGGTTCCTTTGCTGCTATGACCACCAACACATTGGCTGCACCATCGCTAACTTCATAACAATATAATCAGCTTATTGACTTGTTACCCTATGGTAAAAATAATTTAGTAGCCAATCTGGCAGGTAATCCATTATGTTTTAATTCATCATTCAATATTAGTTCTTGGATCATCGATTCCGGTGCCATAGATCACTTCCAGATCAATACCTTATTGAGAAAAAACCCGACTTGGAGCACACAAAAGTCCGTCATGCACGAGTCACACTCCATGCGTCATGCCAAATAAATAATTCGTCATGCTATGAATCGAGATTAAGATTATAAAATGCATTATCTTTGCAAATCCATGCTAATTATCCCGTCAAACATAATAATTAAAAGCATGCCAAGCGATATGCCATGCCAAGCGACATGTCATGCCAAGCAGGAAATCATTATACCCAACCACGCTACAAGCCTAAGTAGGCCCAACCCACTCGAATGCCCGGGGCTTGCTTGAGTGGGTTGTGGTATGGACGGTAATGAATCAACATGAGGCCCATTGATGGGCCGAGAAATGGAAAGTCTCGGGTTGCTTGGGAGCCTCGGGACTCAAGCCCATTTCTTAGGCCCAAACATGTGGGTGAGCATAAGAGGGAAAAGAAATAGCCCAAATAGCCCAAATAGCCCCAAATAGCCTATTGACTTAACCAAAAAGCCCAATGTTTAACAAAAATAGCCTACTTGCTTAAGGAACCACCTTGGCCCATACAAAACTCCAAAATAAGCCACAAAAGCCTCAGCCCTTTGCTGGAAAAATAGAAGCCACGTAGAGAAGGTCTATAGGTTCATTGAACAGAGCTGCTGGGAGGTTCCAGCACATGGGGGAGCAAGTTTCAAAGCCAAAACATTCAAGGAACCAAGGGGTATTAGCGTGTAAGATGCCAAAGAGAGGAACACCCTTCGAACCAGCATATATATATATATATATATCCTAACTCCTTTCCCCATCAGACTTGGCCATGGAAAAAAGAGAAGAAAGCAATAAAAGAGATGGATGGGAATGGAAGTCTCCCATTGAGACAGCTGCGGGAAAAGGGGGCCTTGAGCTTCAAAAAAACTTTGATCTGGTGCAAATAGGGAGAAGGGATTTCATCAAAATAGGAAAAGTCAAGGAAGGAGATGAGAAAGGAGGGGAAAAGCTTGGCCAAAATAGGTGGAAGCCATTAGGGTTTCTTGGGGTTTCCAACGGCTATAAAATGAAGCCTCTCCTACCTAACAAATGGAACCCAGATTCAGAGAGCAAGCTTTCTCTCTAACTTGCAAAAGCCCAGTAATCTCGTGCACTATTTACCCTCTTCTCCCTTCTTCTCTTCTGGCAGACAGAATATCTGTCAAGCTATCGGAAGAACATTATTCCTTATTTTTCCCTTTCTTAGCCAAATCTCTTACAAACCTTTCCTTCCTCACCTTAACACTTTCCTTTTCTTTCAAGAAAGCCTAAAATTCCTTTTAGTGCCAAACTCATGTTGATTTTGCTTCCATGCCACATGCCTCTCATGCTAAGCTCAAAAGTTTATCTGTAAGCATGCAAAAAGTACCTGTAAGTTGCCATTATTTTGGCTGGTGAAGGTAACCAAAATACTTCCTAAGGCTTTGCTGTCCTTTCGAAGCATTTTTGGGGCTTAATTTTCGAACTCAGACAAAGGGGACAATTTCATCAATTTTCCCTTTACGGCAGCCCAGCCCATTTACAGCTGCCGGAAGAAAAAGTCCCCTACACCTTCCATTGCTAATTCCACTGTCTCTTCCCCAAATTTTAGTCTGTGGCACTGGCACTTAGGACATCCATCCAAGTGTGCTCTTCCTTATTTACAAAGTTTGTATTCAAAAATTTCTTTTGATAATAATCATGCTTGCACTATTTGCCCTTTGGCTAAACATTGTTGGCTTTCTTTTCCTTTAAGCACTATATCCACAAATGCTTGCTTCGATTTAATACATTGTGATGTTTGAGGACCTTATTATGTTTCTTCAGTTTCTGGTGCTAAATATTTTTTAACCATAGTTGATGATTTTTCTCGTAGTACTTGGCTTTATTTAATGCAACATAAATCAAAAGTTAATACCTACTTACCACATATTTTTGCTATGGTCAAAACACAATTTAATTGTTCTATTCGTCAAGTTCGTACTGACAATGGTACGAAATTTTTAATCACACTTAACCAATATTTTTCTTCTCTTGGTGTCATTCATCAACATTGTTGTGTGGCAACACAATAACAAAATGGTATCGTTGAAAGAAAACATCGTCATCTTTTAAATATTGCTCGTTCCCTTTGTTTTCAATCAAATGTACCTGTTTCTTTTTGGGGTGATTGTGTTCTTACTACTACTTATCTAATTAATCGTTTACCCACCAAAATCTTACATGGGAAAACACCTTATGAAATTCTTTTCAACAAAGCACCTTCTTATACCCACCTACAAATTTTTGGTTGTCTTTATTATGGTCATAACTTGTCTCCCCATCTCATAAATTTGATAAAAGAGAAAAACCAGGTATCTTTATTGGTTATCCACCTTTTCAAAAGGCTTATAAAATATATGATCTTGAAACAAAGAAAATTTACACTTCTAGAGATGTCACTGTAAGTGTATGCATTTTGTGATTTTCTTTTGGCTTCCCTTGATAATTTTGTAATAGGACAATCATTGTATTTTCTCAAGCTCTAGTTTAGATTAAGAATTACTTCTCTAGGTGTTCTTATCTTGCTACATTCTGATGGACAACAATGTGTTTTGACAAAGGTAAACTTTGCATTGCACTACATTGCATTCACTAAATTTCTAAAGATTATGACTAGTCATCTTTCCTTCGTATGACTAGTCAACTTTTGTTTGAATTAGGATTTCCAGCTGGGTCCTAACCCTTTTTTTGTCCTTTTCTGCGAAATTCTCAGCTGCCATGTGCACTATTCTAACATAGGAATGTTTAGGTAAAAGCCAAAGAATTCCTCATTTTGGCAGCCATCACTTTTGAGGGGAAGTTTTGAAAAGGTTTCTTCCATCCTTTTGCTTCTCCTTCCTCAAGAGAAAACCACCATTTCATCTATGAGTTTTCCAAATTGATTTTCGAAAACTCCTTTTGAAATATGAAATCTGCATCTAGCTAGAACAAACACATTCTCATATATATATATATATATATTGGTCAGATTCAAGATTGGTTTCTTCAAGAGTATGATTTCTTGAAGAAATTGGTCATTACTTGAATCCAAATTTCATTTTTTTTGTTTGAGTTGGAGCTAGCTAGCTGGTGTCATGAAATGAAAGAGCTAAAGAAGGAGCTTCCATTGCCATGAAAGACTAAGCTGCTGATTTTGCTAAGTTAGAGAAGAAGATTGCATAAAGGAGGTATAACTTATCTTCCTAAATAGATATAGGATTTCTTAAGCTTGCTTGTGTTCCTTTGTAAGAATCTTCTTTGCTTAGTGGATTGCCTAGTCGGTTGATGACCCCTAGTTTTTCTTAGAGGTGGGTTTCTGGGTGAACAATTTTGGGTTTGTAGCTTTGTTATTTTCTGGGTTTGTGTTCTTGATAGTTGACTAGTCATCGCATGATGTTTATGCATTTCTTGGTTTATGTTATTGTGGTTGACGAGGCATCACTATTTGCTGTGTGCTGTTTATTTGATTATGATGTGTACTTGATAGTTGACTAGTCATCGCATGATGTTCATGCATTTCTGGGTTTGTGTTCTTGCGGTTGACTAATCATCATTATCTACTGTGTGCTGTTTATTTGATTATGATGTTTTCACACACTTTCACCATAATTGTTGCTAGCACAGGGGATGCCTAGATTGATGGGTCATTTTGAGTGCCTAGGTTGTCACTAGTAATCTTCTAGGCTTGCAGGTACAAATTACTCTGTGTGTGTTCTTGGTTATGGTTTTTCATGACTAATCAGTTGACTAGTCATAAGTATACTTAGTCAAGTTTTAAAGTGTGAATATTGCTGTGTCTGTTTGAATAGCATTTAAATTTACCCCTCGTCACCTAAGTACCAATTTTAGTCACTTTTTACGAAACTATTTTTCCTTATAATTTATCACAAAATAACCACACTTTACTTGGTTTTTACCCATTCCTGCAACAGATTTTGAACATTCCCACATTTCTTTAGCTTCCGCTCATCCACTCACCTCACAAGATTTGTCTAACCCAGAAACACAAGCCACTCCAGACACTAACACGTCTCCCTCTACTCCACCCACCGACATACCTTCTTCTCCCTCACCCATCAGCATACCTTCTTCTCCACCAACCAACATACTTTTTTCTCTCCCATATCTTTTGCCTCAATCTCCCACCGAAACACCTACACCAGCCATAACAAATTCTAATACTTCATCTACCATTATCGCACCTCCCTCATCTCCTCTGCGTTGTAGTCGCAAACCACCTGGTTACCTTAATGATTATCACTGCTACCAATCTCAAGCAACCTCTTCGACTTCAGGTCAACATGATACCAAGTATCCTCTCTCCAAATATTTAACTTATGATCATTTTTCTCTTCCTCATCAAATTTTTCTTGCATCTATTTCCACTATTATTGAGCCTGACTCCTTCCATGAAGCAAATAAATATCCAGAATGGCGTCATGCCATGAAAATTGAACTTGCAGCATTAGAAGACAATAATACATGGGCTCTCACAAAATTGCCACCTCATAAGCAAGCCATCGGTTGTAAATGGGTCTACAAAATCAAGCATCATTCCAATGGTGGCAGTGAATGCTTCAAAGCTCGCTTGGTTGCCAAGGGATACACACAAATACATGGGGTGGACTACTATGAAACTTTCTCACATGTTGCCAAACTTACTACTGTTCAAGTTCTATTATCCATGGAAATTTCTAAGGGCTAGCCTATTCAACAATTAGACGTCAACAATGCCTTCCTTCATGGTGATTTGAGTGAACAGGTATATATGCAACTTTCTCCGGGTTATTCCAGCAAGGGGGAACATTTGGTATGCCGTCTTAACAAATCCATTTATGACTTAAAGCGAGCCTTTTGGTGCTGGTTTGCTAAATTTTCTCATGCATTGCTTGATACGGGCTTCTCTCAATCCAAAACAGATTGTTCACTATTTTATGGTCACAAAGGTAAGTCATCTATTTTCTTGCTTGTATATGTTGATGGCATAATTATCACAGGTACTGATGCCGCAACTATATCCATCATCAAGAAGTTTTTACATCAATGATTTTCTTTAAAGGACCATGGGGACTGAAAATATTTTCTTGGAATAGAAGTCTCTCGCTCATCTCATGGATTATGTTTAAGCCAACAGAAATATGCACTAGACATTTTACAAGATTCTAGCCTTCTTGGTGCCCGTCCAGTTTTATTTCCCATGCAGCAAAATCTCAAGTTAAATAATGAGGATGGCGAGTTATTACACAATCCAGCAACTTACAGAAGATTAATAAGACGACTGATTTATCTCACTATCACTCGACCAAATATTGTTCATACAGTTCATGCAAAGTCCTCTCACACCTCACAAAGAAGCTGCTGATCAATTACTACGTTATTTAAAAGGAATTCCAGGTCAAGGAATCCTTTTACCAGTTTCAAATAATTTTCAATTAACAGCTTATTGTGATTCTAATTGGGCTAGTTGTCCAATGACGATAAGGTCTACAACTAGTTTCTTCATACTCCTTGGACAAAGTCTAATTTCACGGAAAACAAAGAAGCAAGTTACTGTTTCTTGTTCATCTTCTGAAGCGGAATACAGAGCAATGACTGTAACTACTTGTGAACTTCAGTGGTTACGATATCTTGTTCATGACCTTGGCATGCCACACTCAACACCAAGTTTGCTTTATTGTGATAACCAAGCTGCCTTACACATAGCTGCCAATTCGGTTTTTCACGAGCGTACTAAACATATAGAACTTGATTGTCATGTTACTCGAGAAAAGATCCAAGATGGTACTATTCGAACTGCTTATATTCCTTCAATAGACCAAATTGCAGATGTGTTTACCAAATATTTAGGGAAAGATCAATTTCAGCGACTTAAAGGCAAGATCTCCACACTCTAGCTTGAGGGGGAATATTGAAGATATTCGAAGATTAAATAATATATTGTACATTATTTGTTACCTTGTATAGGATTAGTCAACTTCTCTGTTATGTCTTGTACTAGTTTGGTAGTCTTTTTGGCTCTATATATTGGCATTCTTCTGTATTGCAAACACACAAATATACAAGATATTATTTTACAAGGAGAGAACTAAAAAATTTGAAAGTTGTGGTTTGGAATGGTGAATCCACCACCACCAAACTTGTGATTTTACCTTAAAAGAATCAAATCCATGGTTTATTCACATATTGTCGGAAATCATGTTTTTAAGCTTGAATCTTGTTTTCAAACCACAAATTAAAAGAAAACCAAAAACTTTCAAATTCAAACCTAGTAAACTTTGAACAATATGTTAAAAAGGGAGAACCAAGGAAAGGAAAAGAAAGAATGAAAGAGATTTGACAAAGATTTCCATCAAAATTAAAGATTTGCGCGCAACATGGATGTAAGGAAGATTATGATGAGTTTGATACCTAGTTATGAAGGAAGTTGAGGTTCCCGCCCCCATAGTAACGACTGTCAAGTAAACGATGGAAGTGACCCACTCGAAGCTGCCAAAAAATCAGAATGTGGAAAATAACGAGCCTTAAGCATCCGGGCAATCAGTGAGTGAGGGAATTCCAGCAGCCGCCATCCTTGTTTACATAGAAGAGCTTGATTAAAACTTGTCAATTCCCTAAAACCTAGCCCCCCATCAGACTTGTGTTGGCACATGAATCTCCACGTTTTCCAATGAATACCTCTACCATCATTTTTAGACCACCAAAATTTGGCAATGATGCTCTCAATCTCGCGACATGACCCGACAGGCCAGCGAAACACACTCATAGAATATGATGGAATTGCCTGACATACTGATTTGATGAGCACTTCTTTCCCGGCCTTAGACAGAAGCTTGCCTTGCCAACCATTAACTTTATTCCAAACTCGATCCTTAACCGTACGGAACAATTTTTTCTTATCCTTACCGACAATAGTAGGGAGGCCCAAATACCGCTCATGACAAGGGACAAGAGTCACGTTCAACAGCTAACGAATATCGTCCTGCAACACCCTTGGGGTGGAAGGGCTAAAGCAAAGAGCGGATTTTCCAAGGTTGACCTTTTGTCCAGAAGCCGCCTCATACACTCCAAAAATATGTTCAAGCTCTAGAGCCTCAGTTGTCCCGGCATTATAAAACGGAAGGCTGTCATCAGCAAAAAAGAGATGGTTAATAGAAGGAGCAGAAGGGGCAATGGAGACACCATGTAATCTAGAATCCCTCTCAGCCTGCTGGAGGAGAACGGAGAAGGCTTTAGCCATAATAAGGAAAAGATACGGTGATATAGGATCCCCTTGCCGTAAGCCTCGAGAGGGGATAATTCGCCCAAATGGCCGCCCCTGAATTAACAACAAATAAGAAACAGTAGTCACACAGCCCATAATTAATTGAATAAACCGGATTGGGAAACCCATAGTCCGCAACATCTGCTCCAGAAACTACCATTCAACTCGGTCGTAGGCAAGAACCGTCTCTTGACATCTCTCAAGAACTAATGATAAATTCTGTAAACACTGATCATATGAATCCCCAAAAACAGAAAAATCATCCATAAAAACTTCAACAATATTTTCGACCAAGCCAGAAAAAATACTCATCATACAACGTTGAAACGTAGTAGGTGCATTGCATAATCTAAACGGCATCATTCGATAAGCATAAGTACCAAATGGACAAGTGAAAGTGGTTTTCTCTTGATCCTCTGGAGCAATTAGAATTTGATTATACCCAGAATAACCATCAAGAAAACCGTAAAAAGCACGCCCAGCTAACCTTTCCAACATTTGGTCAATGAAGGGTAAAGGAAAATGGTCTTTACTTGTCCCTGTGTTAAGCTTCCGGTAATCTACACACATTCTCCATCCCGTAGTCAATCGTGTAGGAATTAACTCATTATTATCATTTTTCACCACTGTAATACCGGTCCGCTTAGGCACAACTTGAGTCGGGCTAACCCATTTACTATCAGAAATAGGATAAATCATACTTACATCAAGTAATTTCATAACCTCTGTTCTGACCACCTCTTTCATAATTGGGTTAAGGCGGCGTTGAGCATCAACTGTTGGCTTCACGTCGTCTTCCATTAATATTCTGTGCATATATAGTGCTGGGCTGATTCCCTTGATGTCCGCAATTGTCCATCCCAATGCATCTTGATATTTTCTCAACACACGAAGCAATTTATCTTCCTCTGTAGGTGTTAAATCTGCTGCAATTATAACTGGCAGCGTCTCTACAGCTCTTAAATATGCATATTTCAGATGTTCTGGTAAAGGCTTCAGCTCTAGTTTTTGTGGCTGTTGTCTGGACGGTTTAAGGGGCTGTTTAGGTTCCCCTAAACTCTCGTAAACATTTCTAAACTTTGACAACACTGTTGGCAGATTGTTCAATGCGTGAATGTACTCAAGAACACCTTCATCTTCAGAATCTGCCCCAAGTTCCCCTTGTAAAACATGTAGCAACTGATCTGTTTTTGAGCTGCCATAAAATCTGTCTTGAACCATACTGTCTACCATGTCAATGCGCATGCAGTCTTGCTGTTCCGTAGGCCGTTTTGCAGTCTCTAACAAATTAAATACCACAGATTGGTCTTGAACCCGTAGAGTCAATGTTCCAGCTTCCACATCAATTAAAGTCCTAGCAGTGGCCATAAACGGCCTCCCCAAAATAATAGGTGTTTGAAGGTCTTCGTCCATGTCTAGAACCAGAAAATCTGCCGGTAGGTAAAGATTATCAACCTTTATAATTAGATCTTCAATGACACCTCTTGGATAAGTAATTGAACGGTCAGCTAGTTGAAGTATCATTGATGTAGGCTTTAAATCTCATTGCCCCAATCGCTGGAAAACAGAAAAAGGCATCAAATTAATACTTGCACCCAAATCAATTAAAGCACTTTTAAAATTAGAATTTCCAATAGTGCAAGAAATATTAAAACTTCCTGGATCTTTTTTCTTAGGTGGCAATTTGTGTAGCAAAACTGCGCTGCACTGTTATGTCAAAATGACTTTTTCCAAATCTGAAAGCTTCTTTTTGCTGCTGCAAACTTCCTTCAAAAATTTGGCATATGATGGAATTTTCTTGATTGCATTCAGTAACGGAATGTTGATTTGAACCTTCGATAATGTCTGCATAAAGTCCTTGAGTTGCTGATCTTTTGCTTTTGGAAAATGTGCAAGAACCCAAGAACAAATTGATGAAGTTCAGATTGAATTGGTAGAATTTGTAAGCAATCACATGCAGCTTAATTATTTCTAATTCTAGGTTAATGCTAAGATGTGGTAGGAATGAAGATTGGTTAACTATGTAATAACTATTGAATCTTCAGGTTTTTGAAAGAAACAATTTTTGAGTGTATATATATTCATTAATAAAGCATTATTTGGTTGGTTTTATAGTTAAAATCGTTGTATAGAATCATAGGGATAAAAAATGTAATAGCATGGGAAGTTATTAGACGACAGATTGGCAATACAACTGTCGTCTCCATAGTTAATCAACAACAGTTTTTAAGCATGAATTCACATGCCAACAACATGGGAACTAATTAGACAATGGTTTTTACAATAAAACTGTCGTCTTTACAGATAAACAACAACGGTTTTTTATAAAAATTGTTGTCTTAAATGATAAACAACGACGGTTTTTATTAAACAACGACGGTTTTTATAAAACAACCGTCGTCTTATAAGGTAAAAGACAGTTGTTCATAAAACCGTCGTCTTTCCAACTAACAACGACGGTGAAAACCCGTCTTAGTTTGACAGTTAAGAGATGTCAGTCGATTTAACGACGATGATGGATCCCCATCGTCTATTGTAGTAGTATTTCAAAAGATTAAGGGCTTGTTTGGTACGTCGGATTGTACTAACTAATTTTTGTCGGATAGTATTAATTTGTTCCAGAGAGTACTGAGTATTTATCCATAATATTATAAGGCGTTTGGTGATATTCCAGATAACTAAATTATACTGTGTTTGATGTTGTTTCAGATAACATCGAATCAGACTTTTTTTTTTACAAAAAATTCTTTGATAATTTAAGTGGAAATTGAAATTGAAATGACATGAATTTTTTTTTTTTTAAAATAGTAAGATTCATATGAAAAGATTTGTTTTTCAATTGTTTTTGCCTAAATATTTTTTTCTTCATATAACCAAAAAACAAACGAACAAAGCACCAAAAGTTAAAAAAGAAAAAAAAATATAGCAAGAAAAACATAGCTGCATGTCTTGTTCTAATTGCTGACTTGGAATGATAATTTGATTATTGGGTTGGATACCTAGAGAAGGTAAAATATAAAGAAAAAAACGTAAGAAAAACTCAGCAACATGTATTGAGTTGGATACACAGCTGCATGATGATAATTTGATAATTTGATTATTGAGTCGAATACACAACTGCATGTATTGTTCCAATACATAAAAATTAAAAATTAAAAAAGTCAAAAATAAAAAACTCATAACCTAATTTCCATAAAAATTTAATAAAAGAGGGGATGAAGACAGAAGAAGAGAGAGAGAGAGAGAGAGAGAGAAGAGAAGAGAATAACATTGGAGAAGATAGCAGAGAAGAACCCTAGGGAGAAGAAGATGAAAATAGCATCGTCAGATTTTTTATGTGAACATTTGTGTTCTTTTTTCCTAGTTATATAATTAAGCGTGTATTATCTAAACCATGGTGTGTGGGTTGTATTAGTTAGTCGGGTAAGGAGAGTATTAAAAGCTCAACTTGTTTAAAATAATTAAGTGATTAAATAATACAAGTTGACACCAAACACCTGACATGGACTATTTACTCATATCCAGAGTCTAATACGGTGTACCAAACGAACCCTAAGGAGATTAGAATTAGAATAAGTTTCTAAATTGTTCCCTTTTTACTTTAGCTAAACATGGTTGTTATTCCACTACTTAATGCTTTTGTATTAGTTAATCTTCAAGTAGTACTTTACAGTTGCTGTTTTGGACAATATTTTGTGAGCTGCTGTTTAATTATAATGCACATATCCAAACCCAACATCAACTATTTTCTTTGAAATCCCTCTCCCCTATTCTTTATCCGGCAAGTCTTTGTTGACAACATCGATCTCCCCCTCCCTCGGATTGATGGCAAGGGAGACGACTATTGACCTTGTTTAATGACCATAGCTTATAGATAAGTTCTTTAGTACTTTAAGTTGGAAGGATTGAGATGCGATCCCATTTAAGTGATTTCTATTTTTGTGAATTTCCAATTGTAGTAATTTCTATTTGTAGGAATTTCCATTTGTGGCAATTTCTATTTGTAGGAATTTCTCCATTTGTGGTAATTTCTATTTGTAGGAATTTCCATTTGTAGGAAAGCCTTGAAGTTTTGAGCATTTCTCACCAGCCTAATGAGAAAGCTTTATCTTTTAATGAATTGGGTGGTCCTAATCGTTTCACATCATCAGCCCACAATTTCTTTTTCTTTTTTTGTCTTATATAAGTCAGCATGTCGCTTACAAACTTGCATCCTTTGTCTCTCTGTAAAGGCACACTCCATTGGTTTGATCGCAACCATATATATGGCCAGAACAAATCTGTTGCACAAAAGAGATACTCCATTCAATTCAAATCTCATTAAGAAAAAAAAGAACAATATTGCAGATGAAAAAGAACTCTAATAATTAATAATTAAGGCAAATATAATGGTAATAATTAATCAAAAGCTCCACAGACCACTTTCTCCGTCTGAATTGCCCGATTCGGGATAATCAGGCGGTCTCGGCGGAGACAACAGCATTCCCTCTGCCATCTCGGCCAGCAAATTTGGCATCCCGAAAAGCTCTTCTTCGTCCATTCCCACAGACGAAGCCAAACTAGTACTATTCATCATCGTCGTCATGTCGTCCTCTTGCTTCTTCGGACTCTCCTTGAGCTCCAGGCTGTTATTGGCCTCCTCATTCGACTGTAGCCCAGCAGAAACAGCAGCGGCAGCAGCGGCGGCGGCACTGCGAATGTCCTCCGGTGACCTGGATGCTGGCACTGGATACAAGGCAATGGAGCTCGGAAAGTTTAGAACAGCATCACCGCCCTTGAGAGCGAGCGCGGCCACGTCATAGGCAGACGCTGCCATCTCCGGGGTTGGGTAGGTCCCGAGCCATATCCGCCTAGTCTTACGTGGCTCACGGATTTCGGACACCCATTTTCCGCCCCGGCACCGGATTCCATGGTATCTAGTCTGCTTCCCGCAAGAGCTTGATGCCATGGTGGTGGGGAGGGGAGGGTGTTTTAGTAATTGAACAAGTTCTGGTGGTGAAGAGAGGGAGAGGAGAAGGTGGGATGACTTGGTGTAAAAGGGTGTGGCTGAAGGAGGGCTGAGAAGGAAGGAAGGTCAAGGGGTGGGTTATATTTGGCGCAATGTCCGTGAGTATTTTGATTTTGGTCAGCCATGACATATATAGATATTTTCGTATATATACTTAGGTCGGGATGTAATTGTAGAGGGTTGTGGGGATTATATGGGGAAGGTAAGATAATAATTGGAAGACAGAGAGAGAGATAGAGAGGAGTGTAAGTGTTATGGTTGAGATTTTAGGAAAGGAGGAAGGGGATCCGCTCAAAAGTGGGAGCATGCACTCTGGCCACTGGAATTCTGTGGAAGCTTTAGAGTTTTTCACACTTTTACAAAAGTGGCAATTAAAAATGATACAATTTTGGAGAAGGTTTGAGTACGCCAAGTGTGGCAATTGCATCTGTTCGTATCCTTTAGTGGGAAACGTCCACGGGCCTTCCTCAGTTTCCCACTTGATGATTCATAAGCTCTACCCAAAAAAGAAAAACAAAGCAATATGATAAACAGGTTTTTTTTGTTTTGTTTTGTTTTGTTTATTTATCAAAGAGATACTTCATTAGATAATCTTTAACAAAGAAATTGATACATCAAATGATGTCCAAATTACTAACTCAAGAGGAAACAAAACTAACACGCTAAAAAACAAAACAAAAGTTGACAAAAGCCGTACCAACTACTAGCCACATCAGTACAATTAAACATAATCTCAAACAAAGCTCACAAAACCCAAATTAGCCAAAATCCTAAAACAACCCATGAGCTTGAATGAAAACTGTCGCCACCAGTTGAAGAAGCATCGTCGTCAAACCCACCATCGCATATAGCCTTTATGTGAATGTAAACTTGTGACAGATATCAGAAAAATAGTTTACATTGATGTAACAACACCCTTTTTAGGACCCTTCCTATTGAGAGATGCGATAATATACTAAATTCATACACGCAATACGGATGTTAGGACTCGAACCTAAGACCTTGCCTAAGAGAGCAATTACTCCCAAACCACTATACTAATGGGTCCTTTGCGCGATGTAACTGCACATAATAAGGAACAAATATACCAATCGAACAATCATGACAAAAAACAATTGGGTAGAGTGAAAAAAACTCCTTCAAATGCGAGGTAAAACTAAATTTAAAGAAGATTAGAAGATTAGAAGTTTTAGAGAGAGAGTTTTGGGAGAAGGATGATTTGATTGAGGAATTGACCCAAAAGAGTTTATGGGGAACTTCAATATGAGCATAGCTCAAAATAAATCACCATAAGATGCTTCTGATTCAAAATGTCCTAAGGGACTTATTCACTAACCCAAAAGAAAAAAGAAGATAGCAGAGTGGAGGAGGGGAAGTGACTCTTCTTCCTCGTCCTCTCTTTATTGAGTTTTTTCTTTGGAACTGAGAGAGAAAAGAATGCGAATAGGGGTTTTTTTTTCCTTAACAAGATAAAAATTGATATATGAGTGTTAAATAATACCTTGAAATCAAATACTATAAGATGCATTCATTCTAAGTTTTATGGGATTAATTCCTTTGTGGAATTTTGGTAGTGGAAGACATTTTTGTCATCCACTAGCTAGTTTGTCTTGGTTTACTTGATTTGATTTTTCACGCAAATTATTTTGCAATCCGTATTATTATGGGATTGTAGTTATATATAACAGGTTATTGCTATGTTGAATTCGTTAATGGCCAGAGGAGGGAGGAAGGGGTCCGGAAAGAACTTTGGAAGCATTGAAATTCCAAACACCAACCAAAGAACAAGTAATTTGACATGATTAAACACAGAACTTTTCTGTTGATTAGGATCTAGCTAGCCCTAGCATCACAATTCTGATAATAAGCTATTAGAATTAGCTGCTAAAATGAAAATGATATAATATGTTGGTGATTACTCAACACTATATGTTGGCTATGCATATGGCTCTCAGCACGCTGGGGATTCTGTGTGTCCCTCAAATGATTTTGCACCTAAATTGAGCCACTTTCCTTTAATGGAATCCTCAATTGAACATGTCCTTCTGGGTAAAAGTATTATAATGTTACAAGGACATGAGGGATCTTTCTGTCCTTTTATTGGGTATTGTTTATACCATATCTTTAACTTTAACCATAGTTTTGGTCACATATTGTCGGAAATCATGTTTTTAAGCTTTAACTCTGTTTTCAAACCACAAATTTAAGGAAACCCGAAACTTTCAAACTCAAACCCTAGTAAACTTTAAACAATATGTAAAAAAGGAAGAAGAGAGGAAAGGAAGAGAAAGAATGAAAGATGTATGACAAAGATCTTCATAAAAACTAAAGATTAATTTGTGTGTAACATGGATGTAAGGATGATATATATTTGTAATGAGTTCGATATCTAGTTGTGACCAGTTTCATTGTAATGACGTAATTTTTTTTTGAGTGAGTTGGCCCGTTTAAAAGTATATTTAAAAGAGTGCTGCTAAACGAACCTTAAAATTAACTGAGTACACCATACTACCAAAATATTTATTGAATTACTAATTTACCATAATATAAATTGATCAAAAAGGATATATGGAATTGTGAAACAAATATAATTTTAATAAGACTCACTATATTCAACTCTAATCAAACATAGAGAAGTTTTCGTATAATTTTAAGGGCCTTTGATACTTCAAAGGCTTAGAGCTTCCTTATAAACATAGCGAAAGACAAATGTCGGCGTTTCTCCATGTACTTGATTCTTCTTGATGTAAAAGATGGGCAGCCATATTTGAATGAAAAAGCTTGTTCCAGACTGACTTCTTAGCTCAACATCATACATACTTGAAGTGGATGGCTTTAAAATCCCAGGGTTTAAACTTTTCTTCTAACTTGGAAACATCCAAAATTCTCAAGGATTTTGGACTAGTGATGATGCATTTCACTAGTAATTTGACAGAGAAGTTTGAGTCCCCTTCACATATTTCGAAGAAAATCACAAGGATGTATAAGAATCAAGCTTTGAATTGAAGGAGCTAGCAAGTCTATTCCCACAACAGCTTACAAAATTAAAGATTTTGATGTGAATTCAAAATATGAAAAGAGGAAACGAATTCATGTAAAAAAAGAAACTTGGTTCGGGATTGGTATTAGGGTGTTCTATGATAGTGTAATAGGGTGTACCAGAAGTATTTTTGGTAGTTAAATAAGGTATACTTAATTAATTTTACATTTTAATTAAAATAGTAGGGTGTACTCAGTTAATTTTAGGGGTCGTTTAACAACACTCTATTTAAAAACTATCATGTCGTTTATAAAAAAAATTAAAAATCAAACATGCCGTATTAGGATTTCTAGCTTCAACTTTTAATAATGATATGATTAATATTTAGTTGATTCATACTATCTTTAGCATTAGCTGTAAACTATAGAATCCAAAAACTTAGGAATATAGAATGATGGTTGATTGCGAATATAATAACATGCATCTTATAAATAAATAAAAAATACAGAGAAAAAAGGATGGCCACATGCAAGAAAACCTTTTAATGATCAGTTTATTTTTCTACCTATGTCGATGATGTGACAAGTTTAAAGGTATACTCTTTCTTTTTGGTGCATTTATATACTGATTTCGTTTCTTAGTGCAATGTTCTTTTTGGTAGAGAACGAGAGCTAGGATCGTGCCATGTGTCAATAGATTAGATGTGTTTGTAGTTATGAACTTTTAATCACGAGTCTAACAGAATTGAAGACTTCCCTCTTATTTAAATTCCCTTCTCTCTCTCTCTCTCTCATTCTTTCTTGTGTTGAACTAGGTTAACACCTTAAAGTCTAAAGAAGACCTGAGTTTTTTTGGCGAATGAGTACGAGAGTCCAACTCTTTTCATACATGTCTCTTTCCATCCAATTTGTATGGATATGGTGGCACAAACTTTACCTTAATTTACTTTGCTTTTTCTTCAGATTTTTCTCTTTGGCTTGAAAAAAACTACATACGGGCTCTTTTTGAAATGATATTTTTGTTAAAAAAGAAAATTTGAGAAATCTTTCCATATGAATACACGGGATAACTGTTAACCGTCGTAGCACTTGAGCTTTGAGTCCTAATTGGAAGTTTGTAGAGGCTTACACTGCACAAAGTGAAGCACCAATTCAAGTACTGCTTCAACAATTAGACATCCACCCTATAATCGGAACGATCAAATTACAATTAATTAGGGGGGGATAAGATAACAACTTGACATAACTCTTTTTCGTCTGTATTTCTTTTTTCCTGTTGTGTGTGTCGTGGATAAGCATAAAAATTTGACCTAACCGTCCAAAGCGAAAGCAAAAGAGAATCGTGAGGAAAAGAAGACTGGTTTGACTTGAGTTTAGTGTGCCAGGTGGCAGATGACTAAGTAAGGTACCAGTGAGAAATTGGCAGGTTTTGTTTTTGGATGCCTGCGTGGTGGGCCTTGTGGCTCCCACCCGAGCTCGTTGTTTTCTCCTTCTTTTTGTCTCTCTTGGAGCAAAGGAAACCCAGCCACATCATCGTTTCTTAAGCTTACAAGTTTCCTATTCGGAAAATTTTAGTATTGCCCTTTATCGACTTTTAATTTGGTTTTTAGCCTCTTAATTTTTTACACTGTACAACTTTGATCCCTACTATCAAATTTGTCAACTTTTTATTTTTTATTTATCGAATTAAATGTTATTTGCGTTGCGTGCACGCAAGCGAGAAAAACAAGTCGTTAATATGACAAATTTGACAGTTGTCTTGTGATTGAATGGTTTACATTTCAAAAAATTAAGGAGACTCATAATCAAATTGGAAGGGAGCGGTGAAATCGAGGGAAGAAAATCATAAGTTTCTAAATTGTTCCCTTTTCACTTTAGCAAACATGGCTGTTCGTTTCCTACTTAATGCTTTTGTAATTTTTTTTTTTTGGGGCGAATAATGCTTTTGTATTACTTACAGT